ATTTGAAAGCTAATTAAATTCCCAACATAACAAAATAAAATCCTCGAAAGCGATCGGTATCAGTATTAGCAATGAAACGGCGTATTCTATTTCCTACAAAGGCATATTTTTCTATTAATGTAAGTAAAATTAACTCCCTACAATAATATGAGGGTAAATTATAATGATGGCTTATTTAATTTTATTTTAAAATGTAAATTAATTTAATTAAATAAATAATGCTCCAAAAAAAATCACTCAAACCTCTAGAACCTTAAAGAATAGTCCTAAAAATGTTTGCAGTCTATAAAAAAAGCCAACTGAAAAAAAAAATAAACTAAATCTAGTTGAAAAAAGTCAACCTAGCAAACTTGGAGAAATATCCATTTCAAAATTTTTAACAGTAGACAAAGTTATTAAATAATATTACTTCACAAATATATCTAAGTAAAATAGTTATTGAACAAGTTGTTCTCACTCAATAAATAATACTAACATGTTACAAGATACACATCAATTTCCCTGTGCTTTAAAAGAATGTTCATGTCATAACGAAATCAGTTTTTAAGGACAATAAAGTCACTTACCCATGAAAATAATAAATTAATATTTAATGAGGCGGTAAATTATTTGTTCTAGAACCGTCAAGTCTAATGTACAAGATATATTACATAAACCTAAGTGATGGCAGCTGTCTCTGACAGGAACACGCGATGACATCATATATATGTGGCACTGGGTCTTAGGTTGTCAACAAATATACAAAACATTAGTTCATATTCAAGCGTTGAAATTTAGATAACTTATAAAAATCGATTTATTAAGATAATATTTTATATTATGATAAAACAAGTGATATTATTGGTTAATATTTATCAATATAGAATTAATGATAACTATTTTGAAAAAAAAAAAGTTTGCTAAAGACACTATAGCTTCCACACCGTTTCTATTGCGTATGTGAATAAATCACACGGGGAGGCTTTCGGGCTGAAGCCCCCCCCCCCTCCTGTTTCATGGAAAAATATATTAATAATTATCTCTTAAAGCATTATTGTTCGTGTAATTACATTTGATAGGACTTCAAGGATCATTAAACACCTCTTCATATAGGTAGTTAGTAACTTTCTTTTTCATTTCAAATTAATTATCGTTATATATATATATATATATACACTAGCGGATCCAGGATTTAGTTTGGGGGGGGGGCTTCAGCCCGACAGTTTTTATTTTTTCATATATATATAACGATAATTAATTTGAAAAAAAAGATTAATTAATTATCTATATGAAATGGTGTTTAAGTGGTTCTTGAAGTCCTATTAAACGTAATTACACCAACAAGAATACTTTAAGAGATAGTATAAAGTATTTTTTTTTGTAAAATATGGTTACATTTTACCATTTTGGGGGGGCTTCAGCCCGAAAGCTTCCCCCCGTAGATCCGCCTGTGTATATATATAAAAAAAAAGCTTTCGGGTTGAAGCCTCCCTCAAAATTAAATCCTGGATCCGATAGTAGTATAAATTATACATTAAATAACTGAAATTTTGTTAAATTGATTATGGTCCATTTTCACACCAGTCCCCAAGCTTACTGGTACTTGTACTGATAATGGTGGGGGGAAAGTAGTCCGGAAAGTGGGTCTTATTACCGATCTCTGACGACTACTTTGGAATACCAATCTCTGACGTTGGAAGGCAGTAAATGAAATTTGATCAAATCTTTACGAGATCGAGAGGAAGAAACCGAGACCTGCTCGCATTGAGACCTCTTTCAAGTCCAGCGGACCATGGCTCGTCATGAAAAAATTAAATAGTTTATTGTATAAATGACCCTATCCATCAAATAGACAAAGACGTCCTATAGAAAATTAAAGCTGATAAAATTTTCTATATGATAAATTTCGTTTTACCACTATAAAACTCCCTCCCTCCTAGAAATGGTGAGAGGGGGACAATCCAAAAAAAAAACATGGAGTAAATTAAATACAGTAACTGTATAATTGAATGAAGATGTGCAATTTATTAGAACTGGTCAATCTATAAATGATTCACTTGAACTAACTACTAGATTATAATAAAAAGAAGTGAAGAGAAGTTTCAAGTCAGTTCAATTCCACCAGAACTGGGGAGCACATCCTTCCTCCCTTCCCCCAAGGTTGATGGCACATGAATCTCCTCCCTCCCTCCCTCCCCTCCCCAAGTTATTTTATAGCTCTCCCACTTTTAAAAACATTATAAATAAAAGTACCGTAAATTATATACAATTATATTTGCTGAGGTTTGTTTCATGTATTCGAAATTCCGTTAAAATGTACCTTCCCCTCCCCCCCCAAAAAAAAAAATTGTGATGGTGCAACTTGCGCCATGAAACCCCCTTGTGGGCACCTCTGCACCAGACCGTATGAGTTGGACATAGGTAGATTGTTCTCTTCAGAGATGAGTAAAGAGTTGGTCTCTACTCTTCAGATAGCCGTATCGACACAAGGAGAAGCCCAGGAGAAAGGTATGTCCCATGCTTTATAATGGTTTCTCAGGAGACATTTCGTGGTGGTTCGCTGATGTTCTGGAGTGGCATTTCTTTCGATACACGTACAGAGTTGGTTGTGGTGCAAGGAAGGTCACTGACCTCACAGAGGTATTTGTGCCATGGACGACAATGCAAGACCATACAAATCACAAATGGAGGATGATATTCGGATTGAATGCTTTGTGTGGCCACTAGATTCCAGACTCACACCCAGTCGAAAAGAAGCGGAAGACCACTTTAACAGATGACTACAAAGTCGGAATCCTAGCACCCTAAGAAACTGGAAACAGTACTTCATTATTAAAAAAAATTTCAAATAAATTGAAAGAGATTTAAGGGATGTAATTCATGCCAGGAGGGAAAGCATCCTTATTGACTTTACAAAAATATGTTTCACTTTTAATTTGTTTTTTTTAAGTTTACCACTTAGAGAACCTAGGCGCGGACTTCGAGGGAGGGAGAGGAACGATCGCCGTCCCAATAAGAATAGAAAGGATTTTTATTGTTTCGTTCTCCCAATATTTCAAAGAACAAATATTAAAAATCAAAATCAAGTCCCTTTCGCCATAGGACACAGGGCAATTGTTCCTCCTCCAATAAAGATAGAGAGATTAAATATGAATTTTTGAATGAATCAAAAATATGATTTTTGCACTTAACACATTAGGCGCTGGTGCCACAGATATTTACTAAATTTTTAAAAAGTAGTATTTTTAATTGACGTAACAATTAAAAATTAAAAATACCATTTTTTAAAAATTTAGTATTTATTTGACTGCACCCCCTGACCAACTCCTTTTCATATTATATCACAGTCAACTTATAATCTCTACATCATTACAATAATTATGTTGGTTATTTTTCTATAAATAGAGAAATTAATCCACTTCAATTAATATTGGGATTAATCCACTGCCAATGGGAGGCTCCTCTTCAACATTGGTCTATTGCTCAACGACTGCCCAATGTACCAGATGCCCTTTTTCAATCTACCTTCGATTATTTGGCTGAAGTTGCTGAATGTGCCGAGAGATTGGAGGTTGATCAGGGTCATCGAAATGTGAGAGCTCTACGGCAGTTGCTACGAGAAAATTCATTTGAGGAATGGGCCATCTGCAGGGCATTGGTGTTTGCCATTTTAAAGAGACCCCGAAAGCGAACAGATACATCTACGAAAAGCAAGTACTTTCTGGGTCTGAATGCCCTAAAACTATATATTAATTATGCACCCCTGCATGGAGTCTCAGGTGTCAGCGGACAGGTCAGAGAAGTTGGGTCCCTCTCCCGTAAATGTGGCAGAGGGTCTGAAACACCAGCCCATGTGCTGGGAAAATGCCCCAACAACTCCCTCCTCATAACACGTCAAGGCTCTACAAGATGGATATTGTCGCATTTCCCAAGACAGGAAGGAGAGCGCTGATCTTGGATCCAACTGTCTGCTTTGAGAGCAATGACCTCGATCAGGCGGGTGAAGTGGAAAGGGAAAAGAAGAACACGTACAATAAATGTATCCCTTTCCTAAACGAGAAATTCCGTGAAACCTTGGGAGAGAGAGTTCACCGTGAGAGGCCTCTGGTTTGGGTCTCGTGGAACAATTACAAAAAGAACAAGGAGCTTCCTAGAGGAACCGGGTGTCAACAGTGAGGTTAAGGACGTAGTGAGGTTGGCTGAAAATATAGTCCTTGACTCCCTGGGAATCATTCATCACCATATGTATGGCTAGGCTGAGAGTTTTAATTTATGTATTTATTTAATGAAAAATATCTATTATATTTGTTTCATATTAAATTTTATTTAATTCTAGATATATACAGTTTTGTTTTGTTATTGTTAACAATTTTGTTATTGTTGTTTTATAATTTTAAGCATCTCAATATTGTGTATAGGAGAGATGTATGAGGAGAGATAGAGAGAGAGAAATTAAATCTTAAAAAAAAAAAAAGCATGAACAATGAAAGAAAGAAAAAATTACATATATATTTATTATACTCATATAAACTAACCACTTCTGTATATTTATATATAAGTTCATTTATTGTCCTACGGATTAACGAGTATGCTGTGTACATAGCAACCCAATATAATTGGGAAGCAATCTTTTATATTTTATATGAAAATAAAGAGTTTCTCTCTCAATTAATCTACATGAATAATTAGAATACATAAACTAAAATCAATTAAGAAAATAGAAAACGTCGACTAGATGGCTAAGCTAAGGCTTAGAAATAGGTACACAAGTATTTTACCATGCTCTAATTTCCTATTATTTTAATTTTTATTTGTATTCAAAGATAATTCAATGTAGCAACATAACTTAGGATTTTATGATTCATACATGTGCACCTTTCAATTTTTATGTAAAGATTTTATCACATTTCCTGCAGCATTAGAGAATTGAGTTCATCGCACTCAAAAATTTAACTTGCACCAGTGAAAATTCCAAACTTTCAATTTTGTTTTTCCATAAATATGATTTTCACAATTAACAAACAATGCCAGATATATATTAATTATATTTTTTATTTTACAATAATTATGTTGGTAATTTTAATTATCACTCATAATTTGTATACATAATATAAACTTCTGAGACTTTTTTTAAGGAATCCTTCAATCTAATTAAATTACTCAGGTAAATAAGATCAAGAAAGAGTGTGGTTAAAGAATAAATTAAAAAAATAAAATAAATGAAAAACATATACTTATTTTATTCAACATCTCAGAAGTACAACCAGCATTTACATTTGAAGTTAAAAAAAAGAAAAAAAAATCTTAAATAGTACAAAGATATCCATTATTTTCACAATATACATTTTTTCTTTTGCATATAAAGTAATACAAAGTAACATTAATACAAATATTAACAATTTGAAATGGGACCTTTAGAATGTTTTTTCCAAAATTTTTTCACATCATCGTGACCTTGTTTGGTAACTACCATAGTTCTGCGTTTGTCACAATGCCATATCAAACAGTTCTGTTCAGAAGCATAATCTCTAAGAACAGAAAAGTCTGAATGAGATAGGAACTGACTGTAAAGGATTCCTTCCGTGAAATTAAACCTGTCTCTTTCCTTTTCCCATAAACGTATCTGATCACTTATAGTTGGTGGGATGACGGGACCACCTTTGGCGACCAATAAGGAGTGTGCATGGAGTGTCAAGAATCTTATAATTTGTTCAGAAGTTATTCCACTCCGCAGGGCCATACATACAGAATCTCTTGTTAAAGTTCCAACACACATATTAGGAAATCTATATAGTAATTCAGTAAATAACCCAATCAGAGCTACTTTCAAGTTAGAATCGGTATAGGCATATACTCTATAATTAGACTCCACAATAACAAAGCCTTCTTGACTGCTTATTTCAGATTTACCTTTCTGTCTTGTCATATTAAGAGCTAATCTGGTAGGGTAGAATTTTCCTCCTTTCCTTTTTCGTTGATAGACCAAACCAAACTCTCTTAAATGCTGCAGAAATGTAAGAAGGCTCTCACTTAATCCTTCAGTACTGTAGTCCTTGCCCAGGATGCTGAAGCTTAACTGGAAAAGAAAAGCTAAGCACTGAGCGAGATCCATTCCTCTTGCATACACAGTGTCAAGATATTGAAGCATAAAATACCAAACCTGAGCAGGAGTATCCAGAAGAAGAAATTGAAAGCCATCTCTAGTAATTACAGGACTACCGTCATCATCATCTCTCTTCATTAAACCAGCATGAAGTAATATTCGAACAGCGTCAGCAGAGATACCTTCCTGTTGTTGAGATCCAACCATGTAATGTAGAACACATTCCCACCTTTCCATAGCATATTTATCCAGATATTCAACATCTCTTGCTTTAGTGTCAGCTTCCATGTTAGGATTGCATCCCCAACTTGAACCTCCACCAAAAATAGCTACTTTCAAATTTTTCTTGAATGTAATATTCAAGGCCCAAGCAGGCAATCCACCAGGTATTGAAGCCTCTTGCCATACTTTAAGTTTGGACAAAACCTCAACAACTTCGGTATGCTCTTTGGAATATTCTTGACCTACCCAGGAAGCAATGACAGCCTGAGGTACAGGTTGTTCAACAAACAATACTCGCATAACATAATGCTTACCAATATCTGGTAGATCCCTGTAAACGGCTAGACAAATTATAGGATATGAAAACAGAGTGTCAATCACATCTTCAGGCAAAGTGATTAGGTATTCATATAAATTAGCACACTGTAAAGCTTTATGTCTCAAAATGCCATTAGCTGAGCTATCCTCCAGGTCTATTACTTTATTGTTCACATTACTGTGTCTTGAAGCACTCTGAGAAGCACTGCTACTATCATTTTCAGAATCTAAAAATACCATTATCTGAACTCCTCAAATAACTAATTTCCTTCAAGCAGCTAAAATAGTACTTTACAACTCTTTTATCTATTGTTTATAAGTCATTGCAAAAAAGAAAATCATTGAACTGAAGAATTTAGAAGTTCACAACCAATGTGATTTCAAAACTGTAACATCTATGAATAAACAAAAGAATTCTTATATAGCTGGTTATAGACATTATAAAATTACCGAGAGCTAAAACATTTAAAATAAACTTTAAAAACACTGACTACAAGATTCACTTTAACCTCCTCAATAAATAAACAAACAACAAACACCCATTTACGTATCAGCTGTTTTCCCCCCTTTTCCCTACCCGTTTGGTATATGCCTTCAGTATCGTCCATTGTTATATTCATATACATATACTACAGAATTTCAATCGTGAGTTTATCAGTATTAAAGTTCCAGAACTTCCATAAACATTTTCGTTAAAACAATAATCATATTTTTATAATTTGTTCTTTTGCATCTTATGAGATATCATTAGAATTCTAAAATTTACCTCATGTTGTGTGACACCATTTCTCCTTTATCGAGTTGAGATTATGGTTGTTTTTTAGGAGGTTAAAATTTCGTGTTACAAATTGTACTATTTTGACAAATAGATTAGTAGTACATTCAAGTTGTACTGATTCATTTTGACTTTTATGGTTAATTATTTCATCTTGATGCTCTATGTAGGTGCGAACATTCATAGTCATTATTATTTCAATAAATGGAACTTCTTTACTTCTTCAGAAAAGAAACGTTAAACCAACAAGGTATTGAAAGTTAGTTCTGAAAATTTATAACAAATATTCTGGAAATCAAGAGCAGAAATATATTTAACATTATCCTGATAGGTAAGTGTTAGTGCAATTGGAACTTGCTTGTATCTTAGTCTTCTTGTATTTTAATTCCTATCACAGTATAAATAAGGCTGCTTTTCTATCTATTTTATTCTGAAAGCGGTGTGATATGTTTATTTAACAATTTTTACTTGTACATCTTTAAAAATTATTCCTGAGTGTTGAGGGATAATTTTTTTATTTATGATATTGAAGATTGTGGGATATGTTAGTTAAAATTGGGTATCATCTAATTTTTGGTTACTTTTTAACAAATAATTGTTTGTTTTATTGTTATTATTTTGTCTAAGTCTTATACTTATTCCTTGTTATTAAAGTAGCATGTTTTTATATACCCCATTTGAGCCTATTTATACCTTTGCTATATTCTTTACACCTAACTTATGAATTAGGCTTCTCACTTATATCCCAACATGTTTTATCTTACACCCGTTAATACCTAAGTCAGTATGCCGTTGAATAAACATTTCCTAAGGATGCAAACAATCTGTTTAATTTATAAATTTAATTTGGTTGCAGCATTGTTTCAATTTAGTCACATTCATTTAATTCCTTGAATCATATTACAGATTGTGTTCACTAATCTAAAAGATATCAGAAGTTGATAAATCTAGAAAGAAGTTGAAGTTTCAATAAGCAGCTTTGATAATTCTCTTCTTGCTGTTATTAAAAAAGTGATCCTGATGTTAACTTAAACTGTCTTAACCTAATCAAACATAAACAATCCCCTTGCAAAGATTGGAGATCAGTTATCTACATTTAATTTTGATAATACCGGATTGTTTCGGGAGTGATACTTTACAAGTGTTGCTTCTTATTAATGGGTAGGACATGATTATAAAATCACTTTAGAAATGTAATTCAGAGAATGGCTGAGTATCTCTGAAAGTAGATGTAGGTGGTCGAACAGCATGGTTAGGCCATAAATGAACTGAAAAGGGCTCATTGGTTTAATCATTCCTATTGATTGAGTGAAAATCGATAACCGCAATATAATTATACCTCATTAGGCCCCAATTTCGACTGAAATGGATCAGTTTTGGTGTTTAGGGAAATCATAAATAGTAATACAAATAAAGAAGTCACGCTGTGAACAAATCGGTACTGGTCTATTCTCTTAATTACATTTTAAGTGTGATATTGAGATTTGGACCCATCCAAGCTCCACTTGGAAGGTAGTACTGGTTCAGGATTCAACCTCAAGTGTGCTTAAAGCAATCTTGAAACCAGTCTCCATCTTAGAAATCGAATGTACTTGCCTAAAAGTATGGTTGTTAAATGAATCAATATCATATCAATCATTCTGTAGATAAAATTCTTGAAGTACTCAAGTATTTGCAACTATATTCATGAGTGGACTTGCTCTTGAGGTAAACAAACCCCCAATGCAGCAGGAGTTTTTGGCATTGAATATGAATTATTTTCAATTCATCATCAAATATTTTCTATATCTTATTTTCTAGTATGGTATGGATGTCTGCCACCTCCATATATTTTTAGGGTAATATTTACAGTGTTATCAATCTGGGCTTAATGTTCTTACCATTCAGAAGTGACTTGTGAACTAGAGCGACATTAACTTTACATGTTTATTCCCATCTAAAAGATAACTCATTTGTTTTCTTGCTATATTGCAGCTAACATGAAACTCATATCTTATGAAATCAGTTCAAATAGATATCCTCTGGAAAAAAAGCAAAATCAACTTTGTCTTACATTAATAAAAAAGTTATTTGTTATTGTTATCCTATCTGTGGCCAACTTCAAATAAGTTCGCAAGATCTTTTATTTCTAAGTGATTGCTGTTATCATTTAACTGCTATTTAAATTTTCTGAGTTGTTAGTAATATAATATGAATTAAATAAATTGACTTTTTAAACTGGAATCCTCATGACATCTGGGCAGCCAGTGTGTTAAAATATTTGTTTATTATCATATTCAATGTTTGACTCATAAAATGTATAAAGAATTATAAATTTCTTTTTATTTGAGAAAAAAGAACTCATTTAGTTAAAAAAAAAAATGATTCAAAATCAAGATTAATTTCTGCAATGAAAAGCAGTTGTAATATAGAACTTACTGACTGAGTTCTTCATAAGTTAACATTGTTTGATCATCATGACAAAAGGCCCTTTTAAGGGCCATTGTGATAATTTTAGTATGTCTCTTGGACATTGTACGAATGTTTCAGTAATATCAGGAGAGGTTTATATCTTTGAATCTTTTTGTTATACCCTATATTTTTTTAATATTTGGGATAGCTACAGTACATTTTTTAGGTTGTAGATAATAGCTTAAACCTCGAGAAGTACTTAACTGATATTGCTTAATTTGTCCGTACTGATGTTGATTAGAGAATATGAATTAATTATCGCATTTATGATATTGGTGTTCCTGTGATTGTATATTGAAGTTATTGACCAGTGAGTGATTAGAAGAAAACAGTTAATGTTAAAAAAAAAACTTGTAGTATATAAATTACTGTTTTTTTTTTTTTCTTAAAAAGGTAAGTATATAAATATAAATAGAACTGTCTCATGAAGAGCTCAAGACCACAAAGCAATTTGTCCATTTCCATTTACATTAACAAAATTCATTTTGCAACAAACAATGAAGTTCAAAGCTCTAATAATTCAGTAATAAGAAGCAATATGTTCCAAAATATTCTAAACTTTATTTGATTCCAAAAATAATTTACATTTCAAATGCAAAATGATTTTTTTTTTTAAAGAAAATTAGAAAATTGCATTTAAAATTGGTGTTCCTCATAGGTAATTTGCATTTAATTAAAAAAAAATTGAAAATTTTCATGCATGTACTTATATATAAAATTAACGGTATTTTATATTGTACTCTAAAAAGTTATTTTTTTATTGTTTAAAATAAAATCTGGTTTACTTTAATTTCTTTGTAAAACATTAGTATAACTTAAGTAAAGACAGATGTGGCTGGAATAATATTTCAAAGATTCTGTGTTTATCTTTGTTAATTGATTGTAAAAAAAAAAAAGATTTATCTATTGTACTAACTGTTGTGACTGACTCTTATGCAAAACAAGATTAAAAAGACCAAACATATTTATCTATTCTCAGAAAATCCACATCTGTCATTTATTCAGTAAATATCCCGGGAACATCTGTTCATCCATCATAACATCAAACAGAAAATTTAATTCTGTTCAAGAGATAAAAATCGTCAATATCAACTGTGTATTTAAAGATGAATCAACTTATTTCATTCAGTTGCCAGAAAACATCACCATTCATTACCAATACCATCAATGCATTTATAGTCAATATTTTTCAGTTATTTATTTTTTATGTTTAATTTCTAGCGTTAAAAAGAATATTATGTGAATCTTTAAAATTTTAAAATACAGTGTTAAATTAAATTTTTAACTAAGAACATTTGTTGTGCAGTAGATCAGACTAAGATAGATAATACCACCAATTTTTTTGTATTACTTTTTTAAATTGGAATCCTTATATCCTGAATTGAAAAATGAAACCGCTATTAAAAAAAATCAAACTCTCATGAATGACAAACTATATTCTCTACCATTATGAGGTGAAAAAAAAAATGTACTGATCAGACGGATGTAGATGAAAACATGAGCCACAGATTACAAGCTCAAGATTTTGTTGATGTGGTGACTAAGCTTCCTGGATACCAGTTACAGATTATCTTTCTGTTGATACTTTTAAATAATTTATTTATTTAACCTTAATGACTAAGGTTTTATAATTTTAAATGAAGTAGAAATATTATTAAGCTCAACCGCCGAGGAAAACAAATAGTTAAAAGAAAGTGAACAGCCAGGTTTGAATCATGAAATGGCTGACCATTCACACGATGATGCCATATTTGCCCTTGAAACAGCTATCAAGTGAGTATCAAAACAAGTAAGGATTGGCCAGTCAGCAATATTGCTACTCTGGAGTTTAAAACGGTGAGACAGCACACAAAATATTTTCGGAATGTTGAAACCATTAACAAATGGATACTTATTCATCTTAAGTAATGTATAGTTTCTTTGAATTCTTCTTTTTTTTTTTTATTTACATTTTGCAACTATAATTATGTACAAATGTGATGTTGATATTTATTAAACATTTGAACTAAAAATATTATTTATATCGTGTGTTATTATTTATCCCATTTTAATCTAGACTAATCTCAGTAACCAAACAAGGACTGGTTGGCTTTGATTAGTCTGGATGACCAACTCATTATTTAATTATTCTTTATCATATTTTGAATCTCATTGGTAATAGTAATAATTTGATTCCCTTTCTTTCAAAGTGTTAGCTTTATAGTTTATAGCTTTTCCAAACATATTCTGAGATAAGATTAGCCTTGGTATGATTCTCCTATTCAGTCAATGAGTCAATTCTGGTCACCTTTTGTAATGATTAATTCACACTTATATTAAATTTTTATGCCATAACATCGATTATCTTCAGATTTTTTTTTTTTTTTTTTTTTCCTTGAGCCACTTGATTCTTAGCTTCCGCCATGAGTTTTAGCAGCTTTTGGCTGTTATAGGCGACAGCTGTGATCGTTTAGCTCTCATAGACTCATGGCAAAAAGAAATGTATAAATTAACAAATGATATATCTTCTTTGGTATGAATTATTTTTGTGAAAATTTTACTCTTTTTAAGTTATGGTGTTTCAACATGTTTTTTTTTTTTCCTAATCTATCGTGAGATACAACATATCATTCTCGCCAATCAATTCTCCTAAATAAATTGGATTAAATTTTTGTTGAGATTATAAAAATTAAAAGAATAACCATTTCTTCTACAGCTTATTGAACAGAGTTGTGTCCTAGAAATTGTTTTGTTTTTTTAACCACTAGGGGGAGATCATCTCAGACTTACAGATTCTTTTACATGGTAAAGTTTCTCATAGTCGGGATTGTAGTCAACATATTTTTCCACTAGGTGTACCTTACCTTGCAACTTTACTTTGAATGCTCTTTGTTATTTCTGTAAAAAAATTGAACAATGAGTTACCATTTTCATTAATTAAACTCCATATAAGACATAAGTTCATTAAACATCCTCTATTTATTACTGGAGGGGAGAATTATTTTTCTATATTTCATATTTGTTTTTATAAAGGGTAGAGTTTACTTGTGTGAGTAAAACACTAGAAAAGTATTTGTTCTTCTTATTGATTAATTTGATTTTATTAAAAATCATTATTACCATTTTTAATTATATGACACTTTCCCTTACATAATAGGGATAACATTGCTGGAGATAGCTGAAGTTTAGTGGCTTGTGATGAATGTGGTAGGCCACATAATGTAGCCGTGAATTACAATCAGGAATTATATAATGCCATTTTGATATAACATTGCAAACCATGATAATCAAGACATTGCTGCATTTATTGTTTTTTATTATTCAATAGTTTAACATTATAGTTTATTTAATTTTTTTTTTTATTTGTTTTTAATTATTGCTTTCCTTTGATCTTTTGGAGAAAGTCTGACTTCAGGTAGTCACAAATGGGAACAATGGACGTCATAACACTTGATGATACAATAGATAATGATGCTTCCCTCTTTATAATTGATGAAGAACCCATACTTGAACCGTCAGCTACTACTGTCATGAAAGAAGTTACAAATAAACAGACATCAAAGAGGAGGAAAAGAAAATCCGATAATAAAAAGATGGGCAAAAATAAAAAAATTAATTCAGATATGAAAAAAAAATCAAAGACCCAATGGTTAGTGTTAGGACCTAATAAAGCTCAATCAAGTGAGAGTATCATATCCCGAATAAACAGTACCAATTCAAGTTCCACTAGAACTACTAGTGAAAGTCGAACTAGTTCTGAGATGGATATCTATAGTATATCGTCCAGCTTGCTAAGTTCAAACAAGTCGAAGAAAAGTGATCTCGAGACCATCGTGATCCAAAGTGATGAAGAAGATGATATGGATGTCATTGAACTTTCTGATGAAGAAGTGGGTACAATTGGAGGCGAGCTATCTAAATCTGTGCACAGGGCTCAGGGTCAGCTATCAGCATTCCAGAAGCGAGGAGGAATAATAACCAAAGCGTGGCCTAAGTCTCCGCAGAAGAAGCGTTCACCTCCAGTCGCAAACTCTTCCTCAAAAATTCAACCAGGAACATCTCGCAATTTGAGGCCTATCGTGATCGATGGGTCTAATGTAGCCTTTGGGTAAGTTTATTTCACTTTTTTTTTATCTATAATATTTTTTTAATTAGTTTTAGTCGTAGACATTTTAAAATTTTATTTAATTACATTTTTGTTCTGAAAGTTTATTTCTTATATTCTCATTAATATAAAACTGTCTTTATTAGAATTTTAAAAAAATATTTTCTTTTTTTTTAATTTAAAATTACAATTAATTCAATTTAAACATATTGACTGATAAATTAACTACTTTTTACAGTTTTGATTGCATTATTATTTATTAATATGATTTTGATTGAACTAATAACGGAATTGATAAAAACATTATCCTCGTGTGCTTTGCTCAGCTTTGGAAACTTTTATTGGAATTGAAAATTTGACGTAGTTTGTGTTATTTTTTCAATACTTCCATTAATCAACTGTGAAAATTTTAATCACATGTATATTTTCATATGTGTTAAATCTAGATATTTACTTTTTAGTAGTTTTTTAAATGTTCTAGTGTATATTTGAATTTAAGATAAGAATTATTTTATGGAAGTAATAATTTATTTTTCTTTAATTATTTAATCATATTTTCGGTTTACTGCAAAAAGTCATTAATTTACTTTTGATAACCTCAAATAATTAACAACTTTGATGAATTTTCCCTTTTGAAATAAGCAAAATGTGCACTTAGTGTTGCTATATATGATATATTAAAGGGTGTGTGTCATTTTCATGAATTTACTGTGTTGTCGTATAGATAAATAAGGTTGAGATTCACAAAAATATATTTGAAAATTAACCTTTATTAAATTACACTTAGTGATTATTTGCAACAAACTGATGATATTTTCTGATTTTTTAGGGTTATGATTATTCTAGCTCATTTCTCTTTTCAATTATGTAATATATATATATATCTGTATATGGTCACTACCACATTAAAATAATGAATATGAAAATAAATATTTTTCAGGAGATCAAAATATAAGTTTTATTTTTAACTTTTCTAAGCCATAGATTTGTGTCTATTAGATTTGATTTTATTCACATTCATTACCATAAAGTGGTTGTGACGATATGTCGAAATGTATTTTGACAGCTGATATAGTTAAGTGACCACGGTATTGTCATAATATCATTATCCATGCCTCCACTTCCAATATGGCTTGTCCTGATGGACCATTTAGGCAGCCTACACGAATGGCAATTGTTACCGGTTCTTATTGTTGACTTAACAATTAATGCGGTACAGACGTTAGCTGTCCATAGCACTTAAATAAACTGGATCCTCTAATTTATTTTGAGTATTTCTGAAAATACTCACCATTATACATACTTGATATTCCAGCTGTATAAATCCCTCCAAGCCATGATCATTTTGAAATCATTGCCCTCCTAGAGCTTCTTAAAGCTGAACAGTCTGGGCTCTAAGGATGATGAGTAAGTTAATTTCAGTGCATTTCCTTTGCTTTTATGACCGTTAGAGCCGCAGTATGGGGCCTGGCATTTCCATGGAGGAGAATGATCTCTCATCATTGAATGATCTGTTGGTCTGTTCTTTTGTGGTGATATGTATCTCTTACTTTGTTCGACTTCTTGCAGTAGTAAGCAGCATTGCTTGTGTCTTGCTTAAGGCAAAAATCAATGACAAAAATTACTTCAGTTTCCTTCAGCACTCCTTACTGGCTTGTTTAGATTCCACAATGTAATGTGAACCTACGTTTCGTTGCAGATGATGATCAAACTCAAAAATCCACTTCCTTCTTTCGCAAAGCTTGCTATAAGCCTCTTACAGTCTTGATATCTCAACTTCTGATTTTCAGTAAAAAGTTGAGGGATCCATCTGGCACACACTGCTTGGAACCGTAGGTCATTTCTGATGATCTCTTGACAGCTCCCGTAACTTCTTCCAATCTGTTCTGCAATTTGTGATACTCTCATCTGTCAAATATCTTAAAGAATGTCTGAAACCACACAAATGTTTTTGTCCGAATACGGTGATCATGTTGCTGTTTTCCATGCATTCTCATCTCTCCTTGAACTCTTTATGTGTTGCAGATGCTATTTAAAATATGCGGTCTTGGCTTTTGACAATGATTTATTTTATTCTGAATAAACTTATATAATTTAAAACTAAACAAATTTTAAAGCATAAAAATGCATTTATACCAACTTTCAGACATTTTGAAATTGCCATTAAAATTGTTTAAAAATACAAGAGATTGGTTTTTATTATTTTAACATTCTGAAGTAAACTAATTATGAGACAATGATTTATTCCAAACTTAAATTCAACCCTCCCTCTAGAATTTAAAACATCTATTATATTTATAAAATTATTATAACTTGTTGGTGATATTAGGTTAATATGGGTCACTCCTTCCATTTCTCCTATGTGTCAAGGTACTCAAAAAATAATATCCATGGCTATCTACCGAAAAAATCCTTTCCTTTCATAGAAATGAGCTTAATATATTTTTTTTCTACTGTATGGCTCTTGAAACGGTTAAGGCAGCTATACAGTAGATTTTTATGGTTATCAATTTGTAACAGTTATTAATGACAAAATCTTGGGCACAACAGGCATGGATGTCGAACAGGGTTTTCCTCCAAAGGCTTGCAGATATGCTGCGACTATTTCTTGAATCGGGGGCATACCGTCAAGGTGTTCGTCCCTCAGTTCAGGCGAAGACACCACGCCACTTCGGACTTCCACATCCTAGACAAACTGGAAAAGGAAAAGATCCTTGTCTTTACTCCTAGCCGAAAGGTTGAAGGGAAGCAAGTTGTCTCGTATGATGACAGGTATTTTTCACTACTTTGAATCATCTCAGCAAAGCTCTCTTTTCATTTATAATTTTCCATTTAACATTCTTGTGTGCATATTATTTACACTTGAAAAATACTTACTGTAAGGAGTACATTTGTATAAATATTAAAATAGGTGTCAATTGCTTACTACTAGTGAAAGTAAGTTGGATTATTAAATAACTATTAGATCTCTGTGAAATTCGCGCATTAAATATCTCTAATACATTCAAAGTGTAAGCAATTTTATCGGAACATTTTTGTTTGTATAAGAAATATGTTTCTATCAGGAAAATCGATATAATCCATCAGTACTTTTTTTATTGAATACTCATTTAATAATTATTTATTCAGATAACATATCAGATTTTACAATAAATAATCTCTATCTCATTTACTGTTTGTTAGTTTATTATAAATAATTTCCTACCATCCTATGTATTTGCTAATTGCAAGTTGTTTATAATTTTGTTTTTTTATATTTCTGCTCGCTCTTGATGAATTTCAGATCAATTGTCTCTAAAATCTATTGACAGACCTAGATCTAGAATTTCTTCTTGGTAGCAATAAGGCATAGTATTTCTTCTGTATCTTAATATCGACTGGTAGAAATAATATTCTATTTAAAAACAATATTATTATTACATTTGCCAAGTAATAAAATATATTATAAATAGCCAGTTTAAATAGATATAAAGTTTATAAATTTGGCCCATTTAGTCCCTCCTCATTGTAATCTATGGTTGTAGGTATATTGTTGAATATGCAACCAAATGTGGTGGCGTTATTGTATCAAGAGACAACTATCAAGATCTGCTTGCTGAGAATTCAGAATGGAAGGAAACTATAAACAAAAGGTATAATTCTTATTGTAAAATAATTATATCACTCTGAATTAATATTTTGTATTAGATTTTTTTTTTTTGTTATAATAAAGATAATTTAGATAGTAATTTTTAAATTATATCAATTCCATGTTAAAAATTTCTTTTTTTGTTTTGAAGTCAACCCACTAAAATCTCCAGTATGAAAATTCTTCCTAATAAGATGTTTATTTTTGTAATGCTATTGAGGACTTCATATCAGGTGTTTTGTGGCCTGTTACATTATATCTTTCCTAAAAAGAATACTTGAAATGTAAATTCAATGAATTGATCTATTTTAATGATAGACTGTTGATATATATATATATATATATATATATATATATATATATATTACATTCTCTTACCTATATTTGAAATATATACTAAGGAAAAGTATAGCAATCGTGAAAACATTTTTCAATGGAAGTACACATTTTGAAGTAAGTTTGAATCAATCCAAATAATCAAGTCTTACTAATGGCCTGTAAGTGTGTTTGGATGGATGGGTACGCCCATGTGCAACTTAACTTAAAAATTAAAAGTGGTTTGGAACTGAAATTGCGTATGTTAAGAATTCGTATACCTGGGATGGTTAGGGTGGGGAGCAAGGATGTCAGAGTGTGGTAAGGATAAGGAGCTGGTAAATAGTAGGTAATCATAATTAAGCAATGTTGAGCATGGTAAGTACTTGGATGGGTGGCTGTCCATTGGGAAAAGCCATGCTGCCCATGACTCACATCCTACCTCCTCGGATTACAAGTCCTTTTAGTCTGCTGAAACCAACTCACACTAACCAGATGTAGATGTGATAACCGTATCTCATGTCCTTTAATCAAAAACTGCAATATGATTTTTTACTATGTCAATATCCACTGAGAGGTTTGATCTATGGAAGGTCTCTTTCAGAGAAGGAAATATAGGTCCTCGTGGGCTGCTGATTCTGAACTGCCATAATCCATGGATCTAAACCAATTTGTCACTCTTCTTAAACCTGAACGAGTCAGGTGGGAAGTGACAAATAGGAACCTGCAGCTGCACCATGAAGATCATGGTCTGTAGCAATGTTTGGTTGGATGACCCTCTGCAGATAATCTGTGGTCCCCACAAGCAACATCTGTCTCCAAGAAGACCACATCATGTGGCCAAAGATCCACATGGTCTATTGCAACAATTGGAAAAAGTGTGGAAGTAGGTTATGAATTAATGAAAAATACATTATTTTAATAATTTAGTGGGGAGAGGGGGGAATTAGTAATTTATTTTTTTCTTTCCTAAATCTGTAGCCTCTAAGATAAAGAAAACCATGTCCATTTTTTTTGCTTTCCTATCTATACTAGGTAAGGAAAGTATTGGGATCGGGTCAAATTTCCAATAAGCAGTTTTCGACGGATCTATACGTTTCAGAGCCCTCTGAGTTCGAAAAGCACATTTTTAGCCATTGGTCTGTCTATCTTTCTGTCTGTCTATGCCAAGATTTTCTTGGAAACTAGTGAACCGATTTGGTTGCTTCTTTTTTTATTTTGTAGTGTTTTGACTACCGATGCAAGCTGCTGCGTAATAAATTAAAAACATATTTTTCTATAGACTGAAAATAGCTCTAACAATTTTGATGAAACTTTCCTATAGTGTTCTAATAATTTTCTTTTAAATTTTCGTACATATACTAAATTCCCGAAAAAAGATCAGGCAAAAAAGTTATAAAGAAAAGAAAAATGTTTTGTGGCCTAACTCGCTAAGTATATATTCTATGCTAAAATTTATAATAAAACTTTTGAAAGATAATTAAATTACTAGCAAAACAAAAAAACAAGTCATCGGAAAACACTGTTTAGCCTGTTTTTTTGAAAGGTAATGAAATTCTCTACAAAACTAGGGTTCATACCCTGGTTTCAGAAAAGGTTGAATTAGAGAAAAAAGATAACTAAGTGAAAGTAAGAAAATCTGTTGCTTGCATCACACAAGCTTCACTATTTCCGCTATTTTTAACAGAGATTATTGTTTGACAAGATTTTGGCTATGACTAAAAGCTTTTTTCAGCAATATTAGTGAGTATTGAAATTTTTACACTGATCTACCTTAAGCTGGTTTACATTGCTTTAGTTTATCAAATAAATCGTACTCAAATCTTTTCCTCAATCAATTTTCAAGAAAATCAAATTTAATTCAATTTTTTTTTTTGTTTCTTGATGGAAATATATAAAAATAAAAAATACTTTTCTGAAATAGATAGGAAAGTCGTGTGAGTGGGCACACCAGATTTTTATTAAATAATTTAGTAACCAAAAAACAAATCTAAATTGATCAAATTTATGGAATATTGGATTCACTGAACTAATACAAAAATGAACATGGTGTTGTATACCTCCGAGGTACTGATATAAGAAAATAAATACTTATCTATATCGAAACTTGTGTGATGTATATGTGTATATATATCTACATGTACCAGATTTTTTTTATTACAAAAATTATGTAATAAAATTCAGTCTTTTTCTTAAGATAATAAATTTTCCTGTAGTTAATTACATTTTGCTGACAGGTTATTGATGTTCACGTGGGTCGATGATATGATTATGTTCCCACAAGATCCCCTCGGAAGAACCGGCCCATCGCTTGAAGAATTCCTCTCATTTCCCCCTGAAACGTCTAAAGGGGATACAAAAGCGGCCTCAGTCACCACGAAGTAGCTCTGGTAAAAAATAGCATACATATTTTGATAATAAATATGTATTAAAGTTTCAAACACATTGTATGTGAATAAATATGTTTTGAAATTAAAGAATGTTAAAAAAAAAAAAAAAAAAATGGGAAGAAACATTTAAAAAGAGTACGGACCGGCCACAGTCATCCTGAAGTAGAGACCTGGAAAATAAAATATAGTGTATATATTTTAATAATAAAAATTTATTACAAGTTTCAAAACATTATATATTATATTTGAATAAATGTTAAATATTTTTTTAATTAAATAAGTTTAAAAAAAAAATGGGAAGAAATGTCTAGAGAACTGAACTGGTTATTCATCAACCATTAAGTTTATAGCTTTGATAAAGCATGCTGTACATATTTTGTAAAAAAAAAAAAAACCGAGTGCTACAAAATTCCAAAGCATTTTATGTTAAGTGTTGAATATTTTTTGTAATTTAATGTATATTTAAAAATAAATAAATTATTTTGGTACACTGTAGGTAATTTAGGTTTAACACCATCCTGTTACCAAAAATGATATAATTTGTAAGTTTACATCATTCGCATTTATAATATAAAATATATTGTGCATAAATAAGCAAAAAGTACAATTTTTTTTATCTTTATTAAATATATTATTTTTATTGTATCATAATTAATTTCATTAGTCATTTATGTGATGGATTATTTTGAGTTGTTTTTCTTTTCACAAGCTGATAGTTCCAAATGAGGAGAAAAATTTGAGTAAAATAAGTTTTGATATCACATTTGTGTCAAAATGCTTTAATATTTAATCTCTTAGTTTAGTTTTTGTTTTTTATGGGTGTAAAAAACATTTAATTAATTGAATTATTGTGTTATAAGTAGGATGTATTTTCATTGAACTGATAAAATAATAATGTTAAGAGTTTATGAATCCTACTTATTACGGGAATAAGTCATTTGTTTTAGCTTAATTAATGTTTATAGAATTTATTCATATTTATTACTCTTGATTTAGTTATGCCAGTGTAAAGAATCAGTTTCTGGAACATGTTTATTTTTGAGATAATTAAACGCTGTGAATCATATCTGAGTTTTCATTTTACCTTTTGTATAAATGCAGTGTTGCCATTAGTTCAAGAATTGTCATATTTGTACAAGAGTTTTAAGTTATTGTACGAGGTTCATACACAGGTTTTCCAGGTAGCTCATGTATTTTCCTCCTAAACATCTTTATTTTTTATTAAACATGTACATTTTTCTCCTTAAATCCGCCAACTTAGGCCCCTAATGTTTAATTCTTATTTTTCTTTTACTGTGATCAAAATTATCTCTCTGGAATAAGATGAGGAGAAATTATTTTTAAAAAAAAGATTATTTATAACGTTTATATTAACTTAATTTAATCTATTTGATATCACTTAAATTAGTAACCCTAGTTGAAAGATCAGATCAAATTAACGATAACAAGCAAAATTAAAACCAATAAATCAGTCATGAACATTCAACAAGAAATGAATTTATTCAAAATTTTAATCAGATACAAATTTTATAGTATCAACCTGTAAAATCTCTCCAAATTGTATCTGTAACGGTTCAACGGCAGTAGGCAATATATGCCTGTCACGTCGGTTTTACTTCGTAGACGTGGAATTTTTTCCTTAATGTTTGAAGTAAATTAAAAAATATATATGAAGAATTAATCAGGTCTTCCTACTATTTTATCATTCTTTATTAGCCTGAAATTTCATGTTTTTATTGCCTGTTTTCAAAAGGTGTCAACTTGTTATTTAATCATTTTCTTTCAATATTATCATGAATGGTGCAAATATTCTCATTCCTCTAATAGTGAAGAAACAAAAGAGAAAACATCTATAATTCTTAATTATAAGGCTAATCCCTTCAGAACAAGAAAAATCCTAAAAATTTAAAAAAACAGAACCAGATTTATTTTAGTTAATTTATCACACATAATTTTTTTTAACATCTCGAAATTTTCAAACATTTGAAATAATCTAAAACCAAAAGCATAATGTAACCAATTCTGATTGTTAACAATTGACAAATGCCTCAATGTTGACAAAGTGTGAAATATTAATTTTATTGTCAAAATTATGGGATATTTAAACAGCTAAAAAAAATTGTAAGAGATCTAAACAATTTTATTAACAGATCTTTTGTAAAATATAGAAGTAATAGGAACGTTGGCAAAAATAAAAAATTTTAAAAAAGACTGCGTCCTGAATATTTATCACCCATGATATGTAGAACAGTCGACTAACTTCCTTCAAGTAATAGGAAGATTAAATCATTTTTTTAAATGGATGTGTTCATAAATATTTTTTAATGAACTAGGTTAAGAAAAGTATATATATAGATTAACTATATTTATTTACATGGTTAAAATACAAAATCCATGTTCTTGGACGGATCATTTCTAAAATCAACTGTTTCAGAAATTAAATTTATAGTCTTTTACAATCAATCAATTATTTTATACATCAACTATAACATATTTAACAAAAAATATATATATTATTCTCAAAAACATTTTTCATTTACTACAAAAATTATAATAAAATAACAAAACAGGAAAACATATGAAACTCACCTTTTAAATATAGATTGATCAAATCAGACCTTTTATTTAATAATTCAAACTATACTTAATACAATTCAAAAAATTATCTCTTTGGAATGTGGAAGCAATGACATATGTTTCTGTATGAGGAAGTCTGTATATCAGGCAATAACAACTTCACAAGTTTATGTGCAAAAAGAAAACATTAAGCAACGATTTAATGAATTTAACCACCACACTAGATAACAATAATGAAATTCAAAATATAACAATAGAATAATTATTACAATAGTTGATTTCCTTGAATATAATTTAATCAGAGAGCCCCAAATTGATACTGAACACATTTATACTTCAAAAGAAAAGTGAAGATAAATTATTATTTTAACAGTAACTGAAGTATGTTATATTTTTATCTAATCATTATAGATAATCTATATAAACAATATAATGGTATTAGAAAAATATCTTCAATAAAATTTTATTATCAATATATATATAATAATTTTCAACAAATTCAAAAGGTGAGTTCCACTAACATATACAAATATTTGTAATATAAGTAATTTTAATCTAATTAGTCTAAAAAGTTGTGACGTTTCAATTATCAAAAATAAAATAATCTAATTATTAAATAAAAATTTGAACCCAAACACCTAAATTGCTCTGAAATTTTATCAGACAAATATACAGACAAACGTTATAAATCATGAAAATAAAAATTTATGATTATAAATATCTTATATCTAAAACATAAATTTAACAAACAAGAGAAACAATCCTTCAGTGATTTAATCTAGAAATCTGAAAATCATTTTAAAAATTAAATTGATCCAATGCTCTAGCAATGGCAATATCACAATGAAAATCGCACCATAGTTTATACTCGCATATATACTTTGCATGGAATAAAACATAATATATATTACAGCTAAAATGTATATATTTAAATAAAATTATCACCTATTACTGAAAACACAAAACAAATTTATTATTCAAAAATAGGCAGTTACAACTTAAAATGTTTAATTTTAGTAACCATCAGGAACTAATTATTTTCAGAGATATATAAATTAGTCTCGATAACGCCCAACATTCATACTTAGTATGTTAGGGCATTTCTTATTGTGTGACAGTTTGGCGTTGATATCAAGCATACAAGGCTTTGGAAAAATAAAGAGTATAGCTTTAATCTATAAATAAGAAACAGATATAGTTCAAAATGAAGTAACCAACATGAGTCACCAAATAATTAAAATAACATTTTCATAATTATTATTGAAGCTCATATGTAGAGTTTAAGTATGAGGTTTCGCAGTTTAAAATCATATTCACCTCAATAAAATGTGCACAACTGATATGACCCTGTCTTGATTACAATATACAATACAATTTTAACATTTCTTTGAAACAAACTCACGTGCTATATGGTAACTACGATCAAATGAAAAGCAATCGAAGAAGCCTCTAAAATATAATAAATAATAATAATCTCTGGCTTTCTACAACTATGCTACCAATTTACATATTTTACATGAAAAAATATAATTATATTCTTGCGATAATTAAGGTCTTTATGATAAATTCATTTTTTCCAAAAAATATTATGAAGATTGGTGGTCTGTTTTGAAATAGGAGTCGTAAGCATTTTTGTTACTTTTTGTTTCACTTCCTCTACATGGCCGGCTACTGCTACCCTGTAAGAATGCCAAAAAATTAGAATAAGTAAACCATATCGATAGTATTCATTAAAAAAAGAAAGTTTTATAAAAATATTATAAGTGATATAGCAATGAAAAATAACAAATAATTATTCTAAAAACAAAATTAATGTATCATATTATGTACAAATTAATCCAGTTCAGTATTTTTAGATCTTAACCCCGTGGTAACAATTGGTTCTTCTCTGGTAAGACCTTTGTCGCTTTGTGAATTTTTTTATTGAATTATTATTTATTCTTATGTGTGTAAACTAAGAGCTCTTATTGATGATAATTATATTTTATATTTTTGAACTGTGACTTTTTGTTCGATATATATATATAAGTCCCATTGTATTTAATTATAAGAGAATTCTATACAACCTTGAATTTGAATGCTGCGGTGTTACTGAGGGTACTCTGAATTCTAGGTCTCTAATCATGGCTGATACTGTCTCGGAATGTGTTGGCAGTCTAAGCTGACACGTCACTTCCAGCTTCCTGAGCACAGAATATAATTACTGAAATCAACACTCATTACAACTGATACAATATCACCTTATTATAACCATTTCATAAAAATTATAATATTCAAACATCTATAATTAAAGTGAAACTAAACTTAGTGAGAGAAAGAACGTTCAAAACTAATTTTAACATGAAATTTTTTTTTTGTATATGTACGGCCGAAGCGATTACTACATTAGCATAAATGTAGAGATACTGTAGTTCTGTCTAAGATAATATACTTCACCTAAAAAAAAACCTAAAGACACTACTTTTAAAAATTAACTTCTTTTATTTTTTATTATATGCATGAATAACTGATAAAAAAAAAGGTTAATAAAAATCATTATTGTTTGGAAATGTAAATATATATTTTTAAAAATTATGATAATTCGTTTTAATTTAATAAGTGTACATTTTATTTTAATAATAATAGTTGTAATTTAGCGATATCCTGATAGAGGGGTGCAGAATCATAAAATTATGAATATGAATTATTTATTTTAAATAATAAAAAAACACTGGAAATGGGATTAATACAACTATAATTATTCTTCTTTAATTAGAATATTTCATTAAAATCTGTGCTCTGGGGCAGAGGTGGGCAAATGCTACTCTGTGAATCGAGTACCAAGTATTTTACTCAAATTGAATCACTATTTTACATTCAATTAATCATTTGACATCAACTGAAGTAGTGATTAAATTCTTTGGTACTCAAAAAAGATCAGTATTTGAGTAAAATACTTGGTACTCAGTACTCAGGGTAGGATTTGCCCATCTCTGCCCCGGAGTTAAAGGACAACATGTCCATATTTTTAAAAAATAATTTAGTAACTAATAATAATTTTAATAGCTCAAAGTTATGGAAAATTGAACCAATACAAAAATGTGGCATTATGTTCTTTAAAGATTGTTAATAAACACAAATTGTTTCTGAAATCAAATAATAATGTACTAATCCAGTAAAATAAGAAGTCCATCTTGCAAAGCGATTAATGTAAAGCTTGTTACTTTCAAAACATTTCAAAAATTAATATTTTTTTATGTATATTTTAAGTTAAGGTCCACAACTTATAAAAATAACAACAAAAATGAAGTAATGTCCAATGTCAGTTTGTTCAAACACTAGTCAGTAATTAAGTACATCATTAAGTACCTAATTTAATAGCTAATAATTATAAAAAATATATTATAAAATTAATAAATACCTGAGCGAAGGTAGAAGAGTGTTAGCAATAACCTGCTTGGACATCTGGCAATAAACAGTATTTGAGAAAGCTTCAACCAGTGCTGCAACCACCTCCTCGCTCTTGTTTGAGCACAGCTTATCCAATTCACGCAGCAATACTGAAAGAACAAAACTTATTTTTTATTCTAAGAAAAAAACATAATTATAATAGATGTTCTAATAACTAAAAACATTGCAAATTATTACGCAATGGTTTATTATTTCCGAACACTTATATATTAAATGTAACATTACTTTATTTGTCACATAGAGGAAAATAAATAAAAGGTGATTCCTAATACAGGCATAATATTTTTGTTTTCATCATTAGTAATTTGATAAGAATTATAGACACTGATATCGATTGCTTCATGTCATGAAAGACTTTCCAAGAATATAAGCTTTGCAGCAGAACGTGTGTAAAATATTTAGAACAACATATCTTTGCAACAAATTGTCCAATTTTCAACGATTGTTTTAATGTTTTTTTGGAAATTTTATAAAATTTCAAATAACTACAACTATAACTGCACAAAAGTTTATACTTTTTGAGTTATTCAAAATGTAATTTTACTACCATTTTTGTAATTTTACCAACTTTTTTTCCAGCTTCTTTTCAGTAAGATATGTTATACAAATAAATTTAAAGGAGAAATCTTTAGCCTAGTTTCATCAAAATCGGTACATTTGTTTAGGTGCTTCATCTAAATGGTACACTTTTTTAGCCACCATCTTAATAGGAAAGTATTTTCCATTAGATTATATAATGAACATAAATTTAAAGGGTTTCAAAGAGATAGTTAAGGCTAAATTTCATTAAAATCGGTAGATTAGTTTAGGCGCTACAGTCTATTTCAGTTACAATCGTGAAAAGAGTAATGGCGAGTTCTGAGGAACATCCTCGGTGCCTTTTGACATTGATACTAAATTTCAAAACAATCGGTCTGGTAGTCTCGGAGAAAAGCCATGGACAACAGATGGACAGAATTTCATCTCAAGTGGGCTAATGTGTGCATCACCCGGCAACCTGATGACCAAATTTAGATAGAAAAATATTACGAGTTCAAATCCCAGTATCCGGTAGGAATTTTAACTCGGCATAATTCTCCCGCCCTCTCCCAAGGACCGGGAAAAATCCTGTGTAGCCTAAAAGGCAAGGAAGGAGAGAACAAAAAAAAAAGGTTCAAATCCTGAGTGCTAGAGAGAGTTTTAACTCTGCCATGAAAAAAAAAAGATAGACAGAATTTTTTGTATTCGAGTTTCTTGAAACATAAACCTTCAAATTTTGAGGGGCAGTTAACTTTTTCTCTTAGTTGATTATTAAAAAATTAACCAAAAACACTGTACTTTAATAGAAAGCCTCTTTATCCTTTATAAAAAAAATTATAGGAAAATATGACTTCAGTGATGGAGCTTAATGGCTCATAATTTTGTTTGTTTCTACACTCTTAATGTTCATCGGGAAGTATTGTAAACTTTATAAAAGGATAGAAAATGTTTTAAGTAATAATTAATAGCAGTAATTAATATCACCTTGCTCTCTAAAATTAGATTCAGCTTTCGGTGCCAATCTACCGATGGCTGAAACCACGGCTAAAAGGACAGGAGACTGCTCACAATCTGCTCCGTCGGTAATAATCCTTCCAGTCTCGAAGTAACACTTCTCCATCACCTTTAATTAATCAAATAATTTAAAACAGTGAAACAAATCGGCATTTTAATTTTTAATGAAAAATCAAGAAAATAAATACCTCCCTGCTGCTGCAGCATTCCAGTATAAGGGTGTGGACCAACAACGTAGATACCCTCACTGACCTAAAATAATAGCAAGTATAAAATTAAACAATGCCCGAACGACTCCTTTAAAAAGAAACTAAAAAAAAACTTCCATATAATCTCTTTTTATTAATAAAACATTTACATACTGGCGTTTTGTAGATCTCCTCCACCATCAGAGTTCCACTTTAAATAAACAATGTAACAAACCATGCAGACATGATTACAACAATACAATCTCTGAAAGATCTTGGGTTAAGTAATTTGTAAGGAAGAACAGTTACATGGCCGGCAGCGGTTGTGTAGGGTGGTTATTGGGGCGAGATCTCTCTCAACCACCAGGTTTTCCTCCTTAATTAATTATTAAGTGTAACCACTTTATAGAGACTGAGAGTACTCCATAGTCAATCCATAGCTGATATAACAGAATAAATAATCATCTGCCACAGCTGGACACGAACCCCAGATCCTGAGCATAGGAAGTCAGTTGCTTACCCACGTTCCCAAATACATCATATTCATCATTAAGCATGATAAATAAATTTATTATATATAAAATGAAATAATAGATTTATATAAATATAAAATAGAAATATTTCTTCACATAAAATAAGAAATATCACTAATAATTAATAAAATAGATAAATATGTGAGTAGAAGCCAAAAATAAAATAATACAATTAGTACAATCTCTAATCCAATCTCTATTTGACAGCATCCCTCCCCCTCCCCTCCCCCCGAACAACTCCTTTTCATATTATATCACGGTCAACCATCTCTACATCATTAGAATACTTTTTTATATATAAAAAAATTGTATTTTATTTATTAATTATGACATATTATATGGTTTTTAGTTCTGAGATAATTCAAAAACATTAAATATAATAGTTAAAAGTATTCTTTTTTTAATGTAATGTATTAATTCTAGAATGATTCTAGAATTTATATATATTGTCTCTAAGTCACTAAGTACATTTTTGATATAGGTCAACTTTCAAATATGTTTTTGTGAATTTTGACCTTATTTATTTATACAAAAACACCATCTCATTTTATAAAGAAAAACTATATCAAAGTTGTTAATTATTGGAGGTTATGAAATGTCACTTAATGACTTTCTTGCAATAAAATGACGATATATTTATTGATAGTGATTAATTTTGTTAAGTTATTTTCTTAGAATGGAACCTTATGATGGAGGAGATCTGAGCATATTCAAATATACTTCTGAATAGTTAGAAAAAAATATATTGTAAAAAGATAAATATCTTTTATTGGAAATCTGTAAAATTTCAAATTCAATTTAGTTACAATTTTCTATCCTTCTAGAATAAAAAAAATAAATAATAATAACTAGAAGATATATCTTTCCTAGTTTCAGCAGTACCTTTATCACAAAATTGAAAATATTTAATTATCAAATAAATGTGTGCGTATATATATTTTTACTTTATAAAAATATCCATAGCAACTCCATATCAATTAACATGATTGCACAAAATAATATACTTGACAATTACACATCAGGGTCTGATGCAAGGGTTACAAGAGGCGGGAGAAGTCGATTAGCGATTAGATGTTCTGTCGAATAGGGTACTATCTCAGCCAACAGTTTGCTCGTTAGTACTTTAACTTTTGCCTGCGGATGAACGATTCCTAAACAACAGATAAATAATTCAATCACATCTCCGATTATTTGCTCTGCATAATTTGTGCTAAGTAATTTTTATATAACTATTTTATTCGTATAACTAAAAAAAAATTGTATTATTATAAATACCTTGCCAGAGAGCAGAGATCAATGGCTCGATGAGGTTGAAATGTTGAGCAGAACGACGAGCTACTAAACACATAGCATCTGGCGAAGAACCGGACAGACCAATCGATATTATGAGCCTTCCAATTGTTTTTTCAACTTCATGCTCTAGCTGCAATTGAAATAATCATTACTAGTTACTTCATTCTAGCCCTGAGCATTCTTGAAATAATTTATTTCTGAAATAATATTTCAAATTGCCCATGAAATAATCTCAATGAAATAGCTACTAAATGTATTTCTGAAATAATTATTTTGATACTTTAACATTCATTAAAATAAAGTAATTTATTTTGAAATGAGTTATTTCAGACTTACTTTTTACATAAATAAAATGTTTCAAAAAGCATGAATTAATTCTTTCCAAAATAACTCTGTTGTGAAATAGCATTAAACAATAATAAAAATTAAACAATACAATACATAAAATTTAAATATATAGTATAACACTACCTGAGCAACCTCTAATCCACCTATGACAGTAACCATAATATAGTGCATTTTTTCATCCAATACCTTCAGATATCCACCACAAAGAGGCTGAATGTGCCCGACCACAACAAAATTAATTTAGCTTCCACCATCATATTCATTTCTACAACCTGAGTGGCTATGGATTTTTTACACTACATTACATTTAAAAATTTTAAAAGGAGTCAGGATTGTGTGGGTTATTAACAAGATGGTCCGAAATTGCATCCACTACTTTCCTAAACACAACAATATTTTGAACAGCTCAACTAATTCGACCAAACTTCTAGGAAAGAGGGAGATTAAGATAAAACGGTCAACTTTCACTTTTATCAAGTTTTCATCCATTAATGTTTCTTAAGTAAGTGAAAATATATTTTCCTTAAGAAACATATAGATGATTACATGCAAAATAGAAATTGTTAGGAAGCTATACTGAAACAACTTGGTAAGATTTTTTTTCCCTATTCTATTCTAATAAAAGTCAGTTATAAAAAATTAACAGTTATAATCCATGGTACACACCTCTTTTTATTAAATTATTAACATACGCCTAAAACTTCATCTCATCTTAACTTTTTTATTTATGAAAATTCTCGAAATTGGGATGTTTTCAATCTGGAGGTCGACAAACTTTCTCTATTCAATTAGGAACTAAAAACTCATGAACACCCATTTGTTTTCCACTTGAATCATAAGATAATTTGATCAGAAAATCAAGGAGAAAAGTAGACTAAATAAGTATTAGCCGTTTAGTGTGACTTCCATCACCAACATGCCAAAATGACAAGGTTATATAGACCAAACGGCCTAATATTTTAGTAGGTATCTTTTTTTTCAATTAAATTATCTTACAATTCAAGCAGAAAGAAAATGAGTATTTATCAGTTTTTAGTACCTAATTATATTGATTAATTTAATGAGAAATTCTCCATCTCTGAGAATTTTCGTAGATAAGAAATTTGTACATTACGATAAGATGCAACCCATTTTTAGGAGGATGTTAATAATTTGATAAAAAAAGGGCCTATACCACAGATAATGTTTGCCCTGGACTTAAACAATTCAAAAATCCCTGTCATACCTCATACTTAAAATGAACACAATTACACAAAACATTATCCATGAAGCATCAATGATAAAATACAAACCTGCAATGGCGTGAGGATGCCGAGGATATGCACAGGAATAATAGAGAGCATTACAGTGTTACCAGATTCCTCAAGGCTAGATTCCAACTTGTCGAGTCGGCTCTCTACCATACTCTTTACCTACAAAACGTTTATAATGAGAAGAAAAATAATATGTCTAAGTGTTTTTTTTATTACCACATGGAAGGCCAAAAAGCAAATGGATAGATCGAAACATTAAAGATTCAATAGAGCTTTATGCAGATAACTGGCAAGAAATAGCCCAAGAGAGTTATAAATGGAGTAGGCTTGTTTTGTTTTTTCCAATTAATTGAAATCAACTCTCCATCTCTCACTATTTGGCATTGTAGCTTTTTTTCCAGTCAAGCTCATTTTGCAGATGCCAGAAGGTTTCGATTGTTCTGAAGGTCATTCAATATTATACTCCCACTTACAACTCTCTTCTTTGCTCTGTCCACGACTGGAATTGCCCGCCACTTATTAGAAATTTAAAAAAATAATACAAAGCATATGAGAAAAATTAATTTTTGCCTATTAATAAAGCTAATAATTATTATATTCTGTTACAGGAAAGGAAGAAAATAATTTTCTTTAGTTCCATTAATATTTTTAATCTCTGAAAAGATAAGAAAGAGAAAAATAAAACGTCATGTATTTCATTTTGTGGGATCAGAATATGCGCCAGGACAAGATTTATCAAAAAAGCACAAAACCTCATTTCCCATAAAAATGACCCTTATATGGTTTTGCAGTGTGACTGTCGATATGCTTAAACATGATCATATTCGTCAATTGTGACTGGAAAACAGTTAACAGTTTGGCTAAGAGATGTTTTAAAAGATCAAGGATGGATACGTCCTTATATCTCCGATAACATGCCCTATCTCTTCTCTTCAAACCTCTCAGAATATTTACACTTCAAATAAACATTCTTTAATAAACAATCTCTTTGATAATCCTCTCTTCAAATAAACAATCTCTTTGATAATCCTTGTTTTGTTTGGTTTTTTTTTTAAAGCAAGAAAAAAAAATTTTAAAATAGGAAATATTAAAAAATTGTTCACTACCTCTTTGAATGTGAACCCGGAACCAAGGATGTTCGTAATACTGGTAAAAAATTTAATGAAACCAACAACTACATCTTCTCGTTTAGGGTCGACCTTGTCCAGGAGACTAAGGAGTTCAGGAATTCTGGAATCACAAGTTACATCAAAATAAGTATCTCAAAGCAGAAATATGTCTTATTATGACAAGAATACTTACAAAGTATCCTTCACCCACAAAAGGAGAGGCGATAATACATCCTCTGCAAGTTTAAGAACTTTAATTAGCGACAGACTATTGGTTTTAATTTTATTAGAACAAAATAATAATTTTAATTATTCTGACCAGTTTTGGCTTCTTCTTCAGGTACAAACAACGGAAGGCATGCAGTCATTCCACGGAGGCACATGACAATGCTTCTATCACGGTCAACTGCATTCTTTTCCTCCTTAAAAAATACCAAAACAGATTAAATAAATTTTAACATTTTTTTTTAAATAAAAAAACTGTTTATAATTGAATACATCACATTATCTTGTTTCTTTGCCATACAGGAAAGTATAATAACTATCAAACTTAATTACTTTAACAAATTTACTTGGCCTATAATTAATTTTTTTATTTATTTATGATATTTACAACTGTATACAAGTCAGAAAAAAAATACATTCAGTAAATGTGATAACAGAAAATAATAACATGAAAACACTTGTTGAGAAACTAACACTGGTAGCACTCTAAAAAAAAATAATGTATTTACAATAGAAGATCACGAGGCCATCTTCTTTTTAGACGCCTCGGAGGGTTATCAGGGATCAAATAGGAAGCAAGGTTAGAAACGAGAGGGTTCGGATGGTTCTGAAGTTTATTATGGAAGAATAGGTATCTGGATTGGGCCAAATCGGAAACATATGGAACATTAAGGTCATTATGTATTATTTTATTTGTGACAAAGTAAGGAGCATTGAGGATTTTATGAAGGATTTTAAATTGTAAGGATTGGATACGTGAGGAATTCGATGGCTTAGTGGAGCCCCAAATCTCAATTCCGGAAGTCCAAATAGGTCTAATTGTAGTCCTGTATATGAGTCTTTTGTAATTAACTGAAAGCTTAGAGCGTTTGTCTAGTAAATGCTGGAGTAGTCGGAAACTGAAATAGGGTATAATTTACAAAATAGTTTTTGTTTCACATTAAAGGTATAAATCAATCCCAGAAACATCACTGCTGATAAATGAAACACTCTAAATAGAGTGTTGAATGGTTACCTTAATATAAGCGGCCACATTAGACAGTATAATAGCCATGAACTGGATTAACCGACCTCGAGTGTGGGCCCATTTAGCCGTCACCGGACTTAGCTGCCTCAAACAAACTTTCACAACAGCATCGCTCTTGTCAGTCATAGCCTTGAGCGTCAGCTCTTCAACCTGAACAATAATTTTATATTAACTTAATATATAAAATACTCAATATTAAAATAAATCAATAAATTACTATAATTATTTAATTGACAATACATTAAAATAATCCATTGTGATCATAACACTTCTTCCCTCATGCAGTAACTATTTAGTTCCATTCACATAAAAGCTCAGAATTCAAAAATAATTAAAGTGAATTTTTTTTTGTTTTTAAAGGAAGTTTTGATTGAATAGATGAAACGAACATTTAAAGACCTGACATCAATAACGGGCCAAGTGTCAAACCAAAAAATTGAGTTAGACAATTTTATTCAACTTTCATGCTAACCACCAATAGCCTATGCACTAAAATCAACAATCATTAATATTGATTCTCTCTACTAACCATAGTAGACTAAATTAATTAACTCAATTTTTTTTATTTGATACTTAACCTATTATTGGCTTTAATTATTCTAGGGGTATAACCAACATATTCTAACCAAAGAAATTCGATATTCATTCTATAGATTGGTCACTGAATATATTTCAACTCACCCAGGTTGGATTCAAATAGTACTGCTAGATTTGAGGTAGATAAAATTTATGATGCTTTAACCCTCATGCATATGATGTAAACTAACCTGATGATAATTACGTGACATCGTGGCAGCAATGGCAGCTAAGCTAGCGACAGACTCAGATCTAACTGTTTCATCCTTGTCAACAATCAGTTGCTTTAAGATAGAAATAATAAGGGATTCTCGTAATTCTCTCTGAAAAAATAATACATTAATGTCTAAAAGAGCATGAATTAAGTTAAATAATTTGTAATTTGTCTTATAAATTATAAGTATTTGGAAATCTTTAGAAAATTATACTTAATCATTGTCAGCTTTTAATTCCATATTAATGATTTGACATACTTTTTGTCACCAACCAGCACAATAATATAAGGAATTAAATAGCCGAACTCCTAGAAATTATAAATTATAGATGTTTCCTCAAAGGTTAATGCCTAGACAAAGAAAGCTAAAGAAGGTTCATAGATAGTTTAGGATTTAGTACAACAGAAAATGAAGTTATAATAGAAGATCTCAGGGTAAGGTTCAAACGAACAATCAACATCAAGATTTCTAGAATAAGCCAGAGAAAATTCATAACAAACTTAAAAAAATAAAATTAAAAAAAGTGAGAAATTGGGTGAGAAAAAATTTTCAGTAGAAAAGTTTTGGTAAGGAAGAAGAAGAACCATCCCTCGTAAAACAATTAATTACTTGCAAAAGATGAGAATTGGAAAGGAACAGGTACAGGCAGAAACTATTATTTTGGACTCATGGCGAATTACCACCACATATTTTAACCTTAACTTTTGCTTATTTGATTCTGTGGACAGAAATGGGAAATTCTTAGCCATTGATATATATTACAATGGTCTCGCCTAACTCTCTCTTTTTGTTTTGTTTTTTAACTTGTATGATTTTTGGAACTTTTTGGGTTCACTATCAGCCTATATTTGGGGTATATATGGAACTTATGAATAATACTTAATGTGTTATCATGGTGCTAATTTTTTGTTTTAATTGGTTGCTCTAGAGGTACAACAAAACCTAAGGATGGGATATTGAAGGCCCAATATTGATAATAATATCGGCCTATAACTATCGATACCATCAAAATTTCGGACTTGAAATATCAATAGTCGATATTATAAGCATTATTGAAATATGGATATGAATACAAATATTGATTCTCTAGCACTAAAAAAAAAAAGAAATAGAAAAAACAGCAATAAAAAAAGATGTTATTTTCCTCTTTAAATTAATTAATAAAAATATTAATTCTTCAACACTCCTTAGTAAAATTAATTTTCTAGTTCCTCAGCTTTTTCAAGAAATTTCATTTCAACCAATTATGCCTTTCATTCACTATATATTGGATTCAGCTAAATGCTAGCTTATTTGCATCCTACATAGACTTCTTTAGCAATTCATGGCCTTGGTTTAAGAATGTTCTAACAAATTTGGGCAAATTGAGTTTAATCAGCAAGAAGCCGTGCGCTATTCAACTGTACTTGGGGATGACCATCAATAGTTGATATTATCGAAATGTCTATATTTTCCTTTCCTACGCACTACATTCTATATAACAGCTAAGATGAGAATAATTTTCTTTCTAATGATCAGCTTCATATACAATTCCTAACAATTTTCAAAAACGAAAATTTTAAGTTTTATTAAATATATTAATACATCAAAGGGACGATAACATCGAAGTAGATAATATCAATGGTAAAATATCGATATTTCGATAATATCTACTAATGATGGCCATCCCTAACAAAACTTATTCTAATCAGAGTGGGAAGGTTAAGATTCATTTTGTAGGTCCGCCATGAAATAAATTTCAACCCGCCCAGACTGGATTCGAAACAGCGTCACTAGATTTGAGAATGTTAATGTGAACAAGTTGGCCATTACCTTAACTTTAACACACTTAAGAAGTATAACATAATTAGCACTGGTTACATGAACACCCCTATTGATTTAATTATAATATTTGTTAAGATTCTATATTATTTTCCATTATTACATAATTTTCTATCAATATAATTTAACATGTTGTTCTTAAGTAAAAGATTTCTTATTTATTTTATCTTTATTATTTTTTATTTTATTTTTATCTGATCAAAAAATATTTGATCACCGATTTCTTCATTCATTTTATAATTTTAACGATGACTAGAGCAATTATCAAGTCTTGTTAAGGAAACATAGCCAAGTTCCCACTTAATTTAATTTAAATTAAATGAAGAAGCAAGCAACACTGCTGCCATCTCTTGGCAGGCAAGAGAAGCAACAAGCACAGATTCCAGACATGCACAATACCTGCTAGAATCATGTAGACTTAAGACTGGAGCATAGCTGGCCAGCAAGAAGAAGCAAATTTCAACATATTTCACTAGAAGGAAACATGGAGTAGTAGCTCAAGAGGCCAGGTGATCGGAGAGAGAGAGAGAAATATAAGGACCAGAATGCAGCAAGTACCTAAGCAATTCATTTTCAGCCACCGCCCACCTAATCCACTTCAGTTAAAATATTTTATAATATACAGAGCAAAATGTTTAACATAATAACCCTGATTGTAAAGGTTAGGCTTCAATAATTCAAATTATAATACAATAGACACAAAATACAGCAATCTTATTTTACTAGTCATCCAATCATTTAATTTAGCAATCCGTTTAACTCCATAGTATGATCAAATACTCTTACATACACTCCACAGCAGTCAAAATTAGAATCAGTGCCCTACAACATGATTATTAAGTCACTATTGGCTTAATAAATTAAACATATGGTCCTCTGGGCTAAAATATCATTAAAATCTTTAATGAATAAAGCATACTTTGTCCGTACAGATTACATTAAAATAAATCAATTTTTTTATTATTTTTCACCAGAGCCACGTTTAATAAAAAATTAAACAAGTCTTATTTAGTAATTTATAGATTTTTATTAAAACAAATAAAGAAGAATATTCTAATCGGTAATGTCAATGAGTATTACTAAATAATTGATAATGGCTCTAATTTTGGGAAAACGTCATCGATAAAATTACAAAATAAATAAAAACATTGGTGATCAAATAGACTTTTACTTAAGAACAACAAAATTTATGACAACAAGAATATGACATATGTATAGAAGTAATAATTATATAGGAATATGTAATTATGTGGTCCTTCCCCCTCGGTCGCAACTGAGCATATAAATATTTTAAAAGGTTTTATGATATAGTTATAAATATCTATACTATACATGGCCACATGTCACTATATGATAATAACTTACCGATATATACAGAGAAATTCTCGGACACACTTGGGCAACAAGTGCTCTTTTCTCCGGATACTTATGTGACATAAGTTGCCAGCATTGTGGAAGGACGTGGTGTTCTATTGCAGCTTCACTTAGTGTCTCACACGCTCGAGCCATCCCTGATTTAACATTAAACATAAAGTTGTAATAGTTTTTAGTGAGTCATAATTTTTAGTGATAACATCAACATTTATTAATAATCGTAGTGATGACAATTCATTACATCAAGACTCTTACATCCAATTTATACCAAAGGTGAGGAAATGTTTCGTCATTTGAGGCCACAGTAAGGTTAGGCAGTGCTAATGGAGGCCGCAACAATTCTTTATATTTTACAGTTTTTTTTTTATTAATCATTAAATACACACATACGTATATACCTAGTAATGCCATAAAAACTGTTACAAAAGTTGAACTTTGTTTACATCCTTGGGTATTATTTAGATAATCCTTACCTCTATTAGATTATTTTCTTTACATGTCAGGATAATAATCCCCATTAATTTGTATTTTTCTTTCGCTCAGTTAACATGGAGTTGAGCGACAAAGAAAACCAAATAGCTGTGATCGCCTTACACAAAGTTGGAAAATGTAGGTCAGAGATTTTTAACACTTTGAAACCTATGTGTATCAGCCGTATGTTTGTGTACCGCACTACAAATAGATATAATGAGACCCCATCTGTATGTGACAGTCCCCGCACTGTGAGAATGGCAAATGCAGTGAGAGCATTGACTTCTCGAATCAGAAGAAATCCCATTCGAAAACTAAAAATCGTTTCTCGGGAAATGGGAATATCTGTCAGATCAATGTCTAACATTATAAAAAGTGACCTTAGGATGGCTGCATTTCGAAGAATGACAGGACAAAGGCTAAACACTTCCCTAAAAACAATTATATGGGATAGATGCAAAGTGCTCCTTGGCTGTTAAACCATCGGAAGATTTTGTTTAGCAATAAGAATATTTTTACATACAATTGAAGAAAAATTGGAAAGAGATCATCACTCTTCCTCAGTGATGGTTTGCTTTGATGGCACCACAAAGCTCCATTTTTGTGAAAAAGGAGTTAATACAGCCGCTAAAAACTATCAGAATAATATTTTGGAACCTGTTGCCAAGCCTCTAAATGATAATCTGTTTACTGGAAGTCATTGGGTTTTCCAAGAGGATCCCACTCCAGCTCACAAGTTCAGGTCAACTCAGCAGTGGCTGCAAAAGAAAATACCAGAGTTCATCTCTGCCTCGGATTGATCCTCAGGAAGCCCTGATCTCAACCCACTATATCAGCTTTGGTCCGAACCGGAAAGGATGGCATGCCACAGAGCACACCCTAACTTGGAAAGCCTCAAACAACCTCTGGTCCGAGCAGTTGAGCGCTTTCCTCAAGAAGCACTGCGTGCTGCTATTGATGACTGGTCACGGATATTAAATGCCTGTGTCAAGACAAAAGGAGGGCAGTTTGAGTCATTTCTTTTTTGTTTTACTCTCCTCTCTATAGATATACATTTTATTTTCTGATAAAGTTTTTGAAAAAATTAATTTTTCTGTTGAACTTTGTATTTATTTCCTTGTAACAATATTTATGAAAGGAATAGGTACAGTCCTGGTCATAGTTAAATTTATGGTTTAAATTCATATAATTGCATCATCTATTTCTTTTGATTCTTATGCTGATAACGTTGATTCCATTGAATGTTTTTCTTTACTTATTAACGTTAAAAGAAAACTTTAAAAATCTCAGTTCAGTTTTAACTAATGTCAGGATAACACATATAATAATGACCAGTATTAAAAACTGTCCTTGTCAAGAAACATTAAAATTGTGACTTATGTGAAATAAAGGAATTTTAACAGAAAATAGCAACTTGACCACTTAATGGTGCGGTTGTTTATAGAATATCATTTTATAACTGGCAAAGAAATATTCGGAGATCTCGCCGTAGTAACCTGGTAAATAAAATAAAATTTTTATTGGGCATGCAATTTCTATGACTGTGACTATATATATATATTCAACTTAATTCTATTAATTTTCAAACTTTCATAAATTAAATATTAATTCTTAAATAACTAATAATAATAATCATTATATAATTAATTCTAGTGCTAGATTAATAAATAAATTGTGCAAAAACATTTTGAGGTGGCATGCCTCCTCCGTCGTCGCAGCTACGTCATGGAGGCCACAACATTATTAAAATGTATAGAAGAAACGGTGAAGGGAAGGTTACAATATATTACCAGACAAAATGATACTCCTATCTTCTACCGTTGGCCTTTTCTTGATCTCCAGTAAGCAGAGTATAAGGTTTTCCCTAAGTGCAGGATCACTTTGTAGAGCAATGAGGCAGACCAGTAGGGGAACTATCCTTTGAAGCCACTGCATGCAGACAGATATAATTATTTATATAGTTTACATGATGTTAACTTGTTCTTCAACAATATAATTTAAAACTACCTCTTTGTTGTTGAGAGGAAGGTAGAGTACCATAGTGGGTAAATGTTGTGAGAGGGCTAGGACCAACTCTTCAGGTGAAAAATTGTCATATCCTTCCAATTGAGGCAGGCGAGGCAGTTCGGACCACAGATCATCACTGCAGAATAGACAAAATCTCATTTAAAAAATATTTATCTCTCTATAAAAACTTGTTTATATAATAATATAAAAAAGTTTTTAGTGATTCTCATATTTTATTTTACAAGTACAAAGCGGGACAAACAGTAATGAAGACACTGGGGTGAAAATCTCTATTTAGTATAAGGAGAGTAAGAGTTTGCTAACGTTTTCGTTAAAAACTATTATAAACTAGGGTGCTCGAACTGCCTAATGCAAGAAAATTTGGCCACTACAGGATTTCAGTGAAATGAACAAGTATTAACAGTTGGCAGTAATGGATGGAGGTTCCTGCCATGGGTAGTTCTAGCGAAATAGTACCTTAAGGCAGGACAATCCATCTTTCTGCCACAGTCTTTTACCAGAGAAAATTTTTTCACTTATGAATTCAAAGTAAAAATTATCAACTGAAATAACTACTGTATACTAAAAAGTAATTTGTTTGTATTTTTAAATATTTATTATTAAAATTATTTTATTTACGAATAAAATAAACAAGAAACACTAACTTGCTCATGGTCTCTTCTAACTGCTGAGGAGGAGAGGCAGTGCCTGATTCCTCTTGGCTGCTACCAACAGATATTACAGCTTCCTCTTCAGGAACTGCCACCTCGATTTCCTCAAAACTGCCTGAAGTTTCACTAACCACTTCTTTTTCTTCCTTGTCTTCTGATCTAAATAAACAAATAAAGGGGTTAAGACGCTGAAGAGAGGTAGTACCTTCAGCTAGGGAAGACCTTGAGACTGGTCCTCACTCAAAACCATGGAAGAAGCCGAGAGGCCTGAGAAACTGTAACTGGAGACTTCGAGAATGCTACTGCCAGACCGTTCGTGCTGGGTGAAGAACGGCATCCTGCCCGAGATGGCTCTGCTTTCGACTGAACACGGCGGATCTAGACCGGGAAGTCGGAAATATCCATTGTAGCAGGCAAAAGTGCTACCAGTACTGGCATGGAACCGAAGACGGTAGAAGTCGGCTGGGTTCTGACCAGAAAATCAACTGCAAGGAAACAAAGTCTACAAATGACACAGAAGTCAGAGATGTTGGCCGAAAGGTGTACATGTTCCCCTGACATCTTTTACGATGGTCAAGGAAAACTGGACATCACGTATTACATTACTTCCCAAAATGAGAAGAACAAACAAAAATTATAATACAGGATAACTTTCAGAGAGGTAACCAGAACAAGTCTTGATTCCTCAGAGTGAGATTTTTCGCTAGGTAGAATTTTGTAAGTACTGCCCATCATAGCAGTTGGGAGTGACTGTTGATAGTTCAAAAATTATTTGAGGGAATAGGATGGACCATATTTCGTTGGTACTACTAAGCCGGCAAAGTTATGACATCATCATTTGACCAAATTATTCTTCTCGAGCCTTCCTGAGTGAGTTCTATGGTTGACAGTGGGACAGTTTCAGGTTACGATATCACATCAAAGAAGAGTTTTGATTTTAACTGCCACGTTTAGCTATTTTCTATATTATATAGAATATATAGAAGTTATATAACAGTCCAGTTTATATATATATATATATATATATATATATATATATATAACACTATATATATATATTTTTAGCTATTATTATAAATATAGTTATCTTTTCTTTTTTTTTTTTTTTCATGTCAAACTGGATTACATGATAATTTTTATAAAATCTAAACAGAACTATAGTGAATCAATTTTTGTAAGATTGGAGTAACAGGAGTGTACATTTTACTTAAACTAATAGAATAACTTGTGTAATTTAACTAATTAATTTGTTTTCGTTAAGGGGTTCAAACATACCTAAATCCAACATTAAAAAAAAATATATATAATGAAAGAGATTTTTATCTCAAATAAATAATCAAATTCAAACATTGAAAAATCAAAATATTTTTTTTAATTAATGTTTAATGTCTGATTAATCACATAATGTTCAAACATAAATTGTTATGATCTCATTAAAAGTATATGATATTTATCAGTAAAATGATCGTACTAGTAACAGCCAGGACTGTTCATAGTAATAAATTAAAAATCAAAGATACACATTCAATTCTTAAAAAATGATATTTTTTCATATTCTTTCTATTAAGTATAAGCTGATTAGATAAGATAAAAACTCCATCACTGTATGAATTTCTTCTCTTTCGATAAATTAATAAATTTAAACTTGACATTATGATTTGATATGAATGAAAAACAAAACAAAAAAACAGTAATGGTTGGAAGTAACAGCCAGTTGCTATAGTGATCAGTATCAGCGAAATGTTACCCTAAGATTAATTGTTTTTAGAAAATATAACATAAACTAAGCTGGATAAATTGGCTGCTTTCATAACACAAGCATGTAACTTAATAAATATAAAATTATATAAATAAATAAAACAAATAAACACATAAATAAAATAAATTAGATTTATAAGGAAAACAAAAATGAAATAATTATTTTTACTAACAGATTTTTGTAAAATCTTATGGTTTTTTTTCTTCAATATATTACAGATTTCTTTAGAATGTGCATTGAGACAAAACATTATTACCTTGTTTCATCGATGCTCTGATCAACAGTCTTTTCCTGGTGAGAGGCATTTTCTAATACTTTGGGGGGGATAAAGATTTCTTCAATCTGTAAGCAATATAAATCTTAATACATTATGACAAGGTATACTTCTACCAGATACATATTAGATAAAAATTATGAATAGTATTCTTTCTCAAAATATTGACAACAATATTCTACATCGGGCCTGGAACACCCGCAGAACTTTACATTGCATTTGGCAGTCCCCGGGGTAACTTTTTATTCCTATAGAAAATTTCATTTCCCATTATACCTGTACCAATGATATTTCATTGTTCCTCGTGCGGGCTCATTACCGAGGTATGAGGAGCATCCCACGGGTGGCAAATGTAGGCATGGTCGGTAGAAATTCCTTGGCAGTTCCTCCCGGCTGTCTGATGGACTCGCTGGCCAACAATGAGAGGGGCCCTAGACTTGCTGGATTGAACACCTTACTCACATATTTTTGGTTCATCATACACCACAAATAGTCATGGATCTCCTTAAGGTAAAACGCTCATTATTCGGAGGTAAACTAGTTCCCCATTCGGGTCTCCCGGTGAGAACTGCTTTGGGGGATTCATGGCGCAATTTGAAAAATAAGGATTGAAGTATTGATACGTGGAACGTGAGGAGTTTGTACTCAGAAGGTGGGATAAAATCAGTTATGAATGAGGTTAATGGATACAATTTGGATAGTGCGGCTCTGCAAGAGGTTTGCTGGCCAGGGGAGGGCTCAATAAGGGAAGGAAAGTACACTATTTGGTGGTACGGAGGAAGCAGGAATCATTGTTTAGGTACCATGTCTCTAGTTAGGAATAGATTGCTATCTGCTTTGAGGGATGTACAATGCTTTAATGATAGAATTTTGGTAGCCATATTTCAGGGACGATGGTTTAAACTCGCATTAATAAACATACATTATCAGACCAAGGACAGTGACAATGAATTCAAATGCAAATTTTACAATAAACTCGAATGGGTTTATGACAAACTATCGCGAAACTCGATGAAAATAATTGCAGGTGACGCAAACGCAAAAGTGGGGAGAGAAGTTTATTTTCCGATGATTGGTAAAGAAAGTTTACACGAATATAGCAATGATAATGGGATTCGTCTGATAAACTTTGTCATTTAGAAAAAACTTGATAATTAAAAGTACTACATTTAAACAAAAGGATATTCATAAATATACCTGGACATCACCGAATTTGCAAACATGAAATCAAATCGATCATGTCTGGATACAACATAGCTGGCAAAGCAGTATAATTAATGTACGATCTTATCAATATGGGTCGGATCATGAATTAGTAATAGCAAAACTTTGACAAAAACCTGCTAAATTAAAAGCTCTAAATAATCCTAGCGAAGACAATCTGGAATACTTCCGAACATCAAAGAATAAAAGGACAAAATTACTCAAAAATAAAAAAAGGAGTATCTTAAAAATAAAATTATAGAAATAGAAACTAATAGAATCGAAAATAATGTAAGAGACATGTACAAATAATGTGAGAGACATAACTTAATTAGTCAAATATTAATAGAGAGGTTTTAGTATTTGACTAATTAAGTTATATTGCCAAGGGCAATTAAGTCCATATTGATTTCAATTGTTTAAAATAGGTTTCTTCCCTTGAAAATGGCCGAAGGGCTGAAACATTGGTGTAGAAAAAGAAACAAAGTAGGTCTAGGTGATCAAATGTGTGTTTTTATAATTAATATTTAATCATATGAGTAGATTAGGGCAATATGAATATTAAAAGTTTGTATTTATACCTATTAATAATAATGTAATTCTTAAGACACATGAATCTTCTTGGATCCAGTACTTAGTAAGGACAAACATCATTTTTGTTTATTTAAGGAAAGGTACAATAATAAAAAAAGCACATATGAGGACAGGATCTCAAAAACTTGCTAGGTTTTGCAAATGTACTCTGTATTAGTTATATGAGTAAAAAAAATATATATAATTGGGGGTTTATGGTTGACTGTAGTGAATTGTTGAAGAGAAGGATGGTTGGGGTGATCAGTCAAATTGAAATGGTAAAAAATAAATAAAATTATTTATCTTTTACCATTTCAATAAAATTATTTATTTTTTACCATTTCAATTTGACTGATCACCTCAACCATCCTTCTCTTCAAAATAAAATATATATCAATCAATAAAATGAATCTAATAAAAAATTAAATCAAAGAGAATCATGCTTGTTAGTTTCTATTGAACAATTAAGCGATTATGGAACTTTAATGCACATACCTGGTCAGTTTGAACACCAACTGAACTTGTGATAGTTTCTGTTTGCCTGATCCCAGCTCTATAAACATGTAAGAGTTCGGAGGGTTTTGGCATGTCCAGCCCAACGTCTTCCCAATCTTCAAAATCCTAGATAAAATCACAAGGCTAAAATGCATAAAACGATAATGAATATTGTAATAAGACTAGTTTGTCTCTGTTTAGGTTGAATTTATCTAGAAGACCAAAAATTAATGATAAAAGGTAACTTCTTTGCTGTAGAGGATCTATACTTGGTCCAGCCTTGTGGAAATTGGTATTTGACGAGCTGCTGGGAGTACTGGAAGAGCAGTGGTTCCCCGCCACGGCTTACGTAGACGATCTCGCAGTCGTAATGTAGTAGCATCGAACAGCAGAGACAGGTTCAAGGAAGAGGCTGAACGGTGGGCCAACCTAGTAGGAGAACGGTGCGAGAGAAAGAAGATGAAGATGGCAGCTCCAAAGACTCAGTCTGTTCTTTTGAAGGGTAAGACTCACAGGGTCCACCCTATTACTCTAAATATACAGAGAGAAACGATACATCCAAGGGAGGCTGTCACCTATCTTGGGATAAGGACTGAAAGAAAGTTTCACTTTACCCCTCACTTGGACTATCTGAGAAGTAGAGTGGCACTGGCTCTTAATGGACTGAGTCGCATCGGGGATGCCTTTTAGGGTCTCAGATACCCAGCCACTTTGGCAATTTATAACGGAGTTATCTTGGGTATCCTGAGATATGCATCCCTTCCATGGAGTCACACTCTATCGCACCAGCAGAAGAAAAGGTTGGCAACGATCCAGCGTATGGCTCTGCTGTGTGTCACTAGAGCGTATCGGTCAGTGTTTCATGAGGCAGTACAAGTCTTAGCCGAAAGTATTCCAATAGATCTTCAACTACGTGAAGGCTACTTTCGGCATGAAATGAAGAAAGGTGGCTTGGTGGATCTACCGGCTAAACTCCGAGTGAGGATCAGTGAAGACCCGAGCAAATGGAAGAGGATTCTCCAGGAGTGCACATTAGAAGAATGGAACCGGCGTTGAGTGTCAACGCCACAAGGATCAAACCTAAGGAAATACTTCCCCACCGTCGGTTTAAGAATGGAAACTACATGGCTCCTCCCGGACTATTGAGTCTCACAATTCCTCACGGGCCAAATGGGATTCCGAGCAAAGCTTGTTCAACATGGTAAGAACATTGAACTCCTATGCCAAAATTGTACGGTACCGGAGACCGCCGAGCACTTACTAGTCTGTACTGCCTATGAGGCACTGAGGGCTAAATTGCTGAGGGAGACTGGGCTTTATGTCTTATTGGAGCACGATTTCCCTCAGCTAGTGACCAAAAAGACGTCATTGGCCCAATCCATTTCTATTTGGGTAGAGAAGAAGCTCCATCACAGACGATAAAGAGCCAAGATAAGCAGAAAATCTAATTGTATCGATTGCAGTAATGGATAGTTATGCACACACGTATAGCTATCCACTACTGCAAACACTCATATTGCCTAACAGGCAGGGTAGACCTTTAAATAAATAAATGTTGATTTTATAATTTTAACCTTTAATAATAACGAATAATTATTAAGAACTGATTATCTAGAAATGCTTAGCAAAGTTCGCATTGTTGATCATTTGTAAGTATTCGACCACCATTGTTTGGACTTAATGATAATAACAACAAAAAAACGATATTAAAAATTTATATTGATAAGGAAAATATTATATCTTGGGCATCAGCAAATTAAATTCATTTACTACTTTGATTACCGAAATGTGGTCACTTTCAATAACTTTACAGCATTCTGAAGAAAAGCTGCTCGATTGTGTACAAACTGCTGGCACAAAACATTTAAGTCTTAAAAACTGTGTTATTGAAGTTATAAATTAGACATTAAATAGATCATCAAAATATCAGTCTCAGAATTAAACCTTTAGAACTAAATTCTCTATTTTATTTCAGTGGAATACTATGTTCCTTGATTGACATTTGCTATATAAAATTAGTTATTGTAACAACAAGTTTGAACTATTGTTTGGACTTCACAAACCAATTATTTAATCAAGAACCGATATGACAAGATTGTTACAATCACTACATTATTTTGACAGTTAAATAAAAAAAACAATACCTGTGAGACGATTGTGATGATAGTTCCTAAAAGTTATTAGAGTGACAGTTAAAAAGCATACAACCACACCTCATGGAGAAAAAAGAATTATCCCATACTAATAATATATTGTAAATATTATTACAAATAAATTATGTTTTTTTATAATTACTTGATCTTCATTTTCATCAGCAAAAGTGATTGCAGTTAATTTGTATCCCTGCAATAGAAGATATTCATTAATCAAGAAATTGAGAGCTCTCGATTCATGGGGCTTTATAGCCTCTCCTTTCTCAAACTGGGCACAACTTCTCCCTTCACCTAAAAGAGGCAGAAAATTATTATATAGCATCAATAATAATAAAAAACAAAAGAATTTGAAAGTTGTAGATAATTGATGATTAAATAAATGCTTATTCACTAGTGTCACATCTGGATTAAGACAGGCCAAAACATTATTTATATTGATTAATAGGAGGAAGTAAAGTAGTTTGGGACCATAAATTTCTTCCTCAATAAATGACAAGTAATTCATATCAAGGATGGTGTAGAGATCAGTCATCTCAGCATTATTTCAGACACACTCAGCTACTTTAAAAGCATTCCAGAGTGATCATAATGATCATGGCCCATTTGCCATACAGAAAATCACCATGCCAAGATTTAACTAACCAATCGTTTTATACCATATGGAAACAATATCAAACTGTTACAATTGAAAGAAAGTTAAATATTACCAAGATATCAATTTGAGCATTGAATGAATATTCATTTATACACACCAGTTGCCACAGTCAAATTTGCTCTCAAAGCATTAATTGTGTCTTTGGCCTTGCGCAATTCAAATTCTAAAACTGCTATCCTTTCATCATTGACTCTTTCACCATCCTCGGAGAACCTAGTAAAGTCCAAAGAATCAAGAGTTGCTTGACTTGAAGACCTTGCTAAAACAAACACATATTTTCAAAATATGCTAGCTGTTAAATCAGAGACACCAAGAAAAATATCTCACCAATAGTTGGAAATAGGTCTGAACGAGTCTGGTTTTCAAAATTATTGGGATTCGAGAAAAACTCTTTCAGCTTTGGGACCTCTTTCCCAGCTTCAACAAGTTCAGCATGGAGTTCTAGAGCAGTGAGCCATAATTTATCTCTAATGAGTTTCTCAGCAATGTCAGAATATGAAATCTTCAACTTCACTATATCACTTGACGTGGAGGGTGTCAAGGGTCCCATTTCATCGAAAACGAAAGGATTCTCCATAATTGCTATTTTTAAATAACAAACTCTCAAAATTAAAAATCATTGCATCTTAGAAATCCCAACGTTCAACCCTTAGATCTTTTAAGATCATAATTAATCAACTGTAACCCCTTACAGATATGTTTACCATTGCTGTTGTCAAAATACAACCAGTTAAGCGGACCTAGGGATGGGGGATAGTCGATAGAATTATCGATATATCGATACTTTAAAGCTATTAATAAATCTATCGATAGTCTTAGTGACTATCGATAGTTCGTATCCTTTCCATAGACAAATATTAATTTCTAATTGTATATATTTTTAGGAATAATTTTTATAACCCGTCTTCATATTTCTAACCATTTTTAAAGGTACAATAATAACATAACAATGTAGAAATGAAATGTATGATGATGGAAAACTGTTCCGAAAGTCACATTAACAAAATAAATGGATAGAACTATAAAGGCGTGTTATTAAAACTAAAATATATAAAGTTGAAAAAGAAGAAGCTTTCAAGGTAAAAAAACATATTATTCAAATAATTTTCTTAGAAATATTTTTACTTTAGGACATGAGTCCTGTATGAATGCCCTATTGAGGAACAACAATTTCTTGATACCGTCTGCAAATAGAGAAATGGAAAACGACATTTTTTGAAATAAAAGAATGAATTAAGGAGGAATCATATCGCAATGATAAATTTTAAAAATTTTATGGCGCGGTGCATGTTTTGTAGGTTCTTGAAAATGGCTCGTGAAGCCGAAACGTTGAATAAATCATACAGGAGATAAAAAAACTGTGTTTTTTTTTGGTGACCTTTGGCCTAAAATAGATATATGATAAATTATGAGAAAATGGCACCAAACCTGAAGGATGTGACTAGAAAAATAAAATAATATAAGATTTTATTATTCTATCAACTCACTTATGTTTTATTGCTAAGTAAAAAATTTACAAACATAAATATTCATTGTTAAAATAATAAAACAGATTGATTAGTTCAATTGTTGAATTGATTTTCAGGCTGTTCTAAATCAAATATTTGTATTCCGATAATAAAAAAAATTGTAATGATAAATTAAATTTTGAATTATTAAAAAAAAATTAAAAAGTAAGAGTTATAGAAATAAAAAAAAAATGTAAAAAGGAAAATGAGGGAGATTGTTGTTGTACAAGTAGGGAATTGCGGTAACGTTATAGGCTCGAAGGTGAGTTATGAGCATTATATTAAGCAGATCATATAATGATGTGACAATTAATGAAGCACATATTAATCTAAATTTTACTTCAATTGTATATTGTACTAAGGTAAAAATGTTTCAGTTCTGGGAACTCATATCCGATGAACATGGGATAGAACCAGACGGGGTTTGGAGAGGCAACACCCGCCTCCAGCTTGAGAGAATTGAAGTATACTATGCGGAAGGCAGAAGTACATGTAACAACAAATCTCTTAAAATTTATAGAAATCGGAATAATTCTACGATTTTAGAAGTCCTCAAAGCTTTTGTTTGTCATTTATTGTTTACAACTCTGGATGGAATTAATTTAATAGCATTTCTGAATTATTAATGTTTATCTAAGTTAAGATTAATAAATTAATCTTAACTTAATCTTAATCTTAACTTAATCTTAATTTTAATTAATAACTTAATTAAAATTGGAGTACAACTGTATTGTTCACCAGCTGTATATAGATTTTAAAAAGGCTTACGATTCTATTGACCGCCCGAAACTGTATAATATTCTAATCGAGCAGGGGATTCCTAAAAAATTAGTAAATCTAGTCAGGATGTGCTTGACGGAGACACTCAATAAAGTTAGAATCGGTAATAATCTGTCCGAAAAATTTGAGGTTCGTTCGGGTTTAAAACAGGGGGATTTCCTTTCACCTGTCCTGTTCAATTTGGCATTCGAACGTGCCATTAGGGAGGTAATGCTTACCGAGAAAGGGTTGGATCTGGGCGGGACAACATCCGTGCTGGGCTATGCTGATGATCTGGTTCTGTTAAGCGAAGACGTGGAAACTATAAAACTAAATACGACAACGTTAATGAAAGCCGGTGAAGAAGTAGGACTCGAAATAAACGTGGATAAAACCAAATATATGGTTAGCTGCAAAAATGGCGATACTACTGGTGATATCGATATAGATGGTAATATGTTTGAACAGGTAGATAAATTTAGGTATCTAGGTTCTACGATACCTAGAAAAAACGAAATTGAAGAAGAGATTAAGGTTAGACTGAAGGCAGGAAATGCTTGTTATTTTTCTGTGACAAAACTACTTAGTTCGCGCCTCTTGTCCCGGAACTTAAAAATTAGAATCTATAAAACAATTATCTTGCCTACAGTTCTTTATGGATGCGAAACTTGGCCGCTTACATTAAGGGATGAGCAGCGTCTTAAGGTTTTTGAAAATAAAGTATTGCGTAGAATATTCGGACCGAAGAAGGATGAGATAACCGAAGAGTTCAGACGGTTACACAACGCCGAATTGCGTGAACTGTATCCGGGTAATATAATTGAGGTAATTTCATCGCGGCGAATCAAATGGGCTTGTAAAGTTGTTGGACTTAGTAACGAGAGAGTTCCTATAAGGTTAATATTTGCTGTGCCGAACGGTAAGCGTCCGAGGGGTAGACCGAAGCGAAGGTGGGAAGATTGCATTAAAGCCGATCTGAAGGGACTGGGTTTGGACGGCGAACGGTGGAGGGAGGTGTGTCATAAGCGATTGGTGGTGTCGGCATCAAACCTTCGGGTTCGCTAAGCCCTTTATTATTTATTATTATTTATCTAAGTTAAGAAAGTAATTTTACTTATTTTTTAAAAGTTATTTAAATTTTTAAAATCTCTGGCGGAATAGATATAAATCTGCGAAATACTTCTTTCGCATTTCGTGAAAATTTTTGTTTACTAACTCCTTCAGAATACAGACAAATTAATCTTAAAATGCCAGGGACGTTCTGTACTTCCTAAGATGCAAAAAATTCAATTCTTTCATCTCAGAAAGTTTTAGATGCTTCGAAAAATTAGTTTGACCCTTTAAATTATTAAGACAGAAAGTGACGTGTCCTCTGAGATACCGTCGAATATTCTCTGATATTCATCATCTCTCATATTCATCCTCCCAGAAGACTTCCTTGATGGCAACAAGATCAAGATTGTATCTATCTATTTGATCTAGGAGCAGTTTAAGTGCTCCTGGCTAGTACAATAAACGTACGTTCCAATATCCGAAATTGAAAATCTTTTTAGAAATGCCCGATTTACCTTTGAATCTGTTTATATCAGAAACTTCCGTATGGGGTTTCGAAATAATTCAGTTACATGTAGCGTGGCTATCGACGTCAAAGTCATCCTGGGTGGCTTCATAGAGGAAGTGTGTTTTATAAATTGCCTTTTTCAATAGAGGTGGTGAGTGTAGTAAACCTTATGCTGTGTACTATGTGACTTTATCGCCACGTCGCTATAGCGGATATTAAGGTTGAGCAAACAGGAACTAGTTGGCAACTTTGCAAAACTGAAAATAACACGATAAAATAATTACGTGTTTGCGTCCAGTTGTAGAGGGGCTTGTATTTCCAGAATTAGTCCCCCGCCATCCCGCATGGTCCGGGATAAACCATATAAAGCCTAAAATACAAGGGAGGAGAGGATAAATATAAATATTTAAAACAAATAATGCCTAGATGCAATGATATTATAATAATGGGGGGAATATCGATTTCTGTGTAGTATAAAAATTTATCCATTTAGATGACACCCCATACATATTTAAAGCATAACTATTTGGAAATGATAAACCATTATTTAATGGTTTGCAGCCTTTATGACCAAGGGATTAATTTATTGTTTTTAAAAGTGAAGTTTTGAATTTAACTTAATTCTATCAATAAATTAATCTTTTTTTTTCTATCTTTCAGAGAAGCGCTACTTTCCACGGTGCGCTTGCTTGGATATTGACCAAGCCATCACTTCGGCCGTGCAGTCCGGTCCTTACGGCCGCCTGATCGACTCGAACAACATCGTGACCAAGGGTGATGGGACCGGCAACAATTGGGCCAGGGGCTACTACACCGATGGCTTAGAACTGGTCCAGCCCTCCCTTGATCTCATTCGGAGACATTGCGAGTCTACAGATTGCCTACAGGTATTTGAAAGCATATTGGTCAGGATACTTGCAACAGACCCGAAATTCGTTTGAGAATGTTTAGAAAAGGATTGTAATAATTTTATTTATCAGTTATCAACTCGTTTCATATGAAATGTCAATTTCCACAGGAAAGGTTATTTAGTAAAACAAATTGATCAAATCAAAACATTTTTATTCAAAATACTTACTGGTACTGGTACTGGGTGGGAGGAACCAGTCCGGCAAGTGGGCCTATAGTGGTCCTTTTTGCCAACCCCCCCGACAGCTACCTTTAAGGTTGCCGCCACCTACTTGCCAGAGTGGGAATGTCACGATCCATTTCCCGTAGCCGCCGAGAAATGAAAAGTAACCGAACCAGGTGAGAATCGAACCGACAACGTTCAAAACTGGGCACTCTGCAACCCACGTCCCAACGTGATCGGCCATGCCGTCCTCTATTTAAAATACTTATTTTTATTTTCTATACGATTTCCCCGACGATTTATCAACTTTTTAATCCCAGAATTGTAAAATTCATGGTTTTGTGAAGGAATTGAGTCGGAAAAACTTTTTAATACTTGAGAATAATTTATAAAAATAAATCTGGTGCGCAGAACACACAACTTTCACTTACCGCTCAACTTTGAATAGAAATTATTTTCTGGCCATGTTGGACTATTATAAAATTTTTGAATTGCATTTTTAAGAAAGCTAAAGCTTTGGCTAAACATCTAACAAATCATAAATACCATTAAAATAACAAAAGGCCTATTTATTATATCACAGTTTGATTGTGGACAGTACGATCCGTTGATTATGTATTGTACAACTATTAGTTATTAAACTTGCGCTCCGGTCCACCTTTTTTTTCCTGATCCTTGGAAACTATCAATTGTCAAAATTATCCACAAACCCATAAATCCACCTGAATACCTATCCTCTTACCGTCCTATCTGTCTTTTACCAATCATGGGCAAAATCCTGGAAAAACTCATTTTAAAAGGTCTGTACACAATCCTAGATTCTAATAATATAATCCCTGATCACCAATTTGGATTCCACACATCCCATTCCACTATCCAGCAATATCATCGTATGGTAGACGTAGTTTCTGCATTGGAGAGCAAAATGTACTATACGGGAGTCTTTCTTGACGTTGAACAGGCGATTGATATAGTCTGGTACCTGGGACTGCTGTACATTAAATTCCTACCACCTACATACTTCCTCATTATCCACTCATACCTTACTGATCGATATTTCAAAGTAAATCATAATAATACATGTTCATCCCTCTTTTCCCAGTCTGCTGGCGTTCCTCAAGGGAGCACCCTCGGTCCTATCCTTTATACAGTTTATACAGCTGATATCCGAACCCATCCCAACACGGTCATCACCACCTATGCAGATTACACTTGTATCCTATCTGTTACTAAAGATCCTTTAATTGCATCCCAAACTTTCCAATCACGCACCACAAACCTTGCAGAATGGTGTCATAACTGAAGAATAAAACTAAAGATCCTTTAATTGCATCCCAAACTCTCCAATCACGCACCACAAACCTTGCAGAATGGTGTCATAACTGAAGAATAAAACTAAAGATCCTTTAATTGCATCCCAAACTCTCCAATCACGCACCACAAACCTTGCAGAATGGTGTCATAACTGAAGAATAAAACTAAATTCCAATAAATTACCTTTACTCTTCGTCGTAAACCTACAACTTCTTGTCCTATAATATCCTTCAATGATATTTTATTTGTTCCTGTTAAACAAATCCGTTATCTAGAAATCCACTTGAATAAACGTTTCACTTGGAATCCGCATACTAGACTGAAACGACAAGAAACTGCTCGACGTTTCCGACTGCTCTAACACTTACTAGACAAACGCTCTAAACTTTCAATTAATTATAAAAGACTCATCTACTTAACCATAATAAGACCTATATGGACATACGGAGTTGAGCTTTGGGGTTCTACAAAACCAGCAAATTCCTATCTTATTCAATCCAAAATCCTTCGTAAAATTCATAATGCTCCATATTTTGTCACAAATAAAACCATTCACAAAGAACTTAATATTCCATATGCCGCTGATTTAGCCCGAGCCAGATACCTATCCTTTCATGATAAACTCCAGTCCCATCCGAACCCACTTGTTTCCAAGCCTTGCTTCATCCTCGATTTCTGATAATCAGCTTAGGCGTCTGAAAAGAAGATGGCCTCGTGATCTTCTCACCTAGAATTAGTATGGGGTGCTACCACTTGGCAATATCTCTTCAAGTCTGTTCATGTTTTGCATTATTTCTAATGTGTGCATTTTTACTAGTTGTATTGTTTATACAGTTGTTAATTTCATTAAATAAATAAATAATAAAGTTATTAAATTGTTATTTTACATTGCAAAGTTTAATAAAATGAAATTAAGAGATTTACATTGTCTGTCATAGACACGTCAAAAAGTTGTGTCTATTTGGATACTGTTGGAATATCACAAAGGAAAAATTCGTCAAATTATTCAGTAATTTAATTTTCTAAAAAGTTACATGATGATTTTTCGGAATAAACGGACGATAGATACGTAATTATTTAAATATAATAACAGATCTAGAGTTATTAAACTACATTAAATATATTTAAGGGTTTAAACATATCCATGAAATATTTTTATATTTTATTTCTTCCCTTATGCAAGTACAATGTGAAATAGTTTTTTAAACAATGGCATGGCCTTGAGTTGACGGATTTTAAATACTTTTTTCAAACTTTATTTATTTTATTTATTTATACATGATATTTACAACTGTATTAAAAAATTAAATACATTAAGTAAATTTGATAACAGAAAATAAAAACAAGAAATGACTTGTTGAGAAACTACCTACTGGTAGCACTCTATTTTTCAAACTTAAATATATTTTAAATGTTAAATTTAGTAGTTAGTAAATTTCATTTAATTTTCTTGAAAACATGTGATTTACTATAAATAATATTAGTTGTTAAAAATTATTATTTTTAATTTTTTTTTGCCACTCTCCGTTACCTGCTACAACTTTCTATATTCCATATTGTTTTTTTCTAAGACTCTCCGTTTTCCAACGACATATTATACGTATACTTTCTGACTAGTATTTCCAGATTCATTTTAGACCTGGATAAGCATTTTTATTTTTTTCTCCTTTATTCAATTATCAAATTCTTTCAAAAGTTATATTTGGCATTTTTTCGTAACAAATTTTCACCGTCGCAATACTATATACTATAATAACTATCATAATATATACTATATTATATATTTCATATCTAGGTAACTGAAAGTAAAAGTTTAGCTTAAACTTTTTTAAATAAAAGTTATAGCATATTTTCGACCCCTGAACAGAACTTTTTTTTATATATTTCAGGGATTTCAGTTAAGCCAAAGCCTGGGTGGAGGAACTGGTTCAGGGTTCGGATCACTTATTTTGCAGAAGCTCTCCGAGGAATATCCAGACCGCATAATCAACACGTATTCCGTAATACCTTCTATTATGGTGAGTCTAATAGCAGAAACATGTGTTGTCTAAAGATTTTGCCAATATGGAGTGTGAGAGAATATGATCCTTACAAACATAGCCTTCAACACTTATGAAGGTTAAGGTAACATGATAACAGTATTCAATGCATGGGAGAGGAAGGGAGGGATATAACTTCAAACATAAAGGAATAGATCAATAATTAGTTTATTATTTGTATTATAATCTATCTTTATACATAATACGATAGTTTTTCCGCAGAGACGATCCCTTTTTCGGCTCTCAGGAGCTTGAATGAAATGAAATGAAAATATAATTTAATTCTGGTACTACTGTCCTCTAAGAATAATAACAGAGTTACAAATTTATGGGTGTTAGTCTGACTTAGAATAATAAAAAATACAAACTAATTAACTGTTATTATTATTGCAATTATGCAATGGATTGAAATTAAACATTGTATATGCAAGTAAATTTACATGTTAGGGGAAGTTTGAATGTGGAGTAGGTGTTGGAACAGGAGTTGTTTGAAGGAATTTGTGGATGAGGATTGACACATGGGGGTAGGAAGAGAATTCCATAAGGAAGCAGCATGAATGACGAAGGATTTGCTGAAGGAAGAAGTTTTATGGGAAGGGATATATAAGTCTATATGTTGAGACCTGGTATTAAGAGAGTGGAGAGAGGAACGTAGAGTAAGAAGTTCCAGGATATAGGGAGGGTTTTTGGTTTTGAAGACTTGGAAAAGGAAAACACCAAGGAGGTGTCGTCGGGAAGTAGGATAAAGTCACTTCAACTCAGTGTACCAGAGTGAAACATATGAACGCCTGGGGATCCCGAAGATGTATCTTATGAAACAATTCATGAGCTTCTTCAGTCTCGTTTCTAGCCTGACAGATAGCCCTCCATACACCAAACAGCCGTAGTCGAAGTGGGGGGATATAAGGGAGGTTACAAGGAACTGTCTGGTTTTTAGAATACCATCTCGGAATCTTAGGAGTTATTTAAGGTCAGTTATGGATTTTCGGGAAATCTGGGAGATATGGTTATTCCAGGAGAGGTTCTGGTCAAAGGTTACTCCTAGATTTTTGACTGTACGGAAAAAATGGATGGGACGGTTATTGAGATTAAGTTGAGGAAAGTAAGGAAGGGAGCTAATGAGATGTCTGGACCCGATAAGAATAGCCCTAGTTTTATTTGCAATGTGGTATCAACCAGAGTAGTGCATTGCCATTACCTAGCTTCGGAGTCTATGCTTGAAGGGGATAATTAGTAATCCTTTTTAACAATTAATGTTAGTCTACACTTGTTTAATCGCATAGTTTAATCTAATTTAAAAGGTATGTTTAATAGTTTTATCATTATTTTCGATTCCTATTTCGCAAATTTTTAGGTGTCGACTGTAGTTGTGGAGCCTTATAACTGCGTTCTGGGCTTAAATGTTTTGATGGAGACTGCTAGTGAGGCAATATGCATGGATAACGAAGCCATGAACGACATCTGTACAAAAACTCTGAAAATATCTTTCCCGACGATAAGAGACGTCAATCATCTTATATGCAGTGTGATGACAGGAGTAACGGCTTGTTTCAGGTTTGTATAAACATGCTACTACAGTTTATATCTTTTAAAAATGTGTATAATCACGTTTATAGTGTTTTGTCTTTCGAAATATATCAAAATGACAAAATCCAAATAATTTAACCTATTATATATAGTTCCCCACAGTGGAAGTGTCTTGGAAACTGTTAGAGATGCTGAAGAATAGCAAACCAGTTTTAAGCCTTAAGCGCTCACACGGTCAGTGTTCTTTTTTTTCTTATTCAATTCTTTATTGATAAATATTACATTCTGTCACAGGTGTTGATCAATAAAATAAATTTTGGAAATCTATTCCAAGAATAACTCCGAAGTATCTATCCAAGAAACACCCTAATCAACGATAATGTATCTAACTGATGTTTTGATAAAGATATGGGATGTCTAAAAGATATACCAAAAGACATCAAAAAGATGGCTTATGCACCATTTTAGCCGTCTTTAAGCAATCCCAAAAGGAATGTTCAAAAGATATCTAGATTGAAAGACACCTAGATATAATTTCATCCAAAAGTTATCTGTGATGTGTCAGAAAGATATCTTTTTGATATTCTAAAAAGGTCATCTGAAAGACATCATTTTGATAACGTCAAAAAGATCGTTAAAAAAGATTTATTGTTTTACAAAGAAAAAGAAATAGCGTGACGTGGTTTTTGAAATATAATTAATTTATTTAAATACATATTTGTGAATTAAAAAATATAGACTCAGAATATAGCAGCAACTATTTTATTTTATACTATTATACTATTTTATTTTTTTCGATGTGCCTTTCGGAGGCCGATTGCCTTTTTGTAATTCGGGTTTTACAACTTTCATCATGTATTCATCCGTTGCTTTGTCGACATTATTGAAAACAGTATCTTAAATCACAAAATTTATAAATAAATGATACTTTTGATGATGATGAAAATAACCAACAAAGAATTACTTCTCAGTTTTTCATGATTTCTTTCTTAATTTTCAAGATGAACCTTAAATAATAAACAATGGCGATGCATTTTAATCAAACTCCATTTGCAATTATAAAAAATGCAACTTTAATTTAATGAGAGCTACAACTTTGATCCTTTTCAATCATGGGATACCTTTAACGGTTTCCATGATTTTTCAATTGTGGCCCACATCATCACTCCTGTTACCACTTATATGCTGATGATTTCCAAATTTACCAATAATTCTAACCTTCTTAGATGCCTGAGGCTACAAGAGAATATCGACTGTATCAACATGTGTGCAGAAATAAATGAATAAACGCTGAATGCAGACAAACTAAGGCAATCCCCATCGGTTCCAGACACCTTATAAGTTCCTTTCCTTACTCTTCTCTACTTTGCCTCAATATCTACCTAATTACTCGAAAATCTATTACTATCCTTAAATAACACCTCAGACTATGTCATTCTATTCCTCTACAAACCAGACATCTACTTGTAACCTCGCTTGTTTTCCCACACTTCGAGTACAATTGCTTGGTGTCTGAAGGGTTGGAGATGATACTAAAGTAAGATACATGTTTTGGATTCCCAGATGTTCTCATGTTTCCTACTGGGACGCCGAGTTGAAGTATCTTTAACCTACTTCTTGACGGCGATGTCTTCTGTTTTCCATTTCTAAGTTCTCAGAAAAATCCTCCCTACATTCTAATACTACTTTATCTACTCTCTCAATAACAGATCACAACCTATTCATCTTTATATCCCCTCCCATAAAACTACTTCCTTGAGCAAACCCTTTGTCATTCATGCTACATCATTTTTGAACCCTTAACCTACCTGTATAGGTCAATCCTGGTCCATAAATTCCTTCAAACAACTCCTATTCTACAAACTACTTCTTGTTCAATTTCTGCAAAGATGTATAACTTACTTGCTTCTCTATTACTGTAAATTTAGTTAACTGTACAATAGTAATTGTCACTAACAGTTAATTTTAAGCATCATTTTGTATTTGGTAAACCAGACTAATGTTCATAATTATGAGACTTCGTTATTGTTATTACGGTACGGTAGGTCCAAAACAAAATTATTTTTTTATTTCATATCATATATGGAATATCTTGTAGTTTCTGAAGGAATCAATAATAAATTGTGATTTCAGATTCCCAGGACAATTGAATACTGACCTTCGGAAAATAATGACCAACATGGTGCCGTTCCCAAGATTATCCTTCTTCACCCCTTCGTTAGTTCCACTCATGTCCAGAGGCTCCAAGCCATATTACAAGATCAGTGTCCCTTCCCTGGTACAAAACATGTTCGACTCCAGCTACAACATGTGCCGCATAGACCCTAGACATGGAAAGATATTGACAGCTGCGGCGGTTTTCAGAGGCAGAATGTCGCCGAGACAGGTAATCTCAAACAGCTCCACAATATGTAAAATCTTATCATATATCAAAAGTCTTAAACTTTAATTAGGTACAACGCAACCGTGAGCTGCTTAAAAAAGGAATATAATGGTACTCATTTTTTTTTCATAAACGTTAAAACATATACATACGATAGGTGATATATAGTCAGGACGCAGTCAGTTTTAAAGATTTTTATTGCTAACGTTTCAACCCAAGCTTGTGGATCATCATCAGGGTATGTTAACAACACTTCAGAGGAAGCTTGGGTTGATATGTAGGCAATAAAAAGCTGACTGCGTCCTGACTATCTATCACCCATCAAATGCAGAACAGTCGACCAACTTCCTTCAACAAAACACATACGCTTGTTGACTCGGGGCGATACTTCCACAATGACGGTTCAGGACAGTGACAGTCATATTTACACTAGAACAAGCAATTATTAATTTTTTATGTAGCTCTGTGATCAGTCATATTACATGAATTTCCACAAATGCTAAACTTTTTGTTCGCCCCTTCCTTGCCTTATTGACTAAATGTTTTTTTTTTCGGGTCAGAGATGAGAGAGGTGGATGAAGGATTATTGCTAGAGTTAGAAGTCTCCCTGGGTCCGAGATTTGAAATCGAAAACTTCAGAGTTGCCGGGAACGCATGTTTTACACAACTCATTAGTCCGCTCTGCCATCCTGCTCTCTCACAAATTCTAAAATTATCAACTCCTTCATAGTACACCAAAGGAAAGAACCAGGTTGGAATTATCTATAAACAGTGGCGTGAAATAACGTGTAGCTCTGCCTCCAGTAGACAGAAAAGACATTACAAGCAAAAGAGAGAAGAAAAAAATATTTTTTTAAAGTATTATTTAATGTAAACGCAATTTAAAAATCATGTACATTTTAAGTGATATGTAATATTTTTGAGCCCTAAGAAAACTAAATTTGATTTGCCTGCATCCACAAGAAGACCGAAATATATCGTCAATTGGCACCTCTATCTGCGCCGGATATAAACCAAATATTATTATTTTTTGGCTATATGGGATTTTTCTGGACCAGGAGAGAGAGCAAGGAATCAAAGCCAGATTTAAAAATCTCACGGTACCCGGATTTGAACTCATGATCCTTGGATTATCTTATTGCTGGGTATTATGCAAACGCGTTAGGCTGCTCGGTTACCCCTTCCTCCCCCTAAACCATAATATTACAAAAATTAAAATTTTGTATTTAATTTTTGTTTTATTCAATTCAGAATAAGAAAATACATAAATAATGAAGTCTATAAGAGCTTTGAAACCGTTTTCTTAAGATGGGAGAGGGTTTATTTTTCGAAAAAGAGATGGTTTACATTATTGTTCTCCACCACTCCCTGATTTTGTTTTTGTTCACTAATGTTACAAATTGATCTATTTCCTTTAGGTTGATCAGGCGTTGCTGGCGGTTCAAGACAAAAATGCAATGTGGTTTGCAGAATGGGTACCCAATAACATCAAAAGCGCTATTTGCGATATCCCACCACGCGGAACCAGGATGTCAGCAACTTTTATATGTGAGAAAAAATAGAATATCATAGTATAAAGTATGATTGCCAATTTTACATGTTTAGGTTCTAAAAAGATAAGAAATAGATAGACCTTAGATAGAAAACCTATAGGTCTATTGTTTATTCTAAAATGAAATAATACAAAAATTTAGCAGAACTATAAGTTTTGGGTGATCAAGATAATAAACAATTCCATGCGATTAAGAAATTCTCAAATGTTGAACAAAAGTACAGAAAGAGACATTCGTCAAAATAAATGTGGTTCTGTTTGTTTTACACTTAAGCCTAATCTTAAAAACGTGGAGAAAAACTGATATGAATCAGAATTATTGTATTACGAGGACAATAAAACACATCATCATTAGAATGAACATGATGCATACCATGAACTAAAGATGAGCAGTATGATAGTTCAAGGAGATGATTAGGTAACGGCCAAATAGGTATCTGATCATTTCTTTAATCGATTATTATATACTTTTTCACCTTTAATCTTTCCATGTTTTGTACGTTCATGTCCATTTCGATTATTTTATATGCTTCTTTGTATCTTTCTTTTTCTGTTGGGATAAAATAAATATTTGATATTTTTTCTGACCGACTCCTGGATCATCTATAAACTGATTTAAATAATTATAAAGATGGTTTGGAAGATATAATGGCACAGATGTATAAAATGAATGATTTGGAGATTCCCTAGGAGAGCCAGGAAAGGGGAGGACTCTCCAAACTTGAGAAAAAATTAATCTCGAAAAAAGTAACTAAACAACCGGCAATTTTATTATTAATATTTAAATTGAAAAATTAATTGTATTAAACAATTGATTTTCATTTATACTTTGTACTCATAAACAATCTGAATAATTACACCAACGATTCTTCATTTACTGGCGTAATATTCGTTGATTGCAGCTGACAATAGTTGCTATAGTGCTTTGATATTTTGGAAGCTATTTTTAATTTGCGAAAAAAAAATTGTGTTTCAAGTTCATAGACGTCAATTATTCAGTAGAGGAATTTTGATAGTCATTTTATAGCAAAATACTGGAAAAAACAAAAAAATAAAATAAAATAATAAGATACGCATTTCTTTTCATACATAAATATACCTTTGATGTATGGAATTCACCTGTTTCATAAGTGCGCCTCTCTCAAAAAATTCCTGGATCCACCACCGTGAACACTACCGGAAATTATGGAGTCGTTAAAAAATGAATTGAGTTTTTAATTTGGACTACTGAAATATTTTGGTCAAAGGATAAAGATCTCCAGTAGGATTACTTAAGCCGTTCGTGTTACAAAGAGTTCTAATAGACATAATTTAAATATTTCTTAAAGAAGAAAAAAAAAACAGTCTGAAGTTGAAGAAATGATTTTAGTAAGATCTGTATAGCATTAAGGCACTAGCGGATCCAGGATTTAATTTTGGGGGGGCTTCAGCCCGAAACCTTCTTTTTCATAAAAATAACGATAATTACTTTGGAAAAACAGAAAGAAACTAACTACCTATATGAAATGGTGTTTAACTTAAGTACTTTTAAATGTAATTACACGAACAATAATACTTTAAGAGGTATTTTTAAAAAAAATTTCCCATAAAACATGGTTACATTTTTCCATTTTGGGGGGGGGGCTTCAGCCCGAAAGCCCCCCCCCCCGTGCATTAAGGTAACGAATGCCAATAGCTTTGGTTCAAACCCGCCTTCGCCAGATTTATATTTATTCCATAGAAAGATTCCGAATTTCCGATTAGGTTCATTATAAATTTTTGCCACTTGTGATAAATCAACACAAGGATAGAAAACACGTCTCTGGAAAAATAAGAAATATAAGTATAAGCCCTACAAATAAAAAAGGTTATTATAAACTTCATCGGCCAAGTTATGTCGTCAGAATCAATAAACATACGACGATCAGGTTGCTGATTAAAAAATCGTTGAACGAACGAGGAGTGGACAACAAACTAAGATTAGGATGAATGTTTACTTAATTGTGATGCCAGGAGTGTAAGAGGAAATAAATGCTGAATTTGGTATTCGTGGAAGCCAAGACTCAGCTATATTTTACTTAATTATTATACAATAAAATATTATGCTATGTTTTAATTTAATACAGCTATCATTGCTAGGAATTGATAGAATAAAAACAGTTTTAAGCTAAGACTAAAGTCATATATTTATATTATTTCCATCATCCTAGGTAACAATACAGCAATAACAGAAACGTTGAGAAGACAAGTAGGGCGGTTCAGGTCTTTGCTGAAGAAGAAAGCGTTCATTCATTGGTATACAGGTGAAGGGATGGAAGAAAAGGACTTCATCGACGCAGAGACCAATGTGGTGGAACTTATAACGCAGTACGTCCAGTACCAAGAAGATAAGCATCGATCTACGATGGAACCAGCCGAAGAAGGTGAAAATGAAAATGACGATGATGAATAAAGTTGGAAAAATTAAATAGCTTATGAAAACATTTATTGTAATAACAAATTTTGTGAAAACTTTTGTTTCTTCCTTTCTTTATTTAAACACATAATTCCATTCAGTTGAGAATAGGATACAAATTCGGGGAGTGATCGCCCTCTTCCTTCAATAAAAAATTAGGGGCCAGAATTTTTATTTTAAGAACTTTTTCCTTAAAAAGTCTCATAAGGACTGTTAAAATGAAACTTTTTAAGTTCCATAAACATTTCAATCCCAACATAGGAGTATTCCTCATTTTTATTCTTGCCTTAAAGTATGAAATAAAGAAGAAATTGAAGGGGTTTGGCATAGATCAGTGCAACAGCTACTATAATCCAAAGAGGTAGGTCACTATTATGGAAGCATCTTGCCAAGAAACAGGTACTGGTTTTTTGCTATCAGTGTGTCAAACTAAATATGGAGAGAGGAAGGAAATTCTCTATATTTCTTAAATTACTCATAAAAGTTAAAAATCAGAATCAAATTCTGCATTTCTCTAGCTGCGTTGGAATTGTATTTTGATTTCAATCCTTCTTGGCCTTTTGGATATATGGATTTTCAGTATCCCATTAATCTCTAGTCATTTATTGGAAGAGGTTAAAATGCTTAACTCCAACTAATTACTTAGACGATGTAGGAAAGCTTCCTTCTTTACCAACTAAGGAAAATCGTCCTCCATGATGATGTAAAACTCAGTTTTCCTCAGGAGCATGGCCCATTGTCTCAAAATGGGCGCAGGTCATGAAAACATTCTTGGACAGTTTCAGATCACCACAAGGAGCTAATTTCTTTCCTTAACATATGAAGCTTGGCTATAAGCTCCTTATGCATTGTGACACCCAATTAAAATTGAGGATCCATTTTCTGTCCAACCACGAATATTTTATTTTCCATTTAGATGAATTTGCTATGATTGGAGATCCTCCAGAATTCTCGCCGAGACTATTTCTTAAGAATATATTTAGTCTTTTCTTGTAGGAGGTGGAAGTACCCCTACAGCTAAATTTTACACTGCTTCAAATCAAACAGTTCTGTAGGATTTCGTTAATGGTTGCTGGATCTAAATAAAATGTGACATGTGTGAACCTGGTTGCCAATATTGGGCCCTTTTACTTTTTCTAGTGTGACCATGTGCTCATCCATTATTTCGAAGTAACAAGGTACAGGAATCTTAACTTCTTCAGTTTGACCTGAGGACCTTTTCCTGATTAACACTGTTTTATCAAATAGACATGATATTCTTAAGTCACATACACCCTGTCGAAATCAATTACTTCTAGTAAGTGGATGAATGGTTGCAAACTAATAAAAAGAACAATTAAATGTGGTTTACCTCTAACTTTAGAAATCTTGAAGATTCTGACAAATGTACTCGTAGAATTGTTGATTTCTGCTAAATAAAGTAGATTAACTGCATGTTTTATGGGTTTTTACTGATAAAAGACTAGGAATATAATCGAGTGTCATCATGTAAAAGGATAGAGGCATTATATGTCTATAAAAAATCGCAAAACAAATCTTTATAATTTATGTAATTCAAGTTTCTAAAAATAAAAGAATAAAAAAAAAAGAAGATAATATTTCCATCATTCCATAACTTTATGAAAATCATCTAACTCGAATAAACCATAATTGCTTCATTTGACAGCTTAATAAGAGATCAAACTTATAAAAAATTCATAGCATTCATTTTCTATCAATAATTACCCATAAATAACTTCAAATATAATCTGTATTTGTATAAAGTTAATGGTTGAAATACATATAAAACTTGTATTATTTATGTGTAAGTTAAATTTATTTCACAGTAACGATAAAACAACACTATCGCAGGTTGCCAATAAGTCCAAAAAAAATCAGCTTCCTTCTGAAGTCGATTGTGGAGCTGGTTTTATATCTAAATCTCTTTTCATCGCGTAAGCATCTTCGCCATCAGCATAGTACTTTGGTTCCACCTCAGAAATAGTAAAGTTTAAAGTATTCGTGTAGAGGTTCAAGGCCGCCCGGTTGCTCTTGCGAACATGCAAGGAGACATACTTAGCCTTAAAACATTCAACCATTGCTTTGGCCGCTTGGTCCATCAGTTTCTGGGCCAGCCCTAGTCTTCGATGAGATCTCTTGACTGCAAGGGAGGTAATGTGTCCGTGTGGATTATCCTCAGAATCCTCTTCCATTTTTGCTAAAACATACCTGGAAAAAACAGAACATATAAAAGATGAATTGGAAATAAATATCAATTTATCATCTGCCTCAATGTGAAACCATACATTTGACTGATTCTAAAATTGTAATCAATGAGTACTAGCAAGTAACATACTATCAAGTAGAACAGATTAACAATTATTTATTGTAGTCATTTTTCATTTATAATACAGTTTTTTTCTCATTCTGATGTCCTTATTATGTTTTTGTGTCGATAATCAAGGTCAATATTACAAAAACGTACTTTTATTTCAAGTTCAGCACCATCAAAAACATACTTAATGTCTTTTTGCAATGAACTGATGATATATTCAATCCTATTACAAATCAAAAAAGTTAAAGGGGGAATTATCTTTAGTTAGACCCAAATAATCCTATTTAATGTGCAATGTCATATCTGGATAAAAATTAAAGTGTTTTATAAAAATATATTGAGAAAACATTATTTAATTTTAAAGTATTAGGAAACAGGATCAAATAGCATTAGGTCTATTGATAAAATAACTTATTTAGATAATCATAATATAGATAATCACCCAACAATTTGTCCTTTTTCATCTTCAGCTACGTAACTTAGCTGCGGCCAGGACAAACCATGGTAAAAATAATATTTCATCTGATAATTTTCTGGTAGGCAAAGAAGGTTGCAATGTTGCATGTTCATTAGGTCATCAGGCCTAGCACAACGGATATTCATTTTGTCGGATTGCAATTAGTCCCTTCTGCTTCGTCGAGGTCGTGGTTTACTCTGTTCTACTTTCTGCTGCTGGCCAGACGATTCTTGCATGCCACCAAGAAGTTCACGTACAAAACGGAACCGAGACAAAAATAGTTTCCACACCAAATACCAACCTAAAACAATATATACAATATGTAAGTTTATACTATAACTTGAAACATGATAGGTTACTGTGACAAATATATTAAAAATAAATTATTATTACATTGTAGTTATATTTTTTTTTTTAATTATGATATAAACATACAAGTATTGAAATCATCCACAATAAATTACCATTTTTCTAATTTAAGAAAACAAAGTTACAGTTCTATGATCACGATCACGCTTTGCATCACATCAAATAAATGAAAAACAACGAAGAGGGACAAATTGGGAATTTTAAAAGTGAAATGGATAGACAACTTACTAAGTTATATATAAGATTCAGAGACAATAAAATTTACTGAGATAAAAATAATCTCTATGATCCAGCAACATTTTACTTTGTTTATTTACATCAAGTCTATTTATTAAAAACAATATTGGTCATTCTTAACAATACGAGATTAAGATAGGGAGGAAAATAAGAAATCGTAACAAGTTTAATTCAAAATAGGCCCACAAAATCTTAACATTAGAAATGGAGAGTAAAGAGAAAATGTAAAAAGGAATTAACTCCCATTTTTATTGATAAATTATTAGAAGAAAATAGAGTATAAATATATTTATTTACAGACTAATGATAAAGCAGGGAACAGCGTAGCTCAGTGGGTGAGCACTGACTTCCAGAGCTCAAAGTCCTTGGTTCGAATCCGGCTAATGACTAGTAATTTTTCATTAGCCGTGGATCGACCCTGGGATCGGGAGACCCTCCTGGGACACACCCAGCCTCTATAAAGTGGGCACCCTTAATTAAAAAATAATTAAGGGGGAAAAACTTGGCGGTTAAGCGCGATATCGGCCACATCACCTCCCTGCACAACCGTTGGTCTTGAAACAGTACTTTCTCGCATACTAATGCACCCAAGACCCTTCATGGGGTTGTAGTGGTTACAGGATTTTTTTTTTTTTTTTTTTTTTTTTTTTAATGATAAAGCAATAACATTATTTTTTATTGTTCATAAATCTATACTGAGTTAAAAAAATTATTTAATTTCAAATAGAAATAATTGTTATAAATTGATATGTCAGAGGAAAACTGTTGTAACATTTTTTAAGTTTTACAGAAAAGAAAAATAATTATCAAACTAGATAGCTCTAGATAGAAATGATGATCAATCTTCATAATAATAATATCTTCCAAGTGGTTCATGTGTCATAACATTCTTAACTTTTTTTTATTGTACTTACACTAGGAAAATATAGCTAGAATGATGAAAATACAATAACATGATAATCAGAAAAAATGAACTAAACCATAGCCTTCCTTTAAAAATCAGAAATAATTAAATTTATTATAAAAACAAAAATATTATTCATTGATTCAGTACACTATGAAATGCACAAGTTTTTCAGAAGTTTAATTGGGCTATACAAATTATAATTTTGATTGTTAAGTATTGGAAAAATTATGAGTCATATACGCATATTTCATCTTAATTTCTTGGATTCATCCCTAGCTATTCCTGCTTAATGATCAAAAATGAACACCTGAACAATAGTCATTATTATGTTAAAATCCATCATATACTTGAATTTGAAGGGTTTTGGGATTATTTTTTTTCAACTAATGTAGGACTGCCAGAAAATATTTTAAAATAATCAACAAAACTAATTCTACATAACCAGGCATAATGTGAGGTAACATTAAACAATTGAATTAGTTATTGCAGAAATAACATTCCTTAATGATTTTAGAAAACAAAGAACTATATAATAATGAAATATCAGAAGATAAAAATCTACAACAAATATATTGTGAGTTTAAAGCAAAAAGTCTCTTAAGTAAAATTCCACATACTTACGGTGTTTTTGTATCAATAAATAAGGTCGAAATTCACAAAAACATAGTTGAAATTTAACCTATATCAAAAATCACCAAGTGACTTTTTGCAATTAATAGACAATATAGTACAAATAATCAATCTTAACATTATTTAAGTCATTTTTTAAGCAATGTAAGTATCATTAGATGATCAGAAATTGTTTTTTGAAATTTTACAAATGTGTTGTTTCCGTAGTAAAGCATATTCTAGTACATTTTCTCATTTGTTTTTTAAACAATAAGTACATGTGGAATGATTTAAAATTTATAGTATTACTTCTAAAATAAAGAACCCGGTACCACCATAAAAATGTTTCACTCCACTTTGATGAGTGGGCCAAGATCATGCTATATATGGGATTCAAACCTATATAACCTATGGTTGACAATAAATTCACAGAAAAACTTCCTTTTATTTAGAGGGAGATGTAAGACTTTAGAAAACTGATAAGGGTTGGATATTTTATAAAATTGATGGTAATTATGGTTCTTTATTTGGAACTATAAGATGCAATTATGATCAATGCGTTAAAACGTACCACTCTTACCTAAACACCAGTAAATATATAATGTGTCCTTTCAGAAATAAATGATTTAACCTTATTTATTAATGGACTACCGAAAATTTTATGACAATTTAATTTCAAGATTGGAATTATGTTCCATTTGAATAGAAGCTGATGATCTAAATAGATATAATTTATACCTTAACCAATAACACAAAGCTACTCATAGTCTGAAGTTGAAAACAACAAAATACTGACCAGGTAAGAATGTTAGTATTCAATGTACTAGCACCAAATATAACCATAACATTAAAACTATATTTGTCTTAAAAATGTATCATGTCCTGTCATGCCAATTGAAACAACAAACACATATGACAACTATTGTAGAACACATATAAGTAAAACAGATGATGAAATGAATATTAACTAAGCAAAACTATCAAATCCACTTAAGAGAGAAGAAAGACATTTTAAAGATGAACTACCTCAATAAACAAGTCACCAGACACTAAATAATAGTCAATATTGATAACAGATTTAGCTGGCAGAATTTCAACTCATAGATCATAAGGACTTAATTCACTAAGTTGACCACCAATGAATGAAATGAAGGGCATTCATAAAATAAAATTATTAACTAAAGAATACTTGCCCAGATGCTCAATTGATCTATACTAAATAATTCAAGAAATAGCAATATCTTAATAAACAATCACTAAGAAGATTAGGTACAATGGTATATAGTGGTACCACCTGTTTATTAAGCATATTATAGTAAGTTAGGGATTATATTGCTTACCTAGAGCTACTAATCCAACTATCAAGACCAAGGAAGTCAATATAGAGGCGACAGCTAGTAAGATTTCCATATCATCTACAAAGGTTAATAGTTTTTCTTAACCTTAAATAAATCAATAAGCTCATATATTGCTTATGGTTGGCTTACCTCTAATTTTGACCCAAACCCCATCAATTAACAAAGAAGTTAACAGAAAACAGGAAAAAGGGTGTTTAAATCTTTTCAAATAAGAACCTTTAATGTTTTTCTTTTATATTTCAAATGAACTTACCTTTAAATTTAAAATTATCCTATTCGGAGAATTAATTCCAATTTCTTAATAATAAAAAAAATTAATAACTATAATAACGTGCTGTAGATTATTTGGATCTGGTTGTAACCAAATCCAAATTTAGCAGGAAAACTTGATCTGGATATTTAAAAACTAAAAAATGTGGATCTACTATATTTTTCATTAAATGCAAACCTAAATTTTTAATGATTGCACATTTTTTTTATCACAACTAGTTTTGCTCTAATAAATTTGTTACTAACGTACATAAACAATAACATGCAATTTCGCTTACAATGCCGCTCTTACCTAGATTTAATTTTTATGACAATCATTTAGAAAATTTTTAGGCCAAATATATGCATTTAAGTAAAATATTAATGCATTATATATGCAGATTGAATATCATAATCGAAATAAAAATGAAATCGAGTCAGGAAACAGCCTAGCGGTTCCTTGGCGTATTAGTAAATTTGCACCTTCGTAGGTTTATCATTCAAAATTATTATTAGTGTGATCAATTGTCAATGTTTTCTGATGGCTGCTAATATCCAGGAGTACGATCCTCCAAGTTCTGCCAGTTCAGACAGGTAAATTTAAAGAGACTGTCTATTTATGGAATTAGTCCTGCTGGCAAATTAACAAAATTTTATGAATAATATGGAATTAAATATAATTATTATTTTAATATCAACTCCATTTCAAGATTTTTAGAGATGTAACTTATTTCTATACTTTGTAACCTTATTGGTTTATTTATGACCTCTGCCAATAGTTATTTGGATGATTTTTAAATAATGGGATTTTCATCATGCCAATACAATGTGCTATACAAACAATATAATTACATGTTTTAATTATATAATATTATTATATTATATTCTTTACCTTAAACTCTGATATTTTAAGGGGTTGACATTGTAGCTGCTGATATCTTCTCTTTCTAGAGATCGACGAAAAGACTGATTTGTTTAGTACTTTACATAGCAAAGCCACTTGGCTTAAGAGGTCGTAAACAAACCCATTGGGTATATGAGATATGTGCATAAATTGGTATGTGGGTGTGGGTTAACAGGCTATTACCAAGATTTATTTCTTAATAAATTCTTGTCGCGTTCCAGTGATGTTTGTGATAGAGTATATGAGGACACCAGAGTCTATGAAGACACAGTATTTTATCATGATGTTGAAGAGGATACAGACAGTTTTCATATTGTCTCCCCACCACAATCTCCCAGACCTCCTTCTGCTTGTGGTGAGATTAAATGAGGTGAAAGTTGTCTAGAAGGACTTATTGTTCTTCAACTTAACTTATTTATGTTCAGGTTCTCAAAAATCTCCTAGAGCAAGGAGACAAAGGACAACATCTATGTCAAAATCAAAGACAACTAATACCTCAGCGGAATCTGTGCTTAGGAGCCATCGTCGAACAATATACACTGCAGGTAGACCACCTTGGTACAATTGTGCTGGAGAGCAAGTCAAACCTTTTGTGATTGGTAAGCCCCAATGTATTTTAGTACTTTTTCTATATTATATTAAGAAGGTGGCGGGTCGCTGAGGCTCAGGTTCAAGACTGTATGAAAAGATTTATTGTCTATTCTCTCAGTTTAAGATTTACTATAGTGTTGGTAGTGTTTCTTGAATATACTCAGCTGTCATTACATGGGTACCTGTACCGTCAATAGACTTTAACATCAATACCGACTACGTTCTTTTGTTGGTCAAGAAATACTTCCTTACTGAGCAATGAATATAAGGACTGTTTTTTTTTTGTTTTTTTTATGTTAATATCATTTTTTGCACAACAAAGAAAATGAAAAATAGCATTTGGCTGACCTCCAGATACCATAAGAGTTTTTATTTAATCTCTTAAACAAGTAAAATAAACAGATATTGATAGTTTATATTTATCATAAGCCCCAATAATGACAAGCTGTTGCAATTTTAAAAGTAGTTGGTACTTAACCTAAATTAAGTCAAAATTATTAAATTAAATATTACTTTAATTAAACTGTGGCTATAGTGAACCATAGTTGGCATCTGATCAATAACCATAAACCAATTCTCAATAGAGAACTTTAGATGTTCAATTATTTTCCTATTAAAATAATGCTTTACCGAAAATGGAAAAAAGTACTAATATAACTTAATGTTTCTGTGGTGGTTTTGTTTTATCAAAATACATCTTTTAAGCAATACATATGACAGACTACTCCATATTGATTGCTGTTTTTGATGAATTATCTCAAATATTTTGTGTTGCATGCAATATTTCAGGTTTTTCTTCATTGCTGCTAAAGAGTTTTGTTTTGATATAATTATTAAATAATATTTTATCTCTACTATTTTGATATCAGTATCATCTTATCATTTTCTTATCTACAATAGATAAGAGTTAAGTTTGCATTTAATTTGTTTTTATTACTGAAAAGCTATTTTTAGAAATCTTGTACTGTAGCTAGTTACTGTTGGGTTGATTTTTCAATTTATTCTTGCTGAGTTGAAAATTTTCGTTTTTAAAAAATAGCTTATATTCTGAATTATATACATTATGTATATTTTTTTACATTAAGATAATATTAAAAATGATCATCTTTGGAAACTTTTTTTTTCAGGAATATGTGGTGGAAGCGCTTCCGGTAAAACAACGGTTGCAACAAAAATTATCGAGTCATTGGATGTTCCATGGGTTACTCTTTTCAGCATGGATTCTTTTTACAAGGTTAATGTTATTTTATATTTTAAACTAAATTTAAATTGAATTAAAATGACTTGTATGAAGAAGTTTTTAGAAGCAATTCATTGTTAAAATTCAAATATTCTGATAATTTAGTTATTTATTCAAGTGTAGTGTAATATATCTAGTTGGAACCAACATCCTGGTATTTTAAAGAAAATATTGGTCTTAAATGTTTTTAAAAAAAAATCACTAATCTAGTAATAGATTAGGGCCCATTTTCATCTCTCTTCTTTCTAGAATGGCTTGCCATTTAATTTTCTTTTATCAAGGTCTGTATGAAGATGATGATAAAAAAAAAAAAAAAAAGAAGAAAAAGATAATTGAAATAGATAAGAAAAATCATTTATTCCATTTTTTAATAAATTTACCACAGTTATTTTTAATTTCATGGTAATTAAACATTTTAGGATTATGTGTTGGCGCATTTCAGTTTCATATTAAAAATAGAAATAAATTATTGGTTTGTTTGTTATGCAAAAGTTATCATTAAAAAATCTATTCGCATCAATTCGTGACACCTCCCTCACTACTATAATCCTGGAAACATGGTCTAGTATGATATTATGAAGAAGGAACATCATAAATAAAACCGTTGATCCTTGTATCAAAGTACACTTCCTCTACTATCTAAAAGTTTAAAAATAATTTTTCAAATTCATTGTTATTGAATACCTATTTAGAATAATTCCTCAACTTAGCAGATATGAGGGTGTAACAAATGGATGTATTGGATCAAAGTTCTCTGTGTGCCTAATTCATGAGCAGAGTGTAATTCTCAGTTAAGTCAGTCATTACTTACCTTTATTACGTACACACAAAATAAATTTTAGCCTTCCAATTTTCTAGAAAACAGTGACAACTCTGTAGTTGCCTAATGGAACACATCTTTATTTGCCTGACCAATCGCCCTTCTGAAACTATACCAGTACTCCACCTTTCAAAAAATACGACTAATGCTAAAACATAAGATATTTACAAAGGAAGGAGATGGTCCGGGGTTGCGGTCATAAATAGGCTAAATAGTGGTAAAACTATTTTATTGAAAGCCAACGTTTTTGTATCTTGTCCATTCTAGCCCTGATGAAGACCTGCAAAATCGGGTTGAATCGTCGGCTTTCAATAAAATAGTTTTCCACTATTTAGCCTATTTATGACCGCAACCCCGGACCATCTCCTTCCTTTATAATGCAACTGTCAACTATTAAATATTCAATAAGATATTTACCCTAATATCCCCACCCTAACCACAAATTAGATAGATAGATCTGTAAGTCAATTTTCTTATTAGTTTATGAAGAAACTATGCAAAATTTTACTCCTCATCCTCCTCCCCTCCCCCAAGCTTTTTTAGAACCAGTCATTAAAATTATAAAAATAATAAAATCACACTATTATTTTTAATATGAACTGTGTTAGTTATATCTTTTTTTTTTTTTTTTTTTTTTTTTTTATAAAACTGGCTGAAATATTTAGGATATGAAACCATCATATCCTCTGGAGAGAGAAATATTTTATTTAAAGCTATACAATTTAATTGTTCATTAAAGGGCAATAATTTTCAAAGCTCTAATGCTTCTATCTATTGCTTTTAAGCAATTGGCTGTATGCCACATGTGCTGAGTACACAAGGGAAAAATAAAATTTAAAAAAATCAACAGTAAATCTATATATAAATGTTTCTCCTTTAAAATTTTATCCTTGGACCTATTAGAATTAGATTGTTCAAGTTAAAGCAATTTATAGATTATCCTAGAGACATCATTTTAATTACAATTTTTACTGTGCCTGATAATATTTGGTAGGGAGGGAATTAATGGTCCTTATGACCCTCATTTTGAGTGTTATTATTCTAAAGAAGTATGGATTTAAATTTAGTGTTTTTTAAATTTAATTATTTTTTATATTTTAGTTTAACTTATAACTAAAAAATAAGTATATATTTTTACTTCTCCATCCTTGGTAAATAAATTATTAATGTGACAGCCTATAAACCAATAACTAAAATTAGTTGTTAATAATTAATATTTTATGGGGAGGAAGTAAAGAAAACAATTTATTTCTTTTTATTATAATAGGTTGGTGGTTGAATTTAGCAATCTAACCTTCTTCAAGTTTTATTGTTTTCTCATTATGACACTTTTATGTCAAAGTTTTGAGGAATATTTTCAGATACAGTATATAACTAATATTTTATGTTCTATGAATACATTAACCATTAAGGTAAATTAACAATTATGAAACAAACTAATAATAGCATTGTATTATACAGCGGAATGTGAATAAATATATATATTTAGACAATTTACTCAAATTTATTAAATAAAATTTCCTAATGATACGAAAAATATGCCTCAAAACGTCAACATAAGAATTTCATATTGAGAAAATAATAATTGAGGATTGATTGTTGACTGTAATGAATAATTGAAGAGAAGATTGGTTGTGACGATCAGTCAAAAAAAATAATTAAGTTAAATTGCCAACTTGATTTATTGAAAAAAAAAAAAAATTCATTTCTGTAGATCATAATGTAGTACTTTAATTTATTAATTTGTATGTATGCTAGTAAACTTCAATTGTTTTATTGTTATATTTGTTTCTTTTTTATTCTAATTCGAAGATTTCTAAGTAGTAATTGTAGATCAGAGAAATAAAATAAAAATTAAATATGTAATGATTTAACTGGTCTTACTTCTCTTCTATAATTTATTTATTTTTAGTTTGTGTTTTGTTTGAACACACCAACCAACCTCACCTCAGTTATTCACTTCAGTTAACCATCAATCCACTATTACTCTATTTTCTATTTTTTCTTGGTATTAATCCACTAATAAATTATATTATAACCAAAATTGTATTTAAAACGCTTTTTGTCAATAATAATTAATGCACACAGTTAAAAAGTTAAACTTAAAACTTTTTGTAAGTGATGAACTATCAATATGTTTTAGTCTGTTTCAAGTTTAAAAATTGCTAATTCTCAAAATTTTATAACTGATTAGTTGGTTACTAGTATTTTAGAAACTCAAGTCTCAGTGTTAGTAATTTTCCAATTATATCTTAACAATTATTTTATCCTCATAACTATTCATTTACTGATAAAATAAATTTTTTTTAGGCCCTTAATGAAAAGCAGCACGAGTTGGCTATTCTTAACGAATACAATTTCGATCATCCTGATGCTTTCGATTTCGATCACCTCATTCCTACTCTCAAGCGTCTAATAAAGGGTAAAAAGGTGGAAGTTCCTATTTACAACTTTGTAACTCATTCACGTGAAAACAAAACAGTAAGTATTTAAAAATATTATAATTGTATCATCGATTTGTTGCAAAAAATCATTTGTTAACATTTCATAACCTTAACTTATACCTAAGAACTTTGAACAATTTTTCCTTTTTCAAATCAGAAAAATTGTTCACTTATTGTAACTATATTTGATGTATTGGGTTGGCAAATAAGTCCTTTCTGTTTTTCAGGGTGAAATAACACTCGAATGTATTATAAATATAAAATTTATTTTAATCTACAATATAGTGACCATTATTCAATATGACTTTTTCCCATCTTCCACTAACTGCATAGTGCCATGTTCATAGAATGTCTGGAGTTTATTGTTAAAAAACTGGTCCAAGTGGTTTTTGATGTCATCCTCTTCCTTTTGGAATTTCTTTCCATTCATGGAGTTCTTCAGATACCCGAATAAGTGGTGGTCACTTGGAGCTAGGTCTGGTGAATAGGGAGGGTGGGGCAAAAGGTCCCATCCAAGGTTCAATAATTTATTGCGAATGATCAATGATGTGTGCGTCCTAATGCTGTCTTGGTGAAACACAACACCCTTCCGATTTGCCAATTCTGGGCATTTATTTTTAATTGATTGATCTAATTTCGTTAATTGTAAGCAGTATAGAGTTGAATCAATTGTTTGTTCTGATGGCAATAGCTCATGGAAAATAACACCCTTGAAATCCCACCGTATGGAAAGCATTATCTTCTTTGGATGCGATCCGGGTTTTGACATTCTTCTAGGAGCCTCACTACTAGCTCCTCAATATTTTCTACAGACTAAATTATCGTAAAATATCCATTTTTCATCTCCTGTTATCAATCTTTTCAAAAATGGGTCGTTTTGTTGCCGTTTCCGTAATGAATCACAAACAGAAATGCCTGTTGCCAAATTGACGAGTAAGGGACGAAATTGAGTAAGGGATCCAAACATTAAGCCTGGAAACATAGCCGAGCTGGTGCAAATGGTTTTCTATGCTTGTGTGCGACACATTTAGGGTCATAGCAATCTCTCGCATTGATTGGGTGGGATTTTGATCAACAATGGCCTTAACATTGCTCATTTCAATTTCATGTGGACGACCAGACCGTTTAGCATCATTGATGTCAAAATTTCCTGAATGAAATTTAGCAAACCAATTTTCGGTTAAAGCATCATCCCCATGAACAATGCAAATTTTTCTATGAGCTTCTGCAGTTCACTTATCTTTTATGTAAATAATACAACAAAATATACTGATAATAAATATTTTCTTCCATATTCACGGTACAATAGCAAACAAAATATTAAGCTATTTTCAACAAGAGTTAACAGATATAGTTGTTGACATATTACAAACAGGATAATTCATCTTAGTGATTAATTCATCAGATAAGAAGTTGATCATGGTGACATAAAAATAAACAGAAAATTTGAAAGGATTTATTTGCCAACCCAGTATAGAAGTTTTTTTTTTTTAATTTTCATGTCCTTACAGTGGTTTTGTTTGGATTAATAAGGTCAAAATTCATGAAAATATTTTTGTTTGTTGATGACTTTTTACAATAAACTGACAATATTTTATATTGTAAATAATCAGTTAATTATTTCAATTTCTACTCTTGCTGATTTCACTTATTGAACTTAAGCAATGGGTAATAACATCTAAATAATGTTATTCTAGAAGACAATGTATGGGGCAAATGTGATCATCTTCGAAGGAATCCTCGCCTTCTATAATCAGGAAGTTTTAAAGGTATTGTCATTTAACGAACTTGTATTATTTATTAATTAGAAATTAAGTGGATCCTTTTTTACTTAAGTATCGCCAGTTAATTTTTGTTACTTATTTAGAACTGTTACAGATTTGTCAAATAAACACGATTTAGGAAACTACTACAATTCTACTATTAAGGTTATAACCTGAATCAAAAGTTTATTGTTTTAATGAGAGTGTGAAATTTTAAGAAAAAAAAATGAACTTCTTAAAATTTAATAACATTCTTTCATAAAAAATGAATGACATTAAAATGATAATGAAGAAATTAACATTAAACAGACATACAGTTTAATATTAATTTTCAATAAAACATTTTTTCTTCTATGACATATGATTTCTGAATAATAACTGTTATTTTGCTAAAAGTTAATGGTGATACTTAAGTAAAAAAGACCCAATAAAGTTTTTAGATACCCTCAATAAAGGGTTTCTTAACATTATAACAAAGGCAATCTTAATAGGTTCCAATCACCTCCTTAAAACTGTCCCTACTATTCCAACTCTGTTCCTACATAATAACCCCATCAAATTTCACCCCACCATCAAAAATCTTGGAATAACCATTGATCAAACGCTTTCTTGGAAAAATCATATATCCAATATTTCCCGCCGTACCATTTCCATCCTAAAACGTCTTAACTACTCCCGTCACCTATTTCCTTTTGAAACTCGTAGGCTCCTAGTCACTTCCTTAATTTTTCTCCACTTTGACTATTGCTGTACGGTATATGGGGGCCTCTCTGGGGATCTCGAGGCGAAACTAAAACGTTTGATAAATTGCTTTGTACGATTCATCTTCGGGATCCCAAGGGACGCCTCTGTTTCACATTTTTACGCGGAGTTAAAGTGGCTTTATCCTTCCTACCGTCGTAAGTATTTCCTTGCACCCTTCCTCTTTCAAGTCATCCAATCCCACCGTCCCTCATACATCTCCGAGCTCTTTCAATTCAAATCCTCTGTTCGTTCCCGCAATACTCGTTCCCGGTCTTCTGATTTATATATAAGGGCCCACCGAACCGCTGCTTTCGACAAATCATTCATTATCCGATCCTCATCTCTATGGAACTCCATCCCTTCCCATATCCGTCAATCTAATACCCTTCCTACCTTTAAATCCCTCCTGTTCAATCATTTCTTATCCATCCAGTCCCCATAAAATCGTAAATAGATACTACTGAAAATATGTACATAAATTATTAGTTCGTTCTTCATTATTTGTACTCCAATTTTTGTTTATCTATTTTTTTCTTTTATTATCAACTGATCAAAATTGGAAAGCAACTTATATGTATATGTATGTGTATATATATATATATATATATATATATATTATTATTTTTTTTTTAACCAAGACTGTTCAATTACTCTGTATTTTTATTTATATATCTCTGAGGCTCCTTAGCCCTCATTTCTGTCTTCCTGTATTATTCTAAAGGGACTCGTCCCAGAATAAATAAAGTATTATTATTATTATTATTATTATAACTGATAGAGAAAAACAATTTCATGCGTTCATGTTTTGGTTAGGATTGGCAATAGATATTGCTAAACAAGCAGTTTTCTTTCATTCTTTATGTGAATACTGTTTATATGTTATTATTATAAGGTAGTAATTAGTGATTGTTTATAATAATTAGAAATCAATAGTTACATTCTTAGCCTCATTTCCTTTCATTCCTAATTTTTTTCAGTTTTCTCTGGGATCGTTTATTGTCTTCATTTCTCTTACGTAATAAATGACATAATTTATTTTTATTTTTTTTAGTAGAATTCTACAATCATATAATTAAGTACTGCAGTATACTTCAACATTTTGATTGAAAACTAAGCTACTTCAGAAAATCTTTCCTATTTGAACCAACTTGTTCCTAGCAAGGTTACAAACTTCAATACCTGTTCTAAACAAAGCGTTTAAAACATTCTTGACCCAGGCCACTGCCAGTGCAATTACAATATTTATTCTTAGTCATTTTCAATTTTATCAACATGTTACTGATAAAAGTAATTATGCTAATAGAAAAGTGTTATTAATAAAGCTGTAGACAAAAGCGATAGTAATCTGTATATTTCAAGTCATTAATTATTATTTGTTTTATTTATTCTAGATGTTGGACATGAAAGTGTTTGTTGATACAGATCCTGACGTGAGGTTATGCAGGAGACTAAGAAGAGACATATGTGAAAGAGGTAAAAAAATAATATTGTTAAGTCTTTCAAGGGATTTCGATAAATAAAAACAATAAATTTAACAATGTATTAATTATTTATCTTAGCACTTTAACTATTAAGCCATTCGAGTGAAACTTTCTCTGTAGGTCAAATTGTTTATTCCTTTCAAAAGTTGTAATATACTGTTAAAAATGTATAATACATTTTTTTTTTGGTTTTGAAAAAAATGCAATAGCAATAAATTAAAAAAAAGAAACGGAGCAGGCGTTTACGCCTACCATTGTCCATAGAGATGTTACAGTTGTTTTTTGTAATTTTATTTTCCTATCTTTACATGTATATAATCATATTTCGATTATTTTTGGAAATTTAAACAAAAACAAGCTTGTTTGTGGATCTTAATGGTGCGTTGGGTCATTATTTTAAATTTAAATTCTTATTGCAGGTCTGCTAGTTAATTAAATTACAAGTACACCCATCCATTTACTTAACAATGTAAAAGTAAAATAAATTCACATTACTCCAAAAGCAATGTTTGCCAAAATTATCTTTTAAAAATTGAACTTGTGCACTGATACCTGCCTCTGGACAAACCACTTTAACCTTTTCATAACTGAATTGACAAGGAATTCACTAATGAGCTTTCACATTCACTCTCAAATTCATCTTCTCCTGTCTATGAATGATCAGCACGCATTGTTACAGGCTTACTATAATTTTACTTTCTGCCTCAGTGGTTTCGTTTATTGATTTACTCACCATCACATTAAAAGTAATATCTACTCCTACACAGAGATAAATAGTTCCATCGAATATTAATAAAAATTAAAATATATATTTGTTATAGTTACATAGTAAATTATAAAAATAAAGTGAGTAAATACTTTTGACTCGTCTTTCAAATTGGTTATTTTGAATAATTCATTTACATGGCAATTCTTTGCATTTCATATGATCGAGGAAAAATGTGTTCTTAGTTAAATTGTTGATTTAAATTTTAAATGGTTTTATCATTTTTAAAATATCACCTGGCAATAATACCAATATTTTTTATTTTATACACTTCAAAACTGGTATAAAAATACTTTTAATCCTGACTGCATGTCTATGTTACTTTTAGTACTAAATAGGTTCATATACATTTTATAATGTATCTTATTTCTTTATAAATAGTGTTTACATTTCACTTGAAAGGCTGTAAATAATCTAGGACGGGACTTGGAAGGAGTGCTGAAGCAGTACTGCACAATGGTGAAGCCTTCCTTTTCCCACTACATAGCCCCGGGGATGTCTCATGCCGATATCATCGTTCCTAGAGGAGGGGACAATAAGGTTGCCATAGAACTCATTGTACACCATGTCCACACTCAATTGTCATTGGTAAATTAATATTTTCTTTTGTATATATGTAGATATTTAAATCTTCCAGTCATCATTCTGCAGTTCATCGATTAGGCTCGGCCAGACAATACTCACAGAAAAAAATGTTGGTTTTCTTAATTTAAATCTCATAATCGAAGAATTTTTTATTATTTTTTTTTTTGGTAAATTAAAATTCTTCATCCGAAAACCATTCAGTTTATTTCATAACTTAAATTTTCCTCTTTCAAATAGACTAGACGTTCATGATCAAAATTGTTAGTAAAGTGATGATAAGCTGCCATAATAATTTTGCAATTATTATAAGTGGATATATTGACTTTTGATAGCATGTATTTTATTGTATTCCTAATCATCCTGTATATATTAAGTTACATTTTATGGACACACCAGAATATTAATATATATTTTGTATTTGTAACTTGTTCTAAAGAGACACTAGTTCCAGAATAATAAAATTATTTTCATTCATTCATATTCCTCAATTCTAGACAGTGATGGAGTACAAAAATGTGGTTGGTTTAGATACAGTAATTTGTGTAATAAATAATCATGTAAATAGTCTTTCTGATAATTTGAAATGGGAATGGGATTTAGAAATTTCTTGTGAACGTACCCAATAAATATGTAGATTATTTTGAACAATATTGCTAATGTTCTTCGATTTCGAATAATTCAATGTTCTTTGAGCAGATACTCTTACAAGAACCTCATTTATACTATTAAAATTTCAAAGTAAGCCCTATCTGAGGTTATTCTACGTTTCGAGCTGAGAATGGTTTAATAAAACAAGTGATCGTTTGTTATTAAAACTCAAAATTTATTTATTCTTCAGTACCACAAAACAAATCACGGTACATTAATGTAAAAATTAAGAATTTTGAAAATAAAATTAATAGTGAAATATAGAAAGAAATACACCATTTTTTTATACAGTCTCATTTTTTTCCATTTGATTTGCTACTCTGAGCTTTCGGTGCTCTGCACCATATTTACCGATCTTTTCAAGCCAATTCTATTCTCTTTGGATGTTGTTCTTTAAAAAGTTTTTTCCAATCATTACAGATTGTTTTCATACTGTATATGTATAAGAATTTTTTTATTATAGGAGGAGAAAGAACCACATTTGGACTTAATTTGCCCCTTATGGGATGGGTCATACTCAGATTACTATTTTGTTTGTCGTTTCAGCAAATCTTTGTTAATTCTTCATCAAATCTAATGATTGAGAGTTATCTTCTGTAGGTGTGAAAAATTAGCAGATCTAGAAGAGTCAGAAGAAAAAGAACGTTTACTTGTGCATAACTCAAAAAGTATGCAATTTATAAGGATGAAAAATTAGTCATGACATGTGGTCATTTATGTTTATTAAGTTTGCCGATGTTTTAATCCAAGCATGTGGGTCATCATCAGGGCTAAAAATTACAAAAATACATTAATTTTTTTAAAACTTGTTTGCCTTAGTGGTGAATCACATGCTTGTGTTGAAATGTCAGCATATTTAAAAAACAACATATTAATTTAAGTATATATAATGAAAAGTTTTTCTTCTATGGTAATCTTTATTATTTTCTTTTGTCTAACTTTTCGAGTTACTCATCAATCGTCAAAGACAATTTAATCTGCTATTAGGTATTTCATCAATCTTTCTGGCTTATAATGTATATTAAAACTATTTGTCCTTAGTTTACTAATTGAATTTAAATTAAAATATATTTCTTCCTAAGATGGACAATGAAAAACATCCATCTTAGGAAGAAATTTATTTTAATTTAAACTCAATTAGTAAATGGAGTACAAATGTTTTTAACATGCATTGAAAGACAATAAGATGGATGAAATACCTACTAGCACTTTAAATTGAATCTGAAGATGGGTAAATGTTAGATAAAAGAATATAATAAAGATTACCATGGAAGAGAAACTTTTATACATACCTAGAACTACAATAACTCTTCCTTTAAGAAATTAAAAATGTCATTCATGTCCTACAGTTTCCTTTAACAATACTCCACTTATCCCTGTTAAGCAAATCCGATACCTAGGACTCCACCTGGACAAACGACTAACTTGGAATCCTCATACTAGACAAACGCTCTAAACTTCCCATTAATTACAAAAGACTCATATACTTGACTATAATAAGACCTATTTGGACTTAGGAGTTGAGCTATGGAGCTCCACTAAACCATCGAATTCCTCTCGCATCCAATCCTTACAATCCAAAATCCTTCGTAAAATCCTCAATGCTCCTTACTTTATCACTAATAAAATTATCCATAAAGATCTTAATGTTCCTTATGTTTCAGATCTGGCCCAATCCAGATACCTATCCTTCCATAATAAACTTCAGAATCATCCCAACCCTCTCGTTTCTAACCTTGCTTCCTCTTAAATTCCTGATAACCCTCCGAGGCATCTGAAAAGAAGATGGCCCTGTGATCTTCTAATGTAGTCATATCATTAGAGTGCTACCATTGAGTAGTTACTCAGCAAGTTTATTCATGTCATTATATCAATTAGGTCCAAATTTACTTGATGTATTTATGTAATACAGTTGTAAATGTCATAAAGAAATAAAAAAAAAAAAAAATATCAAATAATGTATGAAGATAAGTGATTGCATATCCTGACTATTTTTAATCCTTATATAACAGTCAACTATATCTCTATCTCTAAGTTATACAATTTTTGGTTGAATATAAATACCCATTATAATTTGAATGCTTTAATAATTCACCGCAAACAAATAAAAAGAAGATAAAAATCGCAAGATTTTGCAAAGATACTGCAAATTGTAATTTGTGCTCATGTTTTGGTCTTATTTTTTATTCCTCTCTAAAGTAAATACATTTCATTTGCCTATTCTCTTATTATATTGCTATATGTTTACAGATCAATATATTATGCGGATTATTTGCTCAGGCCAACTATAAATCTTTTATTTTTATCATCAATCATGTTATATTTGATATATTATAACTTTCTCATTTGCAGAGGGGATTCAAAGTCCGAGAGAAGCTGGCCTCCTCTGCTATCGGTCAACCTTTGCCTTCTTCGATCTTCCTCTTGCCACCAACCCCTCAGGTCCAGGGATTGCACACCTTTATCAGAGACAAAGACACCTCAAGGGATGAGTTTATCTTCTACTCAAAGCGGCTCATCAGGCTGGTCATAGAGTATGCTTTGTCACTGCTGCCTTTCAAAGTAATTATTCTCTTAATTGACGGTAAAGATAGTCGATATGTCTTAATTTTGTAGCAGGATAGTCTTATAGCATTATTTTGTATTTCGGCATATAAGGATAACCACTCTCAAAAATATTTTGGTATTTCTTTCCTGAATTCCTTAATAAAAATTGAATGCATGCGTCAATAATTTTCTTAGTTTTTTCATCATGCTTGTCTATTTTTAATGGTAATCAGTTTTTTTTTTTCTCTTATACTATACCTTTTAAATGTTTAATCATCTGTTAGGATTTTATTTTTAGTTGCAAAAATACCTTCTGGAAAATTGTTTTCTCCTCCAAATAAGACCTTTTTCTTCTTCATTTATTAATCATTTAGTGGCACTCTAAGAAATTTGTTATATTGTTTTTGTATATTATTTTCTTTATTCCAGGTGTTGAAAAAAATATATTAAAATAAAAGTTTTAAGTTCCAGGTTGATAGTAAAAGTTTAACATTTATTTATTCAAGCTCTTAAAAAAAAGTTCTGTTAAGTGGAAAATAAACAGTCATTGGGTTTAGATTAGAATTATAATTTGCCTTTAAATGAATTACACATTTAATTCTAATGTGTCAGTTGTTTGACTAGCTATGAATAAAGGTGATTTTTTAGATTGACTTTTTAGCGAAATCGACAGAAATTTTAAATATAAACGGTGACAACGACTTTCTAACTATTTGGAGATAAGTTAGGAGAAAAACAAGGTTAAATGATTTTCTTTCATAATATTTGAGAAAAGGAAAAGGAGCTAGATAGGGTATAAACAGAGGACGTTGGAAATTGTATTGTGTATACAACAGATCAGAGGGACAACAGATAGATCCTCTGCCTGCGCTGGGATGCCTCTGAACTAGGTCCTCTGTTACACCTATGTTGCACCTCTGCTGCCCCTGTGCTCAATTTATGGCCAGTCAAGTTTCTGTTTATTAAAAATATCCCAGCTTTCTCTCCTCTCTTGCTTTTTAAATAATACTGAATTGTACATTGTTTTCTTTGTTGTATTTGGGCTCCAAGTCGAGACCATCAGAACTTGGCATGTACTTAGCTAACTTAAATTTGTGAAAACGGCTCTGAACTAGGTCCTACATCTCCCCTCAGTTGTTCCTCTGCTGCGTCTGCCCTGTGCTCAATTCACAGTCCTCAATACACGTATCAAAATTTTGACTCAATTCTTGATCGAGAAACTGTTGTTACTACTTTGTCAGCCAAGAGGAGATCATACAAAAACCAGCTCCATATTTTATATTGTAAAATATTTTTATCAAAGGCTTGTTCAGATTAACAATTATTCAACCTATATTTCCAGTGAGTGTGTCAGGAGAATAACGTTTGTTAAAAACATGTCTGTGTTTGAAATTGTTGGTTAATCGACATTTCAAAGCCCTTTCATACCATTAAGTTTATTTGATCAGTAGAGTTTTTTTTAAATTCTTACTTTTGTAAAAGGACCTTACAATTTTCTATCACTGGAAGTTTTCATGATTGCAAGAGTGTTATAATTCAATGCTGATTAGAATTTTTGTTTAGGATCTAAGATTTTTTTCCTGTTGTACCAAAGATGCCTGTACACTTAATTTCCTTAGCCTCTATATTATTGTTTGAAGGATTGTCCTACTAATGACTTTATCTCTCGAACCTTATCCATGAAAGCATTCCTGGTCCTAATTTAGGTACTTGATTTACAGTTAATCTCATCAAACTATAAAATTATTTTGTGTTTCTTCTATTCAATATTTTAAACTCATTAAAAAAATGTCTTTCAAGATGTAGCTATTAAGTTTATATTATTCTCTGCTAATAGGAAATAGTTGTGGAGACACCTCAAGGAGGATCTTATGAGGGTAAGCGCTGTGCGACAGATAAAATATGTGGTGTGTCTATACTACGAGCTGGCGAGACGATGGAGCAGGCTGTATGTGATGTTTGCAAGGACATCAGGATCGGCAAGATTCTTATACAAACAAACCAGGCCACAGGTGAACCAGAGGTAAGCATTAACAAGTTCTAATTTAGGAAGAATATATTTATTAAATTGTTGATTTTTTTTATTGTTGATATCTTTAGAGATGAGTATATAGTTGACTGTTGAAATTATAAGGATGAAAAATGGCCAGGATGTGCTGTAAAAAATTTCTTTATTAAGTTTGCCGCTGTTTTGATCAAAAAGTTGGGTCATCAGGGCTATAAATTAAAAACTACAAAAATAATATTTAAAAATGATAAATATAAAAGTTTAAGAGAAAAAAAAAAAAGGTGAAACACATGAATGATTTAATAATTGTATAAACGTAACAACCAAAACATTGCAATATGCTAAGAAAGTGTTTTTATTTTATAAATATATGAAAAAGATAAATTCATCAAAAGCAAAAATAAATAAACCAAATAATTAGTGTAAATAAAATATCGTTTATTTATTCTTATTTTTGATATAATTATCTTTTTCTTATATTTATAACACCAAAACATTTTCTTAGCATATTGCAATGTTTTTGTTATTGTTATGTTTATACAACCGTTAACTCATTTGTACTTTTCACCTTTTTCTTTTCTTATACTTTTATATTTATCATTATTCTGATGTTATATTTAACATTAAATTTTTAGCCCTGATGATGACCCATATGTTTGTTTTCTTAGCAAACTCTAAAGAAATTTTTGACTGCACATCATGTTCATTTTTCATCCTTATTGTTTATATCATTGATTAAATTTATTTCCTGTAGTGTTTATGCTGACAAAACCTAATGTTAAAAATTATTCGTTCAGCTTTACTACCTGAGATTGCCTAAAGAGATGAAGGACTATCTGGTCCTAGTAATGGATGCAACCGTGGCGACAGGCGCAGCAGCTATGATGGCCATCCGGGTACTTCTTGACCATGATGTTCCTGAGCAGAATATTGTTCTGGTGTCGTTACTGATGGCTGAATCTGGTTAGTACTCATTATTGTGTTATTATCAAGGTATTATTTATCAGAACTGGAAAAGTCAGGCTATTTTCTAAGAAAAAAAGTTTTAAAAATACTAAATGCCTTATTCACAATAAGTTTATATAATAAACAAATGTTCCTAAGACATATCAAACATATTAAGACATGTAAGTCAGTATTACTTACCTTATAGTGCTTCTAATCTTATTAATATCAAAGAGGTTGCTTTCCAGATTAGGAGGACTCGTTAGTTTGAGAAAAAAACAAAACAATTCTTTATAGATCCTACGTATTTTATTCTTTCTAGGATCAGTTGATTTCATAGAAAGTTAATTGAAAAAATAAAACAAAATTAGTCATCTATTTCTAACTGTATAAGAAGCGTCTGTAATCATTTCTTATGTAATTTTCTTTATTTCTAGGTGTACATACAATTGCATATGCGTTTCCACAAGTGCGTATTGTCACCTCTGCTGTCGATCCTGAGATCAATGACAAATTCTATGTCCTGCCTGGTATCGGAAACTTCGGAGACAGATATTTTGGTACAGAGCCAGCAGACTAAGCTAGTGAACGCCATCCATGATGTTTATGTATTATCTTGGTTTTTTTGTGTTATATCTAACAGCGTAATAGCATAGCTGTTATCTATATCTCACTAGGTACTTAAATTTTATTGTGATCTGCAGCTAAAACAAATACTTAAACCAGTGTTTCCAGCCTCCTTGTAATTTATAATTTGTGAAATCGAACTTGAAAGCATTGGGAAAATACGCTGATGAAATGGTGAGTCTGATCTGACTATTGTGCCTCTATCCGAAGGGTAAGTAAAATATGTCACCAGCTAAACTTAAAAACCAAAGAATGTGAATGACCTTCATTTAGGTGATGATAAAAAAAAAATTGAAGATTTCATTTCTGCATAAATACATTATGCATTACATTAAAGATGGTGCTCTGTTGTAATGTAAAGGTTTGAGACTAGTCTGTCTAGAAATTATGCATTGAGGTATAACGAACGATTCGAAAAGAAGTGTTCCTTAATTATATTATTATAGTAAAATAATTTATTTTTAAAAGCCTCGTAAGTAGATAAGTTGTGATCATATTAAACCTTTTTCTTATACTTTCATCGTTGTACAAGATATCCTTCTTGTTGGAACTTAATGAAAGTATGTATTCATTATATATGTTTCTTAGGGTAATTGATGTTCTAGACTTATATAAGGAAAGCATTGAACATTTTATGAAATGGTTATGCTTAAAGTAAGTAAATATGTACGTATTAATTACAAATTAGGTTTAATATATGTTCATAAAATAAGATAGTAAATATTATTAATTTATATTTACTTGCAAGGTTATTGAAAGTGCTTTCTATTTTGTTTTTTTTTCGTTTTCTTGGGTTGTTATACTGTTGCCATTATTGGTATGTATTCCGTTCTCCGATTTAATACTGCATTATATACTAGCAACCTTTCTCAGGAAAGTTCCTTTTGTGTTAGAAAAGAAAGATTTTTCTTTTACGATTAAATACACTTATGTGAGTGTTGGTTGTCTGACTTTCAATGCTACCATAGAACGTGAGAACTTAGACTTTGGTAGTAGAAAGGAGAGATGATAATATTACTATTACTTGAAAACTAGAATCACTTCCTTGTTTCCTACTTCCAGAAACAACTTTGTTTTATATAGAAGCGATTCTCAAGGTTTGACTCTCCATTAGTTTTTGCTTATGTCGTCAAAGAATTAAATCTGGTTTTAGAGTAATGTCAACTGGTTGAGGCGTTAACCTGTTTTACGGTATGAAGATTTTTTAATTTTTTACTTGAAGCTTTAGCAGCTCCAAAATTTCAGACATTAAATTAATTGAAACGTAGGTTTAATAATTTATTTATAAATGATGAGTTTGCAAAAGAGCAAATATAGAGTATACAAGTTGTTTACAAACATGCAAAACATTACTGAACGGTTTTATTAATGGGTTCTTAAGTTGTTATTCATTCTATAAATATAAATTGTTAAATGATTTTTTTAATATACTAATTAGAATGAGGAAAAATAATATATTATTTGTTACAACCTTAATATTGATATTTTAACTTTTTATGTTGCTTGCAGACCTGAGATACGTTTATTTCCAGCTAGCTGTCTGTTTTTAAGGTGTATGACAGGCATTTGCCAATCCTTATTACACTAAGGCAATTTTGATTTAAGTATTCTTAACAGTTTCCATTACTTGTGTCCTATGATGTTAGATTTTTAATGCTATATTTTGGTCGAATGATTTTATTTCCTATTAAGAATTGTTTGCTTACGAGGTTTGTATTCCTTTCTGGTACTTTTACTTTATCAGTATTAATTCTATTCAAAATTAAATATCTTATTGATCTGTTTTGGTAATTGCTAGTCATGGTAGATTTTAGATGTTTTATTTTACAGTTGCAGATTAATTTCTTTTTCTTGTGTTGGAATTGAAATCCTTTACTCTTTGTATAACTAGTCAGTAATACTTTGACCGTTAAACTTTGTAGATACAAAATTTGAGAAATAAAGCTTATTTTCAAAAGTGTTTTTTTTTTTTATCTGTTATTGACTAATCCATCAAATTGAATCATCAAAGCTACATAAATACTTTTTATTAGTATATATAGGTCACAATTAAAAATACATAATTGTGTTCATGCCTTTTATTTCAACATCCCTTAATTCACAATTTAATTTCTCAGTACTTTTGGGCAAGTCCAAATTGGGCTACTTCACTAAGCTTGATCAGGCTGAAAACTAATATAGTCCATAGTACAGACCCCTTTTTATTGAATTATTAACATCCATCTGAAACTTCGTAAATAGTTTCATCTCATCATAACCTCCAACTATTTTATTTACAAAAACTCTTGGAATTGGGGCATTTTCAATCTGGAGGGGGACAAACTTTGTCTATTTAATTAGGTACTAAAAACTTGTCTATACCCATTTCCTTTCTACTTGGATCATTAGATAAATTCATCAAAAAATCAATAAAAAAGGTGGCCTACAAAAATATTGGACCGTTTGTCCTACATAACCTTATTATTTTGAAATTTTGGGAGTGTAGGTCCTGCCAAATGGCTCAATATTTTTGAAGGCCACCTTTTTCTCTCAACTTTGTGATCAAATTATCTTACGATCTAAGTAGAAAGCAAATGTGTATTTACCAGTTTTTAGTACCTAATTAAATAGACTAAGATTGCCCCCTCTATTCACCACAGTCAACTATCAACCCCCTCCTCTAGATTGAAAATGCCCCAATTCCAAGAGTTTTTGTAAATAAAATTGTTGTAGGTTACGATGAGATGAAACAACTATTTACGAAGTTTGAGGTAGATGTTAATAATTGGATAAAAAGGGGTCTGTACCATGGACTGTATGTTGGTTTGTGTAGGTAAAGATGGAGGAAAAATAGAATTTAATGAAAGTTTAAGCATGTGAACTAATTTAAATAGTTGGTCGGAGTGTGGTCAATATATAATACTATATTATAGTAGTATTTTATTGTGTTGCCAATGTTTTACTTCTTACCTACGAAATTTTACATTCGACTGCAGTTCAGTTCTTTTTTCCTATGCTGTGGACCCCAACAGCCTCCCGCCTTCCTGATAAACACCTACAACGTATGTTTAAATATTGACAATCGCAATAAAATTATAATATACATTGGCTACACCCCCAAACCAACTTCTTAAATTATAAGTATGTTCAATCATCTCGATATCATTATGATTATTAATTATTAGTTTAATCAGACAATGTTTTTATGTTATAAATTGATTACAGCTTTGTATAGTTGAACCCCCTCTATGTGTTTGAAACCTTATATTGAAAATATAAAAAATTCTTATGAAGAAAATAGAACTTCCATGTTATCTAACTAAAAAAAATTAATGAACTATCTTTAATTTTGTTTTCTTTTGAACAAGATAAATCCTTATTCCAAGAGATAATTCAACTCAGTCTTCGAATTTGTCTACAAGGATCCACAGCAACATGAATAGTTTAGAAGCCGTATCACCAAAGCTATCATTACTATCAAGTAAGGTTTGAGCATGTTCCTTTTCATTATTATCCTCTACCTTCTAAAAAAGCAAGATTCTGTTTCATCTGGGTTTTGGAAACAAGTACTATTGTTTGCTGTTTATAAATGACTGCTGGTAGAATCATAAGCCTTAACACATCAGGTGAGAAATTCTAGATATTTTGGATCACACCTAAAAATATGTAGGCACGGATGGGTATTTCTTTTTTTACAGACTGGAAAGGTAGTCAGTCACACTCCTTCCTGTACTGACTGACCTCTGCATAGACTCCATGAATGACTGAAAAATATAGTCAGAAACTTTCACTTATTACATACATGTCCAAAATTATGAAAAATATTTTATCTATTAACTGAAACCATTAGTGATTGTGCATTTGATTAATCAGTCGGTTCTAAGTTTAAGACAAACAAAAATGTTTTAAATTTGAGGATACATTTATTCTCAGCTTTAATTTGAAGTTTTACAAAATTTCTATAAATTTTTGTGATTTTTTTCTGTTAAAATAGCTTTGTAACTGAATGTGATAATAAAATATAAAATAGCATTCGTGGGCAGACTTTCAAATTCATCACAGGTATTTATATTACACTATTCAACTATGGTTTATAAGAAGTAGAAAGAGTTGTAGGAATCAAACAATCAAATGTTTTAAAACCTAAAATGGTGAATGTTTTAAAACTATCAGATTTATTGAAGTAATGAATGTTTCACACTATACAAAAGTAACCAAATTTTTAGTTGGATTGTAAGATTAACAAAATATATAAAAAAGGAGCAGGTGCGCATTTTAAAGCTCCTGTGAAAATGAAGTTATAAGAAAATGCCCGAACATATGTGCAAAGAGAACGATGAGGAGCACACCGGTTTTAAAGTATTCAAAGATAGGAAATATAACATTCTTATCGAGAGGAAAAGATAGATGTTATTAATCAAGCTTTGAAAGATTATATGAACCATGAGCTGCCTCAATAACCTGACTGCAGCATTCACTGAAGGAGTACAAATTTGAAATTAAAGATGAAGACACTGAAAGTGCACCACTCCATCCAACTAACACTTATTTGCCACAATGAAATTAATAAACATCTTTAATGAAAAACTTAAATCTCAAAAGTCAGCCATGGACATTATGAAGAAAACATTAAACAAACTCTACACTCATGGGTAATACATTATTTTAATATTTCCCAATATATTTATAAAATCAATAGAATATTATCTCACTAGTATGGAGTTATCTTTTATGTGACTTACAAACGGAACCGTACTATAACTCGATAACTAATAGATAAAGAATGCCTTCACTCTGACAATCCCAACTCTCTCAGGTTGGGACTAATTCAATCTGTAGTTGGCTTGTGAATTTACAGTAATTACTATTGCAATACTTAAAATAATTTAATAATATAATGTCATAGATTCTGGTGAGATTAAGTACAGTTAGCTCCATATCAGATCCTGATAACAAAATAATTCACAATAAACTAGAATACATGAATTAAAAGTGATTTTAAAAAACCATCAAAATTTAACAATTACAATAAAATACATGAAAACCCAAGTTTCGAGTAAATGATTTTTTTTTACTTATTAAAAAAACTTACTGGTGCAGTGCAAGTTTCACACAATATTCACATAAGACCCTCTTCTTTACAGTAAGGATATTTAGACAAAGGGGAAGTCAAAGTAAAAATTATAAACTCTATTATTTGTATTTCATTGTGGGGTGGAGAATAGTTGTTATTCAAGAACCAAAGGAATACGAGCACACCCGAAAGATTAGAACACGCTTCCATACGTAACACAAGCTTAATATAATGACTGCAGCAATATTATGTAAATATACATATACATTTTTCATAAATCCTATCATTAGTATTATTTAATATTAAATTGTATAGATTACAGCAATATTAAAATTTGTATATATTAAGAGTACTTATACAAATATAAATACCCATAATGAAATATAAATCATAGCGTTTATAATTTTTACTTTCACTTCCTCTTTGTCTAAAAATACTGTTGTTATCTTTCGGGCCAGCTCGTATTCCTTTGGTTCTTTAATAGATATTCTCTGTTACGATCTCTTATTTCTCCTTTAGTTAATTATCAAATTCTTTCATATTTAATATTAGAGATGTGAAATGGTCAATTGTTCCAAATAAAAAAATTAAAGGTACTTTAGGGGAAGCTAATATTGAAAATTAGCCATTCGAGCCCTGCCCTGTTAGAGAACATTAATCAGAATAAAACCTACATTTTATTTAAGTATTATAATAATACACCATAATTTTATACCTATATAACGAATTTATCAAAATTTTTAAGAGCCATTTTTGAGAAAATTGTAAAAATGTGTATAGTCCATGATATAATGTGCCGATTTGGACATAAAGTTGCTTATAACATCCCAAACATATAAAAACCTTAAATAAGCAATTTCAATTTCGTAAGACTTTTGGTTTGCGAGGCTTGGTTAATTAAGTGAAGGGGAGGGGATGGCCGAACGGGCTAAGCGTGTGCACAGCATCGCGAGTTGCCCAGCAACCAGATAATTGAAGTTATGAGATTAAAAAAAGTAAGAGTTCGTGTCCTGGTACTGGAGGGGGTTTAATATATAGATAAATAAAATTAAAAATCTTGATTGAAATATCTTAGATTTTCCTTGACAGATTTCAGCTTCATAAATAATGGAACAGGTAAAAAAAGAAAACATTTAAAAGGAAGAATAATAAAAATTCTTTATTTATAATAAGATGACTACTTCTTGTAGCCACAAGACTTCCTGCGACCCCTGGCCCTCTCGAACTTGCGTCCCTTTGATAGCACATATGGTTTGGTATGTGAGCGTGGAGCACCTGGAGCTGGGCCGAAATGCTTCACAGCCTCACGAGCATTACGTGGACCTGCAAACAAAACATTTATTTATATTAAATAGATTACTTCTTAAAAATATCTATTCAATTATAATTTATTAAATTAAAAGAGTCATATGCCAAAACTAATTAACTTTACTGAAAACTTTTAATCATCACTGGAAATCTCCTGGATTGAATTGGAAATGCAACATAACTTATTTAATATTTAATCCATCAAAATTACACAATTGATTTAGGTAGTCAAAATGCAGCTCATATTCTGAAGAATAAAATCATCAAGTTTGATTGCTTTTCCGATTAGGAATACTTTTTCTACAAACGAAGTGTATATGCTTAATTCTTACTTTTAATTACATCTGTTTACTGTGTGAATATTTTCGTTGAACAAAGCTTCTTCCTCAAATATCATTTTGTTGAATCACTTCTCATTGCGTCACCCGTGTGAAATCCAGTCTGGGTAGATACTGCATTTGTTTTGGTAGATACTTGGTCCTCCACAATTAATTTTTAGCTAATTCTGGCCCAAATAAATTGGCTTCCAGAAGAATAACCTATTCATATCACGCCAGCTTGAAAATGCAAGGATGTTAAGCTCAAAGACAACTAACAATAACTTCCCTTGGCTGGAATTAGGAGTTTCAAAATGAATGAATTACAATATTAAGACTTTGAATGATCAAAGGATATTTCCTGATTGAAGATCTATGTATTAAAACCTTATTTACTTTAGAGTTTGATTTTACAGTTTCCTCTCAGGAGAATGAATTCTCTAAACAACCTTCCAAAAGCTATATCATAACTTTTTTATTTAAACTTCATAAAATGATGTCAATCTTTTCTGCTGTTCTAAAATTGGTAAAATTTAAACAAATTTTGTTTCATTATGTATATTCTCATCAGTATTAAAAGAAAGATGAATTTCACCTGCAGTCCTATTCATTTTAGACTTCTTAAATAATTCTGAGTTAGACCTTCTGTACATATACTTAACGACACATTTTTTAACATTTACTCTAATTCCTCTATTTATCATGAAATATGATTGGGGGCTGGATTCTGCGTTATTACAAAGAAGGCCATTACCTATTTCTTCATAGTGTACCTAATACAAAATGATAAAAAATTATAATGAATATAACTCTGTACCTTGTAACAAGACTGTTCCCTTCCCCTTAGGAGCAATCCTAGCCAGCTGATCGAAGGTCATAATGGAACCTCCAGCCCTAAGGATACGAGCTCTAGCACGTTCAGTGATGCGAAGAGCACATACCTAAAACAATAAAAATACATACATTTATCAACTCATCATGGTGAAAATATAGAAAATTAAAACACAAATAAAAATAAAGGTTACAGTATAGTAACAGTATGTTTACAAGATAATGATCTAGATCATGGGTGGGGACCCTTTTTATCATTAGAAGCCACAGTAAGGTTAGGCAGTGCTAATAGAGATCATACAAATTCTTTATATTTTACCATTGCTACTTTACTACATGGATCACTACATACACACTAACACCCACGTACATGCTTTCAACTTAATTCTATCAATTTCCAAATTGTCATTACTCAAATAATTAAATATTAATTAATTCTAGCACTAAAGTAATAGATATCGTTTAACAACGTTTGGAAGCCACAATTCCCTACCTTATATGTAGAATATATTTTTTCCTTCCAAATTTAATAATTCATTAAAAGTTGAAAAACATAGGATCATATAAAATTATAGAATGAACAAGATACAGTTTCTTAACTATTCAAATCTCCATTATAATAACTTTATAGAATAACATGAGTAAACTTTCTTTAAGTAAAATCAAGGTACCACTGTAAAAGTGCCACTCCACTTTCAGAAGTGGACCAAGATCAAACTACATATAAGATTCTAAGAAAAGCAGATGATTGAATTTTTAAAAGAATAACCCCTATTTATGTAAATGAGAGGTCCCCAAACTACAGCCCTCGAGGACCTCCAATCTGGCATGAGAAAGTTTTTTGGGTAAGATGAAAAAATATGAAATTTAGTCAATTATTTAAACACTACAACATTTTGTCGCTTTACTGCAAAACGACATTAAGAAACTTCATAGCCTCAAATAATCAAGAATTATTCCTTCGTGAAAACAGAAAATCCTGCACTCATTGAAACCTTAATTGATATGTAAACGGGTTGGTGTCATTTACATGCACTTAATGTTTTTTTTTTTACCATTAAATAAAGTCTAAATTCACACATATATCTGAAAGTCAAACTACATCAAACATATACTTTTTTTTACATAAAGTACATAAAAGTGTTTTTTTGTTTTCATCTTACTTCCTTGTCTTTTAGGCTACATGGGATTTTTCCCGGGCTGGGGGAGAGAAGTACCCTAGGCACCGGGATTTGAACTCGTGTAATTATTTTTCCATCTTTAACTTCTGTAACCAGGCTGCCGTGTAACGCGCAGTGCTGTGCACATTCCACCCTGTCCCCGATGGCATTCATCACTTAAAAGACAGAACTTCCAATTATTTATTATTCATCCGTTTATCTATCTTCAAATACAAGCTCATTTTGACTTCCACACGCTAATAGGGTTGAACAAGCTCCCTGTGGGTGCTATTCAGCTGAGATTTAGTCCTTACCAGACAATTTGGTCACTTTAATAAACATTCCAGAGTCCAGTAGGGGGCGAGATCATAAGGTCTTGAGCTACCCTTGAAAGTGGAGCAACACTTGTATAGTAGTCTCAAGTCTACATGCAGTCCAACTTCAAGTATGGAGGTAATTAGTTTGTTGTTCTAGCAACCCGTCCTGGCTTGGTGTAAACCAAGCTAGACTCGAGGTTGCTAACAATATGAAGCCACAACTACTAAGGGCATTTCATATATTATGTGATCTTGACCGTCCTTTATGAGGCACTTGTTAAGTTGTATCGAAGTCATTTACACTAAACAATAAGAAACACTAAGATCTAATTTAATGTATTACCTGTAACTTAGGAACATCAAGTAGTCTGGTATCATCAGTTATAGTTCCAACAATTACTGCAATCTTTCCTTCCCTACCAGGCTTCTTCATGAATCTAACCATACGTCTCAGAGACAAAGGTGGTCTGTGAATCCTTGACATAAACAGTCTCCTCAAAACAATGCTGTTGAACTTAGCATGAGTTCTACGTGCCAGAAATCTGTAAAGCTAAACACAACTTTCATTCAACCAAATGATATTTAATAGACGCTTAACTAAAATACTGCACAGGGCAAGGATGTTTATTAATAATTAACTTGCAGGTATAGACTCGAAATGTCCAATTGAACAAAAGCAAGGTTTTAAAAGATGTATATCTCTCAAATACCCAAGAAGCATGTCTGGTCAATTTGAAAATCATTTACATTAAAATTTTTAACAAGGGATAATAATTGCTAAAATAACAAATTTCTGCAGTAACTTAAATATCCAAATGAATAAAGGAATAAAACAAACACTCATACTTTAAAACATCAAGAAATGGGGTTGTTTAATGCAATAGAAGTTGCCTAAATAATACCCCTGAAGCATTCTCTCTCAAAAAATAAAATTTAAGATCATAACATCTATCTTCCTACTAATGAAATCCACGTAACTATAATCGAGAAGAAATATCCCTTATTTAAAAATTCATGCAACAGTGAACTAGCTGACTATTTAAAAATTTATAAAAAATAAACTGCATTGCCAACAAATTCTTTAATTGTAATTGGAGACATAAATCGTTCTGGTAAATGTGATACCAAGCAACTAACCTTAACAAGAAGAGCCAAGTAAACATCCTCCGACTTAGGTTTAGTCCGACGGACTTTACGATCATTTTTGTGATTAATGTCAATACCCTAAAAAATAAAATGATATATTTAATAAGATGCAATCAATGATGAAATGGATATTTACAGATTACTTCGTGAGCTCACCATTTCGAAGATCTAAACGTGCCCGAAAGAAATGGCTGAACCGCACTGCGGCCAATGCCTTCTTGTGTACCAAGTTAGCCACAAGAACTAAAATTCAATTACATCAACAAGTTCCTGCTAAGAAGTATTTCACGTAATTGTAACTTATTAGAAACAGGTTCTAAGCTATACAAATGTGTGCATTCTTGCTAATAAAGCTAATTTTCAATTAATTGTTTTAATCTTAACTTTGAATTACCAAAATATTAAGATGTGAACTCCTATTACGTCAGATGTTTATCAGATAATTACTGATTTTTAATTAAAATAGGTAAAAAACACTTTATATTAATAATAATGTAAACTATAAAGTACATAATGTAACATTGGCCTAAAAATATGGAACCCTTATTTGACTATATTTTTCTTTACACATTAACAGTGAAATCCCCTTTACTATCAATATACGTTGTCTAGGAACAGAACTTTATGTCTGTATTGTATGGGTTCATATATAAATGATTTCTATTTATAGCCCACTGCTTTTTAGTGTCTTTAAAGTAATTTTCTTTTCGCCGAAATGTGCTGTTCCGTTAGGCCCTTCATAAGCAGGACATGTATTATTTTGTAGTATTAACTAATATTAGAGGGAATAAATAAATTTGTTGTATTAAGAAGAAACTAGATCGAAGTCGAACCATAATATCTGAAAATGTAAAAAAATAAAGGAGTTATTGATTAATTCGGATCAGCTCTTTTTTATTTAGGATCCATCAGAAATTGATGCCCAGTATGGTTTCAAAGTGAGGTTCTTTGGAAGTTTTCATGAGTTCATCCCAGTGATAGAACGGAACTTTGATAAAGCAAGTTTTTAAACATATTGATCTAATCGATGCTATCAGACTGTTCTTAAACTTATCGATGGAAATTATTGATGGAGTTCAGCGTGTTCCTTTATGACGCAGCGGTTCCATCGGCTTTTAGGGTCGATTATTACTAGATGTGATATTGCTCAATACACCCCTTACACGTAAAATAATAGAGCTTCAATAAATAATAATGATAACAATAGTATCAGTCAATCGAATAGAGTATTCTTAATCTGTCACTCTCTCAACTTGAAAATCTATGATGAGCTTACGTAATACTTGACCTTTAGCTGATTCAAGAGTTTTGTAGGTTAGATATGTCATGGTTTTCTGAGATTTAATAATAATAAGTTTATTTATATGACATTTTAAAATTGACTACGGAGTTTACTTTGATGACGACGAGCTCCTTGCCCTGTTCTTTGCAGACGATCAAGTAGTGATGGCCCGGAAGAAAGTTTTCCTGGAGATGGTGGTTGTCCAATTAAAGAAAGTTTATGAAGAGGCAGGTCTCAGGATAAACTTCCAAAAGACTGAATATATGGCACTGGGAGATGAAGAAGATGATCTACGCATAGGTGAACAGGTGTGCTGAAGAGTAAAGGCATTTAAATACCTCGGATTCTATCTGAACGATGTTGGAACGTCCAAAGTGAAGGATGTCCGAAACAAGGTGGAGATGGCAAGAAAAGCAACTAGAATGCTGCATCCTGTTCTCTGGAACGACACTATTTCAAACGCGAACAAGCGGCGTATCTTCACGGCTATTGTCGAGTCCATATTAACCTACGGATGTGAGGCATGGTCGATGAATGCTGGCTTGTATGCCAAAATTCGGACTGTAGAAATGGATTTTTGGAGAAGGTGTCTACAGTTAACGAGGCTGGACAGAGTCCGAAATGAAGTAGTGAGACAGAGAATAGGTGTAGAGGAGACCGTCTCTGAGAGGATCGGGAAACGGCGATTGAGGTGGTATGGGCACTGCAGGAGAATGCCGGAAGAGCATTGGCCGAACAGAGTCCTGGAATGGCAGCCACCCGGAAAGCGTAGGCGAGGACGACCCAGAACCACGTGGATGGAAGGAGTTCGAGAAGAAATGGCCGGCCGAGGTTTACAGGAGAGTGACTGGGAGGATAGAGATGTGTGGAGCTCTGCTCTGACCTGAAGAGGTATCCCACGTTGGAACACCGGAAATAAGTAAGTAAAATTTACAAATACGTACATAATAATCGTTTATGTTTTAATATACAACATTCCACACTAAAGATAATACTATAATTATAAACTTAAGTACCACTCATTTATTTATTTTAGAGTAGAAAAAACAAATTAGATTTAAGATCACGAATTTCACAGTCTATGTTCATGCCATTGTTTGATTCCTCAGCTGGACAGTTTTTTACAATAGGAAGGAGCTTTAGCTAGAACTGATCATTCTTTCCAAAGGCTTGGGATCGAAAATTATTTTGAAAAGACTTTGCAAATAATGAGTAAACTGATCCTTATTTCTCACCAAATGACGTTAATGTAAACATTTATAGAAATTCCAATAAGTAAGTTTATGTGGATTGCCCCCAAAATAGAGAATTTGTCAATGGAAATCGAACATACGTATTGTTACAGAAACATATGTTATTATAATTCGTTGAAAATAAAAATAAGCCCGAACATGTGCTTAGATCATTAGCCAGTCAATCATTCCTTGAACCTCTGCTTGAAAAAAGTATTCAGTATCTGTGAATAAATATTATGTTTCTATATACTGTAAGCGTGCAGAGGATTTTATTTTTAGTTATCACCAAAATACATAGTTCCACGTTTGTTTATTTTCCATTAAAATTGTGTGGGAATATTATCAACATTTTTTTAGGCAAGTCTCTGAAGGTCTTAATATGGCCCTGGGTAAAACAATAGATTTCTCATTGAAAACTTACGATGAATATTTCAGTACTTATTTTATTGTTATCGGTTTGATCAGATAGTGTGAGAGTAAATGATTATATATTTACCAAAGGCGAATTGCTGATCATTTTTAGGAATAGTTACTGTAAGTTACTATAAGCATTCCATGATCTGTTCGTGTGTGAACGATGCAGATCATATCATTTACCTGGTGATAACAGTTGGAAACAGTTTCTGATAACCAAAAGTTTTTCAATACAGATTCTGACAACTTTTCTGTTCTGTATTTTAATATGTAATTTGTTGATTTCCCTCTTTAATCTACTTATTTTATCCATAATTTACCATATTAAAATAAAGTTAAAATGGTAAGTATTGATATTTAGAAGTTTGGTCAATTTATCATTACATATTCATGAAAAGGGGCTTGATTCTGGTCAGTTGTCAAATGTATTAATCTTTTTTAATTAAAAAAAATAATGGAAATATATTAATAAATAATTATAATTACACAGACATGTAAATAAGTACCTATTATTTGTTATTATTATCGAGCTTATCAGTTTTCAAATGTAATATTCATTCCAATTAATAAAAAAAAAATCAATAAATAAATTTAATGTTATTTATTTATTAAATTACATATACTGTTTTTTTGTATATATTTATTTTTAAATGTACCCGATATTAGTGATCAGATATAGTAAGTGTTAATTAATGGTCCTAATTAATACTACAACCCATGAATATTGAGGTATCAATTTGGAAATAAACCTAAAAAATGTATTCCTTCTTAGTTCAATTTATTAGGTTTATTTGACTTCCTTTACAAATACTTTTTTTATTTCATTTTATTTATTATTTTAGTGCTAAAAGATTTAGTAACTTTAAAAAAATTAAGTAAATTATTTATTTGAAATTGAAGACAATAAGAATCCATTAAATACTACTGCTGAATTGTCAAAATCCTACTACGTAGTGGCTGGATGTAAGCCTGTAATGTCTCTGAAATCCACAGCTTTCATAAGCGATAACAAATCACTGTCTCAAACTTTTATATTATTTTTACTAGGCCGTCACGTTTGAATAAATGGCTTTTTTCAATCAATCAAATAGCATATAACTTTCAGCTGAGAACTCACCTGAAAAACTGAATTTTCATTTGTTACATCCAAAAATGTTTATACTTTACATCCTGCTATTATTGAAGTTTATTGTTTTATGTGTATTAATTAAGTTTTATGGTGATATTTTCAGATTCTTGTGAGAAGGCATAATTTAAAAACCTTTCCAAGTATTCTCTCCATCGTTAGAAAGATGTCGACTACCTTTCCTCCTGAAGATGTTATATTTGAAATTCAAAATAAATGTGGAGTAATAACATTGAATAAACCGAAAGCCCTGAATTCTATAAACATGAAAATGACTCAATCTATAAATGCTCACCTGAAGAAATGGGAAGACCAGGTATCAATGGTTATTATTAGAGGCGTAGGGAAAGCTTTTTGTGCTGGAGGGGATATTAAGGAATCTGTTGAAAAAGGTCCTAAAAATTCTCAGGGTGCAAAAGAATTTTTCAAATTGGATTACACCAATGATTACATAATAGCCAATTATAAGCATCCTTATATTGCAATTATGGACGGGTACACTATGGGAAGTGGCGTAGGACTAAGTATCAATGGAAGGTTGGTGTTTTGTAGTAATAACAAAATAAGAAATTATTCTATGATTTTATACTTCTTTAAATGTTTAGCCTAGCCCACACTAGTAGACATGTATGATTTTTGTCTCAGGTTGTCTATGTAAACATGTCTATTGACCAATCTTCATCTATGAACCTGTCATGAGACCATAATCACAGGTTTAAAGTCTCCCAATTGGAATGTAAGACCGCATGCAACATTAGACATGTTGTGCAACATTTTGACAGTGTGGAACGTTAAGAGGCGAGACACATCCCAGTCCGGTGTAGTTCGGATGTTTATCCAATGATCTGAAGAAAATCTTCAAAATCAGTTAGCGTCTTTCAGTCTTAATTTATTTAATAATGCATTACTGAACCTATATCCTTCTGTGACCACTTCACATGTCTACCAACATTTATGTTTTCGCGTTCTTTCACTTGCAATTCGAATTAAACAGAAACAGATTCCACACAAAACAATGTCCTCCATGGTGGACTGCAAAGATCAGACTGAGAAAATCACACTAGTGTGGACGATGGACAAGACAAACAATGGTGTCTCTAGATGGTCTGATTGACCGTGTCTCGAGACCCTTTATTGACAAATTGCACAACATGGTCTACTAGTGTGTACTAGGCTTTTTAGTTTTATCTGGTATTATTATATATGTCAAAACTGAATTACAGTGTTATAATGTGGCGGAATAGTTATAATGTTTTTTAAAATTTTCTATAAGTCTGTTTTGTATTAAATAATAGCAAAAAAAAAAAATTAAAATATTTTTTGTTACTCTTTCAATATCCTTAAAACGAGCAACCCTGATGAAGAACTGAAACTTAGGCTCATGAAGGCCTTGAAATGTCGACTCAAAGAAAATGAATATAATTTATTTTTATTTTTTGAGGAGTTGGTTGGGGATATAGTCAAATTTAATATTATATATTATAATCGTATTTAATTGGATGCGCTGACATTTCGACCCACCTTGTAGGTCTTCATCAGAGCTACAAAATATGCAAACTATAAATATAAATTGATACAAGATAAAGGAAGAAATAAATGAATTATATTACCGCATTCCTGACCAATGAGATGATAGGCAAGCCAGGCACTCTCCTCTGTTTCCGTACAGCTTCCAACCCTTATTCTCCTTTAGTTACCAATCAATTTTCTTCATCGATTATATTTAACCATTTTTTATTATCAGTTACAAATGTGAAATGGTTAATTATTTCAATAAAAAAATTTAAAGGTACTTTATAGGAAGACATTTTGAAAAAATCGGCATTTAAGCCCTGTCAAGTGAAAATAATTAATGGTGGCAATTTTAAATAGCTTTGTTTGCTTTTTCACTTATTCCTTATTGATTACAATGCAACTTCTTTTTATCCGACACCATCTGTGGTGAAAATTTAGTCTGGTCGATAGAAGTGTTCACTTATGAGAATACTGAACATAAGGTTTTATTAAAAAATAAATTGTAAGTAATGTGTATAATAAATTTACAAATATAAACAATATTCCAGTCACGTAGCCACAATAGCCTGTAAATCCTTTGCTCTTAAGAATATGCCTAATATTGGATTTTATTGCTTCGTGCTCAACAAATCATTTCAGAAAGAATTTTGTCGACTGCAAGACCTTCCGATTTAAAAGTCTTTCTAGCTTGGTCATTTCCATAGTTATGTGTTTTTCTTAAATTTTTTTTTTAATGTGTCAGCAGCATAGTTTTTCCTGACTTGAATCATTTCCTGATGTCAATAGAACCATAAGCTTTCTTAATCATCAATAAATACAATCCAATTTTCTTTTAATGTCAACATTTTTTACATTGAACAAATTATTAGTTGGAAGCAAATTAATCTTCCTAGAAAAGAATACAAAAACTTAGATCTTAACATAAGTGAATCACTTCCCGAATTACCCGGAATTAATCAGCGTTTTATGCATTGAGTCTGTTTATTAGTACTTTTGTTTGAAAAAAAAGTACTGATTCGGTGTCTGTGTTGGTTTTTTAAATAGTCTGATTATTATAGACATCAAATATATTAAAACCAAAAGAATTAAAGATCAGGATTTTGGTACTTTTTGTCTAGGGGGCCGCTACTGACTGCTACCTGCCAATGTTTATAACCTGAACACTGATAACTCCCATAATGCATTGATAAGCCTTCTTTTACTTCATATCTTTGTATTATTGTATTAAATTCGTATAATTAAAAGTGTAAACAGATACAAAACAAATGTAATAACAAAAAAAAATACTTTTATTTGACGACACATATATTAATGAAATAATAAAAAAACACTTTAAGAAGATATGTACATATAAAACATCAAAATGAAATAATAAAAAACACATTTAAAAGAACATATTTACATAGAAAAGAAAAAATATAAAACAAAATCTGTTTTATAAAAAGATAAAACATTCATCTGTTTATCGGTAAACTCCACCAAACATCCACTGCTGAGGTAAAATTCTCCCCACATGATTTTTTCGTTTAGAAATAAGACTTTCTTTTACTTCAACCACTTTGCCAGGTTCTTGGCCTGTATAACATGTCATGGGCACAAACCTCTCTTAGACATTTGTTCCACGTTACCATAGCTCCGTAGGATAGTTTCAGCAGCTCTTTGCCCCACTTCATCGTTGTCAAGCTATGGGACCACCCATAAATCAATTTTAAAGCTGTTGAAAACGAAATCCTCGAGCCCTCCAACCATGTTCCTTTCCTTATTGAAAGTTTGGTTTCATAAGTCCTACGAAAGCATCTCCATTTGGCCTTCCTGGTTGACTTCATTCGATGACTTCGATCACACAATTTCACTTCGGCAAGTACCCCAACATTTTAAAAATATTGAAGCGCCTGTTCTTCTGAAGGCGGCAAATTCCATATTCTAAGAAGATCCATAATATAACGAAAAGAAACACAAAGGGACCACAAACTAAAAAAAATGTAAAATAAACACTAACGGGCCAAAAACTAAAAATAATGAAAAATAAACACAAACGGGCCAAAGTAAAGAATTTAATAAGTGAACGTAATAAGGGAATAACTGAAAACTAAACAATGCAATAACTCAAAGGTTTGGCGGGATAAGAAGAGGGAGGTTATGTAACGTGACATTAGATAAGAAGTGAGGTTTCAGTCCGGCCTGCTAGACAAAAAGTACCAGGATTTTTTACCAATTAGAGTCTCTCTATAATTTATTACTTTATTTGATATCTTATATCCAACATAGTCTATGTATTGATAGTTGCTGTTTTATTGAGGGTGTGACATTTTAAATAAATGAATTTCTTAAAATGAAATGACATTCTTTTATCACAAATGTAGGGCATCAAAATGATGATGAAGAAAGGAATATTACATAAAAAAAAAAGGAAATTGAAGAGAAGGATGGTTGGGGTGTTCAGTAAAATTGAAATGGTAAAAAAATAAATAATTTTGTTTAAAATAAAAAAGTATTTTTAAAATTTCCTTTAAAAAAAAAAGGAAATGTTCTCAAGGACATTGCATGAAATTTTATAACTTCCAAAAATGGTACAGCTATGTGAAGGTGTAACTTAGGAAGTTGCCAGCAAAATATTAGCATGTATAAAGGTACATGGTTAAATGGAGTGTGCTACAAGAAGTATGCTTAACTCACATTTTTGTGAGTTTGTTTGGAGAAATCGTAGATTTATTTGATAAACTATTACAGACAATGAGAAACTTTTGGCCTCCTGAAGATTAATATTGTTAATTATTTATAGATAGATAGATAGATAGATAGAAAAAAAAACTTTATTCTGGGACTAAGTCCCTTCAGAATAACAATAATGTACAAAATAATAGAATATTACTGGCCTGAAGGTTGATGATATATTATTCCATACAAATCCAATGTTACTGGATCAGGTAATATTTTTTCTTGAGTAAGGGTATCCAGTTGGCGGAAAGTGATAGTTCGAGGATGGATTGGAGAAGTGCGGATATTATACGTTATTTGTATCAGATCGTGAGATGAAAGGATACTGGCAATTGAGAGGCGGATAGGAGGTTTTGTGCTGAGTCAATGATGTAGAAGTCTAGCCAACTGTCAGATCTGCTGGTGTGGTGGGTGGAGGAAAAAGGAACGATGAATAGGTGAAGTGAGAAAAACAGATTTTCTAAATAGGATTTGTCATTGGAGTTTGAGAGGAAATTGGTATTGAGGTCACCGGAGATAATTATTCTGGGATAGAGGGGAACGAAGTTGAATAGGGTTGATTCGAAGGACGGGTCAAATGGCACGAGAGGAGGGCGATATACCACGGCGTGAAGGATAGGAGAAGTATTACTGAGAATTTCTACTAAGAGGTATTCTACATGAGGATGATCGGAAGGTGAGGAACAATCGAGGATTCGGGTCTTTAGGCTATTGTGGACAAACATGGCTACTCTACCGCCAGTCCGGTTTACCCGGTCATGACGGAGCAGGATGTAATTAGGCAAGGATACTGAAGATGATGGAATATAAGGTTTGAGCCAGGTTTCGGATATTGCTATGATATGATAAAAGTTTTGGGTAAAGTATTGCAGGAATTCGTCATAATGGGCAGAAAGGGATTGAGAGTTAACTTGGCATGTGATTAGGGAACTAGACATACAGTGGATTTGGAGAGAAACAGTCAGTGTTTGGTAGCGAGAAGACAAAACGAGTAGAAAGTACAGAAAAGCGATTATCGTACATAAAAATAAGTGAAGAAAAAGTAATATTAACATTAAAAATAAATAAAGAGAATGTACTTAAAAATAAATATATTAGTGAGTGACGATGTAGAGATAGCACTAAGAGAAGAAGTAAGACTATTTTAATGAGGCTAAGGGGTTGACGGCTTCTAGGTAGTCAGTCAAATACATCTAGATCCGAGGCCTGTTCTATCAGGATGACTTTATGTCCGTCCTTTCGACACCGCACCTTTCCGGTAGCAAACCACGTATATTTGATTTTTCCCGCCGCTCTCTTCTGCCGGGCTAGCCAATAGAGGTGTCTGTTTGTGCGAGTCATCTTTTCACCCAGATAAATTCGGTGGCAGTCATTTTCCTGCCAACCGATTTCCCGCGTGGAGAAATCCCTTTTCACTTTCCTTTTCATAATTAAATCATCTCTAATTGATTGCCTGACAAAGCGTGCGATAACAGGCGGTGGTTGCGAGTCATCTTTTCGGCTTCTGCGTCGATGTACGTTGTCCAGGTCCTCCACATTAAGCCTGATCCCCAAGCTTGCTCCTATACTGGTCACCAAAGCAGCGGGCATTTCACCCGGTCGCTCTGGTATACCGCGGATCTCCAGTGATCTACTTAATAGTCCCTGCTCTGCGTTATTCAAGCGAACCTCTAATTCGCCCACTCGGGATTTGAGTGCTTTATTTTCTAATATTATCTCCTCAAACTTTTTAGCTTGACCTTCCAGATGTTTTTCAATCTTTGTCAGTCTTTCGTTTAGTTCAAAACTGAGCTCTCCGTATTTATCTAGTGCTGTTTTCATGTTTTTTATATCCTCGTATATTTACATTTATAATATTTGTTATTCTCAAAGTTAACCTATTTTGATGTTTATGTATTGTTTAATTTTAATTTTCAATAAAACTTTTATTCTTTTATGACATGTGAGTTCTAAATAATAACTGTCCTTTTACTAAAAGTAACTGTTCCTGAAAATGACTGGCTACTTAAGTAAAAAAAAACTTAGTAAAGTATAAGATAATCTTTGTGGATCAATTTTGAAAAGTAGTCTTTCCTTCAGTAATGAAAATAACCTCTATAATAATAAGCAAGTCGTTCTCTAAATAAAAATTACATTATTTATTTTTAGAGTTTATTATTACTATTTTCAAAATTATAAATTTTATATTTAAATATGACTGCTTTTTTAGGTACCAAGTTGCCACAGAAAAGACATTACTGGCAATGCCAGAGACTGCAATTGGCTTATTTCCTGATGTTGGAGCGTCATACTTCCTGCCCCGACTGCCAGGAAATATGGGTATGTTCATTGCATTGACAGGTAGTCGCCTGAAAGGTGCCGACTGTGTCAGGGTGGGGCTAGCTTCCCATTATTGCAATAGCGAAAACATTCCGAGTCTTGTTGAGCGTTTGATAGCAACAGGAGGCAATGTAAAGGCAATCGAATCTACTCTTAGTGAAGTATGCACGAACATGAAAGAGTTGCCCTTTGGTCTGGCTGATAAACAGCAAATTGTGAATAAAATTTTTGGGCTATCTTCTGTTGAGGATATTCTTGATGCATTAGAGAAAGAAGGTTCAGCCTGGTCCACGGAAGTTCTCGAGACCATGAAAAAGATGTCACCACTATCCCTGAAAGTTACGCACAGAGAAATGACACTAGGAAAAACATTAAGTTTAAAAGAGTGCCTGCAAATGGAGTATCGGCTGTGTCATAGAGCATTAGAAGCTAACTTTTCTAATGATTTTTATGAAGGTAATTATAGTTTAATTACTATTATTGTTTGTTATTTAATTATTATAAATTTATTTTTTAGTATATTGTGGTAAATAATTTTTTATACTACATCTGATTTGTTCCTTAATTTTCAATTTCCTTGATTGTATTATAATTTGTAAAAAGTTGAAATAATATATTTATATTAATATTTGACAGTTATTTTTCGAAGAATGTAACTGTGTTGTTGATTGAAAGATTTTAAAAGTAATTTCTTTCTCATCAAGTAAATTCATGTTTCTTTCCTCCATAGTCCGAAAGTCATTCATGACATTCTAACCTTGGCATTAAAAACAAGTCAGATTTCAAAAAAGTTCATGCTCCTTTTACTGTGTTTCAAAAATTAATTTTAGATGTAATACCTAATTGATTTGGGATCTTTAATAAATTAATAGATTCATGTTTGCTCAATTCTGTTTCAAATCCTCGTTGGTCCCTCAAAGATTCCTTTCGACCAAATGTGGGGGTACAGGATGGTACAAGTGTACCTGTTCTCTGGACCCTTCAAGGATGTATTTATTTGTATTTTTAAAAGAATTTTGTAAATTAAATTTAAAAATAAAATTTTTAATATTGTAGAGCAGTCATTTTCTGTAAGATTGAGGAAAAGTTACTTTTTAAACAAAAGTATTTATGTGTGCAATTTGACATAACTTATTACTTATTAATTACTTCTGTATTAATTACTAATATTTATCTGTGGCTTTATATAAGTGCTAGAAGTTAAAAAATGTTATTATATTTGAGATTCATGAAGTCATTCTAATTACTAAAATTCAATGGTTTTTTTTTATTTTTAAATCATACCTTAGTAAAAATGAAAAAAAAATCACATTTAATGTCTCTTATCAAGTTGTTTATGTATTTTTGTGGATTATATTTAAATTGAGTGGTTTATTAATACTTTTTAGGTGTCCGAGCACTTCTGATTGATAAAGATAGGAACCCGAAATGGAATCCTGCTGAGCTCAAAGATATCCCTTCATCCATGGTGGACCAGTATTTTACTCAATTGCCACCAGGGGAAGAAATGATCTTATAATTATAATATTAAAATAAATATGTTAGACATATATACGTTATGTACATAGAAACATCAAGAGTTATTTTTATATTTATTGTACGTTATTAATAAACACCATTACCAAGTCTAGTGTGATCCTTTTTTGAAAATATTTTTGTTCCTCAAAAACCATAACTTTAATAAATTTATAAATATTTTGAATATATATATTATGAAATATTTATGTTGTATGGATAATGTAAATTTTTTTTTTAAATATTATGTCCAGTTAATTGGTACATCGAATTTCTTTAAAAGTGAATTATAGAATCAGTTGATTTTGTTTTAAATCGTTAATATTTTGTTATAAATATGATCAAATAAGAGAAATGATAAAGTGACATTATTTCGAATTGAATGTTATTAAAGTATATATAATTGAAAACATTTTAAAATAAACTTTGTAAGAATTTTAAGCTCTATAGATGGAGGAAGACTTACCTAGTAATAATAAATGTTACTTCAAAATCAACGTTATTATTTTAAATCCTTACTTAATTGTCGCATTTAATAAATATGTGAAGAGTGCTATTCTTGCCATGATTTTAATTAGAGAAATTCCTAAACTCAGCGCTGAGCACATCAACGGCATCGGATCTCTCTCAAAATCGGGCAAAATGACACAGATGACAGAAAATAAAAGATTCTTCGTTGTTTTACACAATTTTTTTAAGAAGAATTTCAACTACCTCAGTATGTCATCACCCTTTTTGGATGGAAAAAGAAAGGGCTTTGCCAGTTGAAAACGGAAGAGAGTAATTAATTTATGTTTCAAGGAATTAGTATTTATTTTTTAATTTGAAAATGTTAAAATACTGACTACGAGCCTGTCTCCGTTAATTGATTTTTTCTGAAATATGTTGTTTATAATTGTTGTTTGATTTTATATATTTTATATGAGGGAGGAGCAGGTAAGGTTCTTGTACTACCTCAGATATCCTGTTGCATTTGAAACCTGAAAGCAATGTAACAATATCTGCTCCTACTGATTTCATTGTATTACTATCTAGAAAGTGAGCTTACACAATTATGAAAGTATCGTATTGTTGCTATCAGTTCTGTCTAAGGGTGGAAGAAACAGAGCAATCATAGAAAATGACTGTATTTGGTGGGTACTTCCTATGAACTTTCTAAAGAATGCAGTGCAAAGAATAAGATTATAGAAGATTTAAACAACAATACGTATTTAATTACTGCTACCAGCTGGGACAGATTGCCTTTTTTGTGTCTGCCTTCAGTGGTGCCCAAGAAGGGGTCGTTATGGTGCAATTTGGGAACCATATTTTTGTGGGGTTTCAATTAGAAAGAACATTTAATTAAATAAGGGAAGAAAGAACAACTTGGAACAGACCACATCAAGTATTATATATATATAAACAATTTTTATAATTCTATTTTAACTTACACCATTTTTAAGAACAGCAGAGCTATAAAATATCATGGAGTGAAACATGTGTTATCACCCTTCTCAGTGGGATAGACACTTCTATTGTGCATTAATGGATTCTCTTCAACATTGAAACTCATTTTAAATAAAAAATGTCGAAAAGTACATAAAACTATCAAGATGTGACAGTAGTAAACGGGGATTGAGTAGTACCAAAGCCGGACCATGGAGTGGATGATAAGCCATAAGAACTTTGGGGCCCCTCTAAGAAAAAGTTTCTTCTTATAAGCTGTCGCGTATGTCAGGGCATCTTCCCCAAGACAGATGGCGCATAAACCTTCCTCCAACCCTCCCAAGATATTTTATTCCTTTCTTCTTCTTAAAACCAGTAGAATTTGAATATTCCTAGATTATGTACCGTTACACATCCCGTGATCTGTTCCATAATTCCACTTGCTTTCCTGTTTGGAACTTTTCATTCTGAAAATTCATAACACCGTCGAAATGTGACCGCTCAAAAATTGAAAACCCCGTCAAAAAGTGTTCTATTTATTAATTTTGATGAAATGAAATGAAAATATTTTTTTATTATCATGTGACTGTTGTCCCTTTAGGACAAATTACAGATACAGAATAAATGCCTGTGTGGCCATACATAATTCTGTATTTACAATTATTATTAAGATTAAGATTTTGAAAAAAGAATAAAACAAAAAACAGAACTATTACACTAAAAATATTCTAAATATGTATAATACAAATGTGGGAAAATAAAATAGCATAAGTAAAGAAAATCATTTCTGGGGGAACTTTAAAAGTTCTCTTATCTACATTTCATGATCAATCGGGTTGGAAAAGGAGTAGGTGGTTAAAAAGGAAAGATTTAAATGAGGAAACTAATTGTACATGTCGAATATCGGGAGGGATGGTATTCCAGAAGGAGACGGCTTGAATTATAAAGGATTTATCAAACGCTGCAGTTCGGTGGGGAGGTGGATAGAGGTCGGAGGTACGAGATCTAGTGAGACGGGATTGAATGGAATATTTGAATTGTAGGCTGTGAAAAATATAGGAAGGCCGCTGAGTTCTGATGACTTGGTATAGAAAGGTGGCAAGGAAGTACAGACGGCGGTTGGATGGATAGAGCCACTTCAACTTGGTGTAATACTGGGTTATATGCGTATCTCTTGAGATTCCGAAAACAAAACGTATTACGCAGTTCATTAGGCGTTTAAGTTTGGCCTCGAATTCTCCCGAGTGTCCGACGTACACCAGACAACCATAGTCGAAGTGGGGGAACACAAGGGAGGAAACAAGGAGTTGACGGGATTTATACGGAAGGAGATAGCGGAGACGGTTAAACTGTTTCAGACTAGAGATAGTCCGACAGGAAATTTGGGAGATGAGTGGTTTCCAGGAGAGGGTTTGATCGAATGTAACATCAAAGTTGATGGCATAACTTGCGCCATAATATCCTCTTCAAGGCATCCTTGGCGTCACAGTATGTTTCAGGCGCCATATTTACTCATTTCTAAATCGATCAGTAGCCTATTTTCTTATTTTTGTGAATTATAGCTTTGCATTTCCACCGATCGCTGATAGATCTCGAATCTATATGTACTTTTCTAACAGCTGCTGAGACAAAAGTTTGAAATAAAAATGTCTACATAAGAATTTGACGCTATCAGTGTTAAAAGCGTAGAAGCGTCGTTGTAGCCTCGTACCCTGAGACTCAAATGACCTCCCCGATTCTCTACGTTTGATTCCCCCTCTCTCTCTCTCTCTCTTTTTTTTATATTTCTGAGATTGCACCAAAAGTATAAAAAATAAAAATAAATGAAAACAAAAAGTGTGTTTTAAGACCAACTATACTTTGTAAATATCTGAGATTTTAAGTGACATAGCAGGATTTTCTGCTTTATGTTTTGATTATGATGTGGTTATTTCGCGTTGGAATCCATCTTTCATGCTTCAAATCGTAACATCGCTAATTAGAAAACCAAAACTTTTCAACTTCCTTAAACAACGACCCAGTTAAATCTTAGTACATTGATTCTCAGTTTGAGTAAAATGAGTTAAACCATTGAACTGCGAATACCCTTGATATATTAATCAATGTAATGTCTAGTAGAGGTGAAAAGAATGAATCAGAAGTGAAATGTGGATAGAAATATAATAAATTTTATGAATATTACATCTTTTCTCCGATCTTTTACGTCCTCTTGGAAATTGTTACCTATTCGTCCATCCTAAACTATTCCTTGTCACCCACACGACGCGTCCCGACGGCCCTGTGTTGCAGATTAAGGACAACATAATAAGACATTCTAGATGTTGGATGACAGTATAGAAGCCTCTTGTACAGGATCAAGCTGTAAGGACTATATGTTTCAATACCGTTCCAATAGGCACTTACATTGTTGGGATTTTTAGGGTTTGTATGAGATTTAGTAATCTTTCTAATAATCATGGGTACAATAAAAAAATGTATAATTTTTGACTTATTCGCAAATAATGTTTCTTTTCCTTCATAACTTTCCCCCCTCAAATTTCTGGAGTATGTAACTATTTTTCCTACCTAAAGAAGAAGCTCTTTAAAACGAGTGCTCAATTATTGGATTTGATGAAGATATGGCATACCAAAAAAATAAATAAATAAATAAACACCTTTGAGAAATAATATATGAAGGTTCCAGCATTTTTTTAATGGAATAAAAATATATATTTTACGGAAATGGTAATAATTCTCACATTGTTTAAAATTATTGTAATTAATTATAAAAGTTAAATATTAATAAAGTTTCTTATCAATTATTTTTTTCTTAAGTAGCATGATGAAAAATAAAATCCATGCTCAAAATTCAGTTTTCAAAGGTTGGTACTTAAAATCTTTTCTTCTAATAATGAAAACGAACTTAATTTTTTTAAAGTAGTTTAAATGAAACTTTTAAATTAAAAGGTTATTATAGTGATTGTATAGTGATAATCAAATAAATTAGTAGTAATGAGTTAATTGTAGCAGCAGTGTCATTTAAGTTATGAGCCAATTTCAGTTTGAAATCACCATATTGTTTAACAGCCAGTACATTGCACTGCTCCTAATTATAGTTGTAGATTGAATTTTAATGATGCTAATTTTTATTGAACACTGCAATCTGAATATTGTAGTCTTAGTGGTAAGAAAATGCCACTTTTATGGGACTATTAAGTAAATATTTATTTGATTTTGTACATATGCAATCATTTTTTTACATTGGTAAAGAAAATTCCAGGATTATTGTTTAAAATTAAAGCCAGTAGCTAGATTCTCAATCTTTTTAAAAATATTATAGTTTCCTTGATTTATTTTCTTTTATATTCAATTTTTGTCTTTTGAACATAAAAGTTGTTTATTATTGGAAAATCATTAAATACTATAAAATATAGTTCATTTTTAAATTTGAAGAATTGATTTTTCATAAAAAGAATGAATATGTATTGATAAATAAGCATTATTATTCTGTTTTTTCTCTTGGCTTTACAAATCTTGTTGTTGATATTGGCATCAAACCTTTGGATTTGCTATGCCTTCATTATTATTATAGACTTTTAAACATATTTATTCAAACTTGTTGGTTAGGATTTCACCTGAATAGTAATAATACACATTAAAATACACACATTTGGTCACATATTCGTACTTTATTTTATTTTCTACACCAAT